ATATTCGTTGCACTCAAGGCAAAGGGGACAAAGTTACTATTTGATTCAAGGGCCCCAACTGATCAAGAACTCGCAAATTGCCCCCACATTGATATGACGAGCAAAGTGCCTTGGAACCCAGGTACCGTACAACTTGGAAAAATCTCAACAGTCCACGAAGACCCAATAGATGACCCAAGATCCAACGAAGCTGAATTGAGACAATTGGATCCAATCATGCAGGGAATGAACGAATGGCGCACGGTACAGCAGACAATAGTCAATGGGGAGAGATTCTTCCAACAAGTTGGACGAATGGACGATGATGCACGATTTGCAGACGTACCTGTGAGGCCGTCCTTTGTATCCGCAGAACGACACACCAAAGCAACGGCAGAAAACCTATCTGAACGACTAGGAATCGGTTTGCACAGAGCACGCGCCACCTTGAGATCGACACTACAAAGGGGAACACGATCCGCCATACTACCACTGGCAAGGAGGTACTGAGCGGACCGCATGTTCCTAAGACCAAGACTGAAAGGCAAGTTCTCAACCAACACAGCCTATTTCAACCACAAGTCGATACGAGGCAACATCGCAAGCCAGATCTATTTCCACAAGAGCGGTTTCTACAGTTGCCATCATCTCTCAAAAGTGGACGACAAGCAAGTTGGGCCGACCCTCAAGAAATTCATAGCTGACTACGGTATACCAGAGCACCTCACGATGGACGGAGCAGCAGTACAAGTGGGACGCAACACGAGCTTTATGGAAACGATCAACAGAGCCGCGATTAACTACCACATCTCCAGACCATACCGACCGGAAGAAAACCCAGCCAAAGGGGGGATCAGAGAGCTCAAGCGACGATTCTACAGATTGATAGTCAAGCATGCGATACCAGAACGGCTATGGGACTTTGTGCTCGATTATGTGGTTGATACCATGAACATCACCGCCAACTACTCAAGATATTCTGACGGACGAGTACCGCTTGAAGTGATCACTGGACTTTACGATTTATGGATGGGTATACTACCGCACAGACGGCGCCCTGGGGACAAACGAAATAGGACAATGGTTGGGAGTGTCACACAGGACGGGTCCGATGATGACGTATTGGATATTACCGAGGAGTGGCCGCCCAATCTCAACTGACACTGTCCAGAACATCACAGAAACAGAGAAACAGACCAACGTGGTCAAAGAACAAATGGCGTAATGGACAACTGATGTATCCAAAATCCTTGATGCAAGGACAGGAGACATCAGTTGGGGGAAAGATGAGATACCGCCACAATTGATGTTCGACTTCAGATTGGAAGACGAAGAATTCAAATGCAACTTCAACAAGTTGATCAAGGCCGAAGATGTTGACGATGGTACGCTCCAGGGGACCACAGAGACTGACAACATTGACGCACAGAACTACGTCAATATGGAGATTGGCCTAAGACGGGGACAAGAAGGGGAGTTGCAACGTGCAGTTGTACGCAGGAGACTCGTTGATGCAGAAGGAAACCCAATGGGTGTAGCAAACAACAACCAGTTACTTGACACGAGACAATACAAAGTCGAATACGAAGATGGAAGCACCAAAAACAAGTGGACGAACATGGACACAGACACTTACTAATGGAAGAGATCACGGAACATCGTTCTGATGAGAAGGCAGTAAAGATGAAAGATGCCTTTTATCCCCTCGCAAGTGGAGCGCAACGAAGACGGCACACAACAGCAGGGTGGGACTTCTACGTTACTTGGAAAGGTGGTTCCTCAAATTGGATACCTCTGAAAGATATGAAGGAGTCTTTCCCGATTGAAGTGGCCGTTTACGCGATAAGCAAGGGCATCCAAGACGAACCCGCTTTTGCATGGTGGATCCCCCACGTTGTTCGAAAGCGAAAGCGATTCCTTGGCAAAGTAAAATCGAAGTACTGGGAACGTACGCACAAGTACGGAATACGTATCCCAAAATCAATCAAAGAGGCCATCAAAATCGACAAAGCAAATTGGGACACGTTATGGCAAGACTCAATTCAAATGGAGATGAAAAACAATCGAGTCGCTTTTGAAGAAGCTGATGGGATACAAAAAGATCACGGGACACCTAGTATTTGACGTGAAACTAGGGGAAAACTTCCGAAGGAAAGCGAGGTACTGCGCTGATGGACACAAGACTGAAGCACCCGCAGCATTGACCTACAGTACGGTAGTGTCCCGCGATTCAGTTCGGATACTACTGATGATAGCAGCGCTAAACGGATTAGACTTGCAATGCGCGGATATTCAAAACGCATTCCTCACTGCACCAGCAATCGAAAACTGCTACCTGGTAGCAGGACCCGAGTTTGGAGAAGAAGAAAGCAAAGTATTTATCGTAAGAAGAGCATTATATGGCTTAAAAAGTTCATCCACAGTATTCAGATCACACCTGGCGGAGACTTTGGAGGATTACGGCTTCAGCTCGTCAACTGCCGACCCAGACGTTTGGGTGCGAGCGGCAGTGAAACCTGACGGCGAGGAATACTACGAATACATCCTTTGCTACGTCGACGACATCCTATGTATGTCGATGAAAGCCAAAGAAGTGATGGAAGGAATTGGAAGGTATTCAAGTTCAAGAAAGGGAAGATCGAACCTCCAGAAAGCTACCTGGGAGCTAGGTTACGAAAGAAGACTTTGGATGGACACGACATGTGGACGATGTCAAGTTATGACTACGTCGTGGCAGCAGTCAAAAACGTCAAGGAAACATTAAAGGACAGCCCAAAATGGAAAATGCCCAAGAATGCACCAACGCCGATGACTAGTGCCTATGAACCGGAGATGGATGGATCAAGCGAATTAGGACGAGAAGACCATACCTACTTCCAAGAGTTGATTGGGATATTACGATGGGCGACAGAGATTGGACGAGTCGATATCTTACTGGAAGTATCACTCCTGAGCCAGTATCAAGCAGCTCCAAGGGAAGGACACATGGAACAAGCATTGAGGATATTTGCTTTCTTGGATACCTTCCCAAAATTGACCCTTTATTATGATTGGAGGACGCCAAACATAGACTATTCCAAGTTAAGATCCTCCAGGGAAGATTTCGAGGCATACTACCGAGATGCGACGGAAGAGATGCCACACAACACACCCAAACCAAGGGGACGAAGTGTAGGAAGTACTGCATGGGTAGATGCTTCACATGGTGCCAATAAGAAAACGCGGAAATCACATACAGGGTACATAATTTTCCTCAACCGGGCACCTATCTTTTGGCACAGCAAGCGACAGAATACGGTAGAAGCGAGTACTTTTGGTTCCGAATTCATTGCTTTGAAGTCATGCATCGAAGCGATCATGCATTTGAGATTCAAATTGAGGATGTTCGGAATACCTTTGGAAGAAGGACCATCGCACGTATTCTGCGACAACAAGAGCGTGGTGACGAATTCAACAATGGTCGAATCCACTTTGAACAAGAAGCATAATTCGATCGCTTATCATTACACCAGGTGGAAGTGCCAACGTGGCTGCAGGAGTTGTCGACGTATCGTGGATTGCAGGAATGTTGAACTCGCTGATGCCTTCACGAAACGATTGACACTAGAAAGGAGAGGGCGACTATTTGGGGAATGGACGTACTAGACGAGTTATCGGCGAACTGGATCCCAACGTTGGAACCCAATTCGAGGGGACCAAATGAAGGCTACCGTGCTATTGCACACGCATGCAATGGTTCGTGTCCGTAAGTGAACGGGATCGGCCTTCGTGGAAGCCTGTCGATGAAACGACGATAACAACACTCTTTTTAAGAATACGATTCGATCTACATTACTATCTTTAACATCTACTACTTCGTAAGTCAACACCCTCGTAATAACATAACGATTACATATATATGTCTATATTTTGACAAAAAAAAATTTTAAAAAATAAAAAGAGTGGCAAAATGAACCTTCGAGAGTAGCTACCGTACTGTACCGTATAGGCGAATGAACCTACTAGTTAACCGGTGTCCCGAAATCGTATATTATAAAAAGATCGGACTTCCTGCTCGACAGACAGCGATTCTGGTAGAAGGATGATGCTCCTTCAAGCATGAGGAACATATTCAGTATAGCAGAAACGTCTCAGGATGATTTGTCTGGATTGAAATCGGGTGCTTGGTAGAATATCGTATTCATGTTGTTCTTCGTCAGAGACAAAACATTCCATGGTGACAAGTCATCAGTGAAGGATGATGCTTCTTTGAACATTCCATTCATGGACTTGACCGATGAAACTTCGCATGATGACAATTCTTGAATGAAGATGCGTTCGCGAACAATTGTATTCATGTTCGTCACAGAAGAAACGTCGCAGCATGATATGTTTTGGTTGAGTGAAGATGCATGGATGAACATTGCATTCATATCGAAACCTCCCATGATGACAAGTCTTGTCGATCAAGAAGACGCTGTACACCCCATGGCTCGACTGGTATCAGCCCAAAGAACAATCAGTACGAGGACAAGGAAGCAGCTCAACATGTGCATGGCAGGCAGAAAAAGAAGAAGGATCATCCGACTCTTTCGAATACGGAAAGAGCTGTTAGAGTATTGTATTCATGTTTGCAAGCACTGCATGGCAATGAGTATGAGTCGGATTAGCTTTTATGTTCGGCCCCTCGAACGGACAGAACTCAATTCGAATGGTATGGAGGATCGATTCCAAAAATGAGAGAGGTAGTGATTGGTGAGAGTGAAGATCAGTTTGGGTCTTTCAATCGTCGGAGAAAACTCAAATTTGGAGAGCCACAGCACTTGATTTTCGGCCAACCCGACGATGATTGTCCATGCTGAATGAGTGCCGAGGAGAAACAGACAAGCAAAGAAGGTGCCGAAGCCAAAGATGCTCAATCAGGAAAGTCGGAAATGATTCGCTATAATTTCAAGAAAGTAGAGCTTGTTTAGAAGTTGGAGGCACCGGGCAAGGCTGTCAATCGACCAAAAGTGATTCTTCAAAAGAGATGCACCGACTGCGGAATTGCATCTCCGAAATGAGCGGGAAGATCAGGCAGGGTCGGAGGAATAAGCCGAAAGAGATGTTGGGAGTATAGGTTCTTAATTGATACAGATGTGGTGCCGACAAATGAACTTTTGAAGACTTGTGATTCCGGGAGCGAATTGCGTTGAAAGACGCGGATGCCAGCTTACGTGAATTTCAAGATGAAAAGACGATGCTACAATATCATGCTGAAGGCAGGAGTACGGCTGGTTGTCAAGGAGAGCTTGGAGTCTATCGAACTTCGTCATTGAGGTTTGTTGTGATGTCTTGGACGAGTGGAACATCTTGCCCTTAGGGTTGAAGGATCGGACGAGTGGAACATCTTGCCCTTAGGGTTGAAGGATCCAGACAAGGACAAGTTCCCAGTGCCAAATATATCCTGGGCTTACAGTATTGTTCCGTCACTATACGCATGTTCTACGAAATGCGAGAGATTTTGGTTGGGAACGTAACAGTATTGCGCACCGTACCAGGTACGTGTAATGTAAGATCGGAACGCTCCATCGAGGTTCTGCTGAGAATAAGAGCGGTTCGTGCAGCAGACGCAGTGCATGATTCAGTTCCCTGGTCGGGAAGTTGGCATTCTCTGAACGATTGGACCCGCGTAGGCGGCTTTTGTGGAGGCGAAGATGAGCCTGAAGCTGCAAAGAGTTCAGAAAGATGCAGTGTTTTGTTCGCGATTCCAAAGTCAATAAGTATGTATAATATTTTTACAAAAATGCACAGCCACTTCTGAATTTCAATCTGCACAGAAACTTTATGAGCTTCGTATGTTCGCATCGGGGTCACATTTTCGTCAAAATTCATGTACCAAGTTTCTGATATATATGCATGGCAAAGTGGATGCGCTTGCAATGAGAGCGAATGACGGTGACTGACGAGAAATATAATGGTGCTGTTTATCAGGAGATTATTATTCCTGCAGAACTGTAAGAACAGTATGTGACGTAAAATACCAAGCTATTAACACCTGACTTGTGCTCTTCCCCTTCTTCCATTCTCGACAAGACTAACAGTAGTGAGGTGAAAGACAAAGCTACAATCACCTGTCATATACTCTTCTTCTCACAATTTTCTGCAAGAACTCAATCATGCTTAATATCAATACCAACTTCCCTGGAGCAATGGACAACAAGCTACGCCTGACAGCAGGATGCTCTGAATCAAACTTCCAACGGGAAGGTTGCCGCTGGATCGATCCATTCCCACTCACTCATGCGAAGAATCTGAGTTATCGAGATGACAAAGAGTTTGATTTGGGACCCCTTCTCGACTATGTACCGTCCTCGACATTAGTTGATCAATCGTCTGAGAACATGCTCAAACGACCCATCATCCAGATCGAAGACAGTGACTACAAAAACCACAGCAGAGCAACTCGTTTCAAACGATATCGTACATGCAACGATGTCGCAATCAGTAGTGCTGCTGATGTGATCCCAGATGACTCAATCAGTGCTGCTGATGTGACCCCAGATGCTTCAATCGGTGCTGCTGATGTGTTGTTCCCAGATGTGGAAATCAGTGCCGCTGATGTCTTCCCAGATGTGGCAACAAGTGCTGCTTCTGCTGCTGCTGCTCATAATGTGACCCCAGAGGCGCAGGAATACCCCCGTTTTCGAAATTATCAAGAAGAGCAGTGGCAGAACCAATTCCAGGCTCTTTTGGAGTTCAAACAGAAGCATGGACATTGCTGTGTTCCAAACAAACACGATGAAAATCCAGTTCTAGGACGATGGGTAAGTTCATAAAGCTTCTCTTTGGCATTATCAGACGAGGACACCTAGCATCTAACACTTCATGATTATGCATCAGGTCAAGAGACAAAGATACCAACACAAGCTGCTCCAGCAGGGGAAGAAATCCACGCTGGTCCCTCACCGCGTCAAAGCATTGGAGGATGCTGGCTTCATCTGGGATTCTCATTCGGCTCTATGGGAAGAGCGGCTGAATGAACTCAAAGCTTATCGCCAAGTCCATGGCCACAGCAATGTACCGTCGACTTACACTGCAAATGCGCAGCTATCGACTTGGGTAAAATGCCAGCGCCGCCAGTACAAGTTATTCTTGGAGGGCGACCCGTCCTCCAACCTGACACCAGAGCGCATATCCGCTTTGAACCAGATCGGCTTTCAGTGGTGTGGACGGCTGGCCAGAAGGAAAAGTACAAGACCCTCGTACTATTAAGTGCCAATTATATGCCACCACAAATGCACTTCTAAAAACCAAAGTGAAGATGCCGATTTTTCGATGATTTGTATCCTAATCCTAATATAGGATAATACATATTATACTACATACTAATATTTTAATTGCTACCTATACACAAAATGGAGGACGAAGAGAGTAGATTAGTTGTCGAATCTGTTACTGGGCAGCTGGTCTCCAGCAATGGCATAGAAAGATCTGCATTGCTTGGCAGCCGCAGACCCCACGAACAGAGATTTTGATTGAATCTTATGATGACAAGTCTTGATTGAAAGATGATGCTTTGTAGAACATCCGGCACGTATCATAAGCAGAACAAATTTCCAAGATGATATGGCTTGATTGTTGAAAGACGATGCTCGATAGAACAATCCATTCATTGTCCAAGAGAGAAGAAACATCCCATGACGATATGTTGTCTTGGTTAAAGGAAAATCCACGGCTGAACATGTTCCTCATTATCGGGGAATCTGTTGATAGGCAGCTGGTCTTGCTCTGCATCTTTAGCATCTAAATATCATCGTATTTCCAAAACAATGCCATCCGCTCGGTAGTCTGGTTTGGGCCGACTCTGGTATCCCCTTTGATTGGATACCACTCGTACTAGTTTTTCGCTACTACCATTACCAGTACTGCTTGTTTCGTTTTGCGTCAATGCCAGATCAAAATTGTAATGGGTATGTCCACAAGCCCATATGTCAATGGGAGAGTATGGATGGACCATCAAGGACTGGAGATCGGACGAAAAGCAGTGCGTCGAGTCCATGCCTTCGTATTGTGGTGCCGAGGTACCAATCATCAAGGGCGTGTGGTGCGTGAGCACAATAACCTTAGTCTGTTGTTCTTGGTGGTGGTGGTGTTGCCCTTGCTGTTGATGTTGTGCTCGTATCTTGTTTTGGTCATAAATGGTCTGTAATTGGGTTTGGAGCCAATTCAAATTGTCTCGATACCATTGCCGGGTTTCTGAGGCTCGGAGTAGGCGAGGGGCTGTTTCCGAAGGCGCGTGATTGTAACTTAATCGATAGTCATTGAGAAAGTGCTCGGCTTCTTCCAAGTAATTGTCGGGAATGTCGGACCACAGTGTAGTGGCCAAGACCACAACGTTTCCATTCCACATGGGAATGACGGACTTTTCCAAATACTTCAAATTGGGTCTTTCCGAAGCTACCTGTTGCAACCAGGCATCTTGTTCCGTCACACTGTAGTGAGTCCCACCATGGTTGTAGTATTCGTGATTTCCAGCTAGGAACCAAACCTCCTCAAACCGATCGCATTGCGACAAGAGAAATTTCCGAAGCTGCTGAGTACAAGCATAGCCGACATCTCCTAATAGAGCCAAAATGGGAGCCTTGGGCTCAATGAGGAAGTTCAAGTCTTCGTCTTCACCAAAGAACTCAATGTGCAAGTCGGAAGCTATTTGAATTCGGACTGGTCCTGTCGAGTTGGTTACAGTAGCATAATTGTTCGACTCCATTTGGATTATGTCAGTCTCAGGTTGCTTTGATGGTTTCTCTATTCTTGTTGACTCTATTGCCGCAGTCTTGACTTTTATTTCGCCTGAATTGGAAAGTTCACTGCTGTCCTGCTGAAACCCGCCATTCGACTTCATCAGATCAAAGAAGGCAAAGAAGAACAACGGAATCAAGAAGCCAATTGCAACGAGGACCTTCCAGATGTAATCTCTGTGCCCCGTCTGATTCTGGTTTCTCTCTTTCTTCTGGCCCTTGTTGTTTGCCCTTGTACTATCCGTTTCGGCAATGGTTTTAGGCTGCTTCGAAACCAAACTCATGGCTTTACCAGTACCGGTACAACACGAAAGAAATAAACTGCGGCAAATAAAATCATCATGAGAGAGAGATATACCGATTGGTAATATTGCGCTTTACGGTTAAAAACCAGTTGAGTTGGGAAGGGAGTTTCTGAAATGAGTCGTTGGACTGCTTTTCAGAAAAATCGTCGATCACAAAATCACGATCGCGATGATTCAACAAAAGATGACTGACGTCATAGGATCCAAAGACGACGGACCAAGCCAGACACTAGCAGGAGTACGTGGAAGCAAATAGCAAATCTTGTGTTCAACTTTCCCGATGGATGCGTAGGAAACGTACGTGTTGAAGGGTGATGGGCAACAGGAACATCGGCCGGAGGAGTGCGTTTGAGGACCCTCCAACGATCCTAACTCCGTCATCACAGGTGCTCTCTTTCCTCTCCCTCTCTCTCTCGCTCTCTTTGGACACACCAACATCATCAACAAACCCCTCAAACAAATAGAAAAATGAAATTCTCTACCGTTGCTGTTTTGGCTGTCGTTGCCCCATTGGCTGCTGGATTTGCCCCAGCATCTCTCAATCAAAGACAATTCGCTTCCAAGAATGTGGCCTTTGCTCCTTCGGCTGGCCGTGTTGAGTCTAGCCAAGGACAATTGTCTATGGCCTCTTCTGATTACCTATTGTTGGATGATGATGAGCCAAAGAAGGGAAAGAAGAAGGCCAAGGCTGCCCCTGCTCCAGCGCCTGTCCCAGCCCCAGCTCCAGCTCCTGTTGAGAAGCCAAAGTTCCAGAAGCGGGTCAAGGCCGAGAAGCCTGCCCCAGCACCACCAGCTCCTACACCACCAGAGCCAAAGAAGAAGGCACCAAAGGCAAAGGCTGTCCCAGCTCCTAAGCCAGAGCCAAAGAAGGTTGTCCCTCCTCCACCAGCTCCCAAGCCTGTTGCCAAGACGTCCTCTGGCGATTCCCCTGTCTTGGAGGGTGTTGCCTTGGGAGCCGCTCCTTTGATCGCCGTTCCCCTCGTCGCTTTGGGTGCCGGTCGCAACATCTTGTCTGCTACCAAGGAACGTCGTGAAAAGATCCAAGCCGAAATGGAGGAATACGAAGCCAAGGAAAAGGCCAAGGTCGCAGCCGAAGTTGATGGCAGTGGTCTTTTCAGTGCACTCGTAAGTTTTTCATCTACATGATGTGTCTACCATCATGGTGACATTGATCAAAATGATGTTTTTGTAGCATCGTGTGTTGAGCTTTTGTCAAAATCTCACGCATTCACATTCGTTGTTCACCTTTCTCTCTCTCCTTCCCTGTTGTCGTTGTCGTCTTCTCTATATTACAAACAATATAGACCTTTTTGGGTGCCAGTGCTGGAGCCCTTGGATTGATCCTTTCTGGAGCCACTTCTGGTCTTAGTGGACCTGCCATGCCCACTGCTTCCATCAGTCTCCCCGCGGGATCCAAGGCTGCCCCTGCTACCTCCACTGCTCCTCCCGCTGCCGTCAAGAGAATTGAAAAGAAGGCCAAGGCCAAGAAAGCCAAGTTGAGCAAGTCGGACTACGATCTTTCTTTGGAGGAAGAGGTCAAGGTCGCCGAGGCTGAGGCCAAGTCTACTGCCAAGGTAGGTCACTCATCGTTTTTTTTTTCCCTCCCTTCAACTTTCCACATATTGTTCAGATTTATTGTTTCTAATGTACTTTGTTGGTTCCTTCCTCTTTAAATAAAAAAAACGTTTAGGCTGCTGCCGCCGAGAAGGCCAAGGAAGCTACTGCCGATAAGGCTGCCGAAATTGCCGCCGAGGCTGAAGCCAAGGTACGTGGATGGATTGTCGTTGGATTGATTGGTGACTTTTGGCTGCATCGCTAACTTTCGTATGGTATCTGACTTGATCATTTTTTTTTTCTCCCCTTCCATTTTGTCATTATTTTCCTTCTCTCTTGTTCCATTACTATTAGGCTTCCGATGCCGAGAAGAAGGCCGCAGAAATCAAGGCCAAGGCGGATGCCGAGGAAAAGAAGGCCAAGGCTGCTGAAGAAAAGGCAGAAGCCAAGGCCGCCGCCGCCAAGGAAGCAAAGGCCAAGGCTGCTGCGGAAGCCGAAGCCAAGGCTGCTGAAGCTAAGGAAAAGGTCGCTGCGGAAGTCAAGGCCAAGGCTGATGCTGCCGAAAAGGCGGCTGCTTCTGCCGAGTCCAAGGCCGCTTCCGAAGCTGACAAAAAGCAAGAAGCCGCCCGTGTGGAAGAAGAAAAGGCTGCTGCCGCCGAGAAGGCCAAGGAAGCTGCCGCCGCCAAGGCCAAGATTGAGGAAGCTGAGCTCAAGAAGGTCAAGGCTGCCGAAGCAAAGGCTGAGGCCAAGCCCGCTGCCCCAGCCCCTGCTCCAAAGGCTGCTCCTGCTCCTGCCCCAGTCAAGGCCGCCCCTACCCCCGCACCCAAGCCAGCACCAAAGCCAGTGGCCACTCCTGCCGCTAAGGGAACTGCCCTTGGAGATGTTAAGGGAGACACTCCCGGAGGAAAGGTCCTTCCAAAGGAAGAGATCAACCCTGCGGTCCTTGACATCCTTAAGGTATGTTGTCGTTGTCGTTGTGGCTGGATTCCAAAATCGTTCGTTGCTTTTATAATGACCATGTACTCACCCTTCACTTCACTTTACTTTACTTCACCTTACTTTACTTTACAGAAATACAACTAAGCGGTTGTCTTATATGGCCACTATTATTATCATTGATATGATGATGATGATTCTGGTTTCATCAAAACAACTGTTTGAAAGTGTTTGCGCAATGTATTCTTATCTTTATTATAATATCGTTTATATACCAGATTCTTCCCCCGCAACCACAAAATCCTTTGTACCGACCTTTTTTTCATTACCAGCTAATACTACGATCCTCGGTGCAGCTAATAGATTATTAATTTTTTATTGAGAAAGAAAAACACACACACAACCTTTTCGTACAATTCTTGATATTTATCAAGTACAATAACTTTTGTCACAATGCTAATATTACATACACAATGGAAGGATGCATTCATTCATTCATTCATTATCTTCCATTCGATTGATTCATTGATTGATTGATTCCATCCAAAAGACTATATAGACAGTGCATCAACACTTTTAACAATTGATGGTATCTTGATCTTCGTCGTCGTCCTCATCCCCATCATCACTGTCCGAAAATCCCGCAGAGTCCCTTTGTCGTTGCAATTGTTCCTTTTGCTGTTGCTGCCGTTCTTGGCGTTCCTGTTGCGCTTGAGCAAATTGCAGTGCCTGTGCCGCCTTCCACCGAAAGGTGACGCTCAAACTGGAAAAGAAACAAATCCAAGCGGCAAAATACAAATTTGATCCTGGGACACCCTTGGGAGCTGCTCGAGCGGGCGCCAAAACATCGCTGCAGGGCAATAGTACCATGTCCATTTCAGTAGTGTCGGCATTCCAGACATTGTAGGAAATGGTGCAGTTGAAGGAAGCCGTGGTGATCAAACTCTCGTCCATCACTTGATCCTCCTCCAAATCTTCTAATTCATTGTCGTTGGCTTCCGCCTCTCGTTGCAGCTGCAACAAATCCGTCAAAATGACCACGGCATTGGTACTCGCCGTTTCAAATTTGCACTGCGTTCCTGACAGGGTGGCCGCAATTCCTCGATCTTGCGTAATGAGCGCCAACCCAATGGTCCACAACAATATCAGAAAGAAACTACTGGACAATTCCATCCATCCACCTTCTTCCACACTGGTAATAAAATTGTAATGCACCAATATAAAAAACGCGGAAATGACCGACGACACGAATCCCAAACCAATTCCAAAACTTGCATCGTCCAAATTTTGTTCTTCTAGATACACCAGCATGTCGACACTGGTAAAGAGGACCACAATGCTAAAGAACCAACAGGTATACCAGCTGGGTAAGGTCAGTGACAGTCCCGTCAATTCGGCCACACTCAATATATCTTTTGCCGACGACCATTCGTTGAGCAGATACCCGCTTGCCAGCAAGGACGCCCACGCGCTGTAATAAATATTGTTGGCATTGTAGGCAATCCCATTGACATTGGTTTGATAGGCCGTTCCTATGGACCACCAAATGAGACACGCCATGAGAATAACGCCTTCCAAAAATCCTTTCCTTGCCTTGTGAAAGACCCCGTGACACAACAATTTGGAACGATCCTGCAAGACCACCAAGGTCGAAAAACAAAAGGTCATCATGCCAAATACCAGATCGACGCCCCACCGTTCCAAATCGTCTTTTGACAAGGTAGCAATGGACAAGAAATTAATGAGACTCGTGACACTTAACAGAACGTAACCACTCCATCGTGGATTGTAGGAGGATTCGTCCTTGTTGTTGTTGTTGTTGTTGCTGTTGTTGGAATTGGAATTGGAATTGGACTTGTTTGTGGTGGTCGTAATGGTGTCATTTGCTGTTACTGTTGTCGTCGCGGTTACTTTCAGTCCATTGCTAACTCTGGAATCTCGCGACATGGCTCTAGGTGCAGGTAGGACAAACAATGGCGATCGCAACAAGTACGAAGGAGGAAGCTTATATTATTGACAGTACAAGTAGTGGCGGGTTCTGATCATGTATTTCAAATGGATCATACCGGTATATATCATCATCATCAAATCCATCGTGTTCGACTCCGCAGTGGTGGTTCGTTTCAAAATGTGTCCGTTTCCGAATGATATCCGACCGCCGTTTGAAAAACAACAATGACGGACATTATTTTTCCCTCCGCGCCAAAGACGGTCTCGTGTACAGTTTCTACGACCATTCGCCAAGAAGCCATTTTTGATACGACTTTGGTACGCTTGTTACGTGAGTTTCTACAGCACTTATCATACTTATATATATCGACACCCAGACACCGCCGACCTTATCTCTCGTGGAGCTTGGGCAAAAAGGTGGTACTGCAGCCAAAATTGGAAATTGGCCATGGAAAATTAAGTGAATCACATAAACACCAAACCAACACGACAGCAAGAACTACCATACACATACGCACACCTGTCATATACAATCATCACTTTATCATTGACCACCAACTTGGAAGGAAATTTGATTGCAATTTGTGTGTGTTTTGGACGTGAAACCATTTTATAAAACAAATTCACCGAATTGCCGAAATACGAACTCGGCTTCGTTGTGTGTGTGTGTTCTACAAAAGTCTCATCTCATCAGCATGCCACGACGATCCTCTCGCAAGGTAAATAGTATATTAGTGGCATTGCAAGGAATGCAACAAATGGCTTTTTGATTGCCTGCTTCTTGTTTCGAATGAATCATTTTTTTGAATTCCTTTTTATCTCATCTCTTTATATGTATCATTTGCTTGCTTGCTTTCTTGCTTCCCTCCCTTTCTTCTATTGTGCTTGCTTTTCCATCCAATTCATGCATATACATATATTTCAACAACATTGAATAATACAGGGACCCTCACCGTCCAAGAAACAACGCAAACGCAATGACAAGAACAACGACGATAACGATGACGATGATGATGATACGGAACCCATGGAGGTGGACGAAGATTCCTACTCGGAACACAACGAGGAGGAGGAAGAACCAGAAGATGATGAGGACCTGGGCAGTGCCATTAACGACGACGACAACGACGACGAAGTAGTTGTCGTCTCACGTCCCCGTCGGTCTCGATCCAATTCAAGATCTTCGGCTCGCACCAACCGGAAAAACTCGACTGACTCGCCACCAGAAGACCAAGAAGAAGAAGAAGAAGGAGACACCACTCGTCGCTCGCGTCGATCCACCAAATTTCAAAAGAGCATGAAGGATCCCGCCAGTGATTCCGTCAAGGATCTATTTCAAGGCTCGGGGATTTCCGAAAAGATGAATACTGGCAATACTAGCAGTGACGACGAGGATTCGGACGCTGAGGACTCTCAAGATGAAGAACAAGAGGATAGCTCTGACGATGAGGATAAACAACCCATCTCGCGTACCGTGGCCAAATCCAAGGCAAAATCCAAGGCCAAGGCAAAATCCAAATCTGCTACTACTACTTCTACTACTACCAAATCTACCACCTCCACTACTACCAAGAAAAGCAGAAGCAATAGTAGTAGTAACAACAACAACAACAACAAAAACAAGAAAAAGGCCAAGGAAAAACCAAAAAGTCCCGGAAGACGGCACGCCCGAAACCGCAAGTCGATATCCCATCAAGAAGACTCTGATGACTCTATAGATGCCATGATGCTAATGAGCGATTATGACGAATCTTCCGAAGACGATGGCGACGGAGAAGAAGACATGAAGATTCAACGAATACTTGCTTCAAGAACCGAAACTCGCCGCAAGTGGCGAGAAATTGTCAGCCAAATGAACACGTCCGAAGTCACGGATGGCTCCAGATGGTTTCAAGAGTCATCTGTTCTAAGGGCCAAAGAAGAAGAAGAAGATGAAGACGATGATGAATTGTCACTCCACGAAGAACGATTTCTCGTCAAATGGTCCGGACTTTCGTATCTGCACTGTTCGTGGGAAACCCAAAAGGATTTGCTCGAAGAAATTGACGGCGTCAAGACTTATTTGTCAAGCTTCTTTCGCAAGTCCACCAACGGAATACTCTTTTCGCAAGACGAACGCAAGGATGGAGATTATTTTGATCCTGGATTGATTCAAATTGATCGTATCTTGTTTGTCGATTCCAATCCAAAGGAAAAGAATCGCAAACGCAATCCCACCACTTGGCAGGAAGAAAAGGATTCCACTCCCAAAGATCGCGGGATTGTCTTGGACAAGGCTGATCCTGGATTTGAAGATGGGACGGGTCGGCAAATGCTCATCAAGTGGGAGTCGGAAAACTATGCGGATTGCACCTTCGAATTCGAACGCGACTTGATGCTCGCCGAGATTGACTTGTCGGATGCTTTGGAGGCGTACTACGAAAGAACCACCAAACCCACAAAGGCCCAATTGAAAACCAGCAAGTCGGCAAGTGACACGGCCATGCGCAAATCCTACAAATTGTTTGGTGATCAAACCGACATGGCCGAAGGTCTGCGACAGGAACGGGTCCAACGCTTTCAAAACGATTTGGCCTCGCATACCTTTCGAAATGGGGGACAATTGCGGGATTATCAAAGTGAGGGAGTGACATGGTTCTTGGCCAACTGGGTCAATCGGCGGTCCTGCATCATGGCGGATGAAATGGGGCTGGGGAAGGTAAGACTATGCATGGACTCTATTGGCGGCTGATTTGTGGTGGGGCCATATGTCTCTCACACACATCACATCACTTCTTTTCAGACACTCCAAACGGCTGCCTTTGTCAATTTGTTGGTGGAGCGAATGAATCGACGGGGTCCCTTTTTGATTGTGGTGCCACTTTCGACCATTTCGCACTGGCAACGGGAATTTGTCGGTTGGACTGGTCTCAACACTATCGTCTATCATGGATCCGCAGAAGACAGACATCAGATTCGAGAACAGGAATTTGCCTATCCACAAGACCGACCCGATCACATTTCCTCCAATGCCATTTACTTGAACAAGTGCGCGGGGCACTTGCCGCAAACCAAGTCTGGAATGGGCGGACCTTGGATGGCGACGGTCGTCGTGACCACACCCGAAATGCTCGTGGCCGAAGATTGGGCCGAATTGGCGGCGGTCCGATGGGAAGTACTCGTGGTGGACGAAGCCCATCGACTCAAGAATCACAATTCCAAATTGGCGGTCAATCTGCGAAAGTCACAATTCCGATTCAATCACAAGATTCTCTTGACGGGAACGCCTATTCAAAATGATGTCAAGTAAGTTGATCTTGTTTTCATCCAGCAACACATCACACGTTGTTTTGATTGTACGGTGTTTGTTGGGATCGTGCAGGAACTAATCCTTCTTTTCTTTTTTCTTTTTTCACAGAGAATTTTGGACGCTACTGAATTTCATTGATCCCAAGAATTTCGATAGTCAAGAAGACTTTTTGGAAAAGTACGGAGACATCAAGAGTAAGGATCGCATCGATGAGCTGCACGAAAAGATTCGACCATATATTCTGCGCCGACTCAAAGAGGATGTCGAGAAGAGTGTCCCTCCCAAGCAAGAGACACTGATTGAAGTCGAGTTGACCGTCCTTCAGAAGCAATACTATCGCGCGCTCTACGAAAAGAATGTCAAGTTCTTGCACAAGAACAAGAAGAAGGCACTGGACGGACCCAGTCTCAATAATCTTGCAATGCAGCTCCGAAAGTGTTGCAATCACGTCTTTTTACTAAATGGCGTGGAAGAAGAGGTCCGAGACCAACAACCCAAGAATGTGTTTGTGACTGAAGCTGATTTCTTGTCCAAGGGATCTGGAAAGTTCGTTCTGCTCGACAAGTTGCTACCGCGACTGAAGGAAAATGGTCATCGAGTCCTTTTGTTCTCTCAGTTCAAGATCATGCTGGATATTCTGGAGGACTACTTGCACCTTCGATCCATGAAGTTTGAACGCATCGATGGTTCCATCACTGGCCAAAAGCGTCAAGCAGCAATCGATCGGTTCCAAGATCAAGAGTCTAAGGATCCTCCTTTCATCATGTTGCTTTCCACCAGAGCTGGTGGTGTCGGAATCAACCTCACGGCTGCCGATACGTGCATCATTTTCGATAGTGATTGGAATCCGCAGAATGACTTGCAAGCACAGGCTCGATGCCATCGTATCGGGCAAACCAAAAGCGTCAAGATCTATCGCTTACTCTCACGCAAGACATATGAAATGCAAATGTTCCACATGAGTTCGCTGAAGATGGGGCTGGACCAAGCCGTCCTCAAGGGATTTGAAAGTGGAAACTCGGGAGAAGGTACCATGACCAAGGAAGAAGTCGAAAAATTACTGCGGCATGGTGCCTACGACATTTTCAATGAAGATAAGGCCGGCAGTGCCGAAGCAGAGTCGAATGATTTTGTGGAGCAGGACATTGATTCCATTTTGGCACGCCGCAGTCGAACTGTTGTCCACGATAATACGGGAAGCGGAAGCGGGGCAGCCGGCGGAACCTTCTCGAAAGCAAGTTTCATTGCCAAGACGCCGAGTAAGAAGGGAGGCCAAGGTGGCGAAGATATTGATATTGAAGATCCCGAATTTTGGTCCAAGATGGTTGGCGAAGCGAAGGAGGAAGTTATGTCAGAGCTGAAACCAAGAAAACGAAGCAGACTCAACTATGCTGAGAGCAGTTACGATAGAAATTTCAAAGAGATTGTTGCCTATTCCGAGAGTGAAGGGGAGGATTCCGATGACGACACAGATGACGACGACGACGACTTTGGCAACGACACTGAACGTTCACGCTGGGGAGGGAAGAAGCCAGGAAACTGGACGCGGCAGCAAGCCGGAGATTTGCTGGAATGCATGGAGCAACATGGTTACAACAGCAACGCTTGGAACAAGTTCTCCGAAATGCTACCCAAGAACATCCTTGGCATGCTGAAAGACGATATCCAACGAATGTCGTGGTCACTTGTCCTTCTTGGAATAGCCGAAGTCTCTCATGATAGCGCTCTAATGTCAATGAAGCACGCTATCAGAAATAAAAAACGCCAACTAGAGAAAAAGGACGAGGTCGACGAAGCCGCGAAATCAGCCCCAGAACCAACTCCGGAACCAACTCTTAGCGAAAGTGAAAAGAATGAAATCCTGGAGAACACATTCGCCAAGTTCTGGAAGTCAAACCACAAATGGGCAGGTCGTGCACTTGTTGATGCTGTCGAGTTTGCTACGGCCAATGCACCAAGACCGGATGATGTGTTGGACGACAAGGATGCAGTGGAGGAAGAATGTTCTGATCTCTTTTACAGTTCAGTCTGGCCTTCATTATCTGGCAGGGGCTGGAAGGAAGAAAATTCCGATTCTGGTACCAAATTTGTCTACAAAACAGCGGATAAGACCCACAAATTCAGCTCCCCATCTGCAGTTTTGAATGAGATTGTGCGGATACACCCAGAACTTGCCAAAATGGTTATCCCTGTTCTAAATTCCCTCGAGCAGAAGCGTCTGAATGAAAGTAGGCGAGCCGACGAAGACCGAGCAAAGTACACTGGATTGAACGATTCGAACATTGGATACAAGTCCTTGAAGGAGTTTCTTAGTCGCTATGCGACGCTGCAGCTGCTATCCGACCGGAAGAGACAGAAACGTTTGACCATTGGACGACGTTTCCTTGCCGCATGCAACTACAACCATATTGCATTGGCCCTTGTGAATGGATCAATCTCCCCCGCAGGAGAGAGCTTGAAAGATCGTTTGAAGGTTGACGCCCGAGCTACTTTGCCACATCCACTATGGACTCCGGCTCACGATGTAGTCCTTGTTGAAGCAATTGCAAAGCACGGATGGGTTGATCGTGACCAAAGCTGGAAAGCAATAGCTAACGACCAAGAGATCAAATGGGGCTTTCCGTTCGGAGAAATGAAGGATAAGACCGCAGAAGTAATTGCTCACGAGGAATTTGAACATAAAAACGTTTGTCAAACAGCAACACGGGCGGCATCGTTTATTGATTTGTACTCAGAGATCATTGATGACCTGAAGGGGTGCAATCGAAATCTAATCATTGAGTCATACGGATTGAAGCGCAGTGAGGCCGAAGGGGAGTCTGGGGAAGAAGGCAAATGGGACGTTGCCGAAGATTTACTGCTCCAGGCAACAGCAGGCACCAAAGGGGGAACAAAGCCATCCGAACCTCTTGACTTGCCATCAAAGAAAGATCTATCGAGAAGAGCCAAGACTGTCTTGCAAAAGTCTATTGAGGCTCATGATTCCGGTCTGAATGCACCATCTGAGGATCCAAAAGATGACGAGCAGACCTACGGTTACACTACTATCAATCAAGGCGACCCATGCTGCATTCTACTTGCTGAGATGTTGAGGGGGATTGCAAAAGGATCCGCTACGAAGCTGCCGAAGCAAACACGGTTGATGTTCTCTATCGCGCATGCAGAAGCTGTTGAACTTGAGAAAATGTTCTCGACTAGCAACAAGACAGCATCAAAGGCTCTTGAAATGCGAAAGATCATCGGCCAGATTGAGGAATCACAGAGTCATATCTCGTCGGAAGCAGTGCCCAGCAAGAATATTCTTCGGGTCATGCTCCGTATGGAGCCGACAACTGTGCGTAGTGGTAATGCGAAGACAGATGCGCTGTTTCCATCTACAGAATTGAAAGAGAAGGAAGGAAAACCAAAGGCAGAGGTAAAACGAGAATCTCACCGTCGAGAAGATGGTGCGTTGGGGGAGAAAGCAATTGTCCGAGGCCTTAAGAAAGCATACGACAAGTGTGCCAGTGATGGCAATGATGGCTCTCCATGCAAATTCACAAATACTGGAGACATTGAAGATGGTCTGCAATTAACGATGATTGAAACCATGATGCTTCTCACTTTCTGTTCAGAGGGCATCCCCTGGGAACTACCTGTTGATGCATTCGGAGGCTTCGAAACTTTCACGTGGAAATCGGTGGCATCATTGCTTGAGCACACCATCAAAGATTCCTTCCACTCGTCTACGGAGAAGGTGAAGAAATGCAAAACCGCACTCGCCAAACTGAAGGGAACCGAGAAAGACGAGGAGACGGCGCAAGCCGTGAGGCGTCTTAAAGTAGCAGAAGCTGAAGCAGTCATGAAAGAAGAGGCCGCACAACACGCTGTTGATTATGCTGGAGACACCACACGGTTCGCGAGAAAGAGGTAAGTCGAAGCAACAATTTGTTGTACATCCGAACAAAGGAAGTCTAACTTTGAATCGTTTCCTTTCGGCCTTTAAATCCATAGTATCATGTTGTTGGAGAAAGTACGCAAATACGGATTCGTCAACTACAACTACCCGGCGAAGTTCTCCAACAAAGTAGAGAATGGACTTGGAAACAAAGTCCAGACTTGGTTTGGAAAGGAACTCGCAAAACTTGCAGTGGCATGGGAGGTTGCAGATGATCTTGGTGGTACACGGCCCCTTACCACTCAAGACATGTTTGAGCAAAATAGCGAGGATGCCAAGAACGCCACGGTTGCCTCTTATTTTGACAAGAGAATGAGCCGGCAAATCGTTAGTCAGATCGCAATGCTTGCTAAGATTCGTTCACTTTGGTCCTCCAGCAAAGAAGAAGACCTGAGGGAGAAGGTTTCAAATGCTGCGAAATTGTCTCGTAAACATGAAGATGTATGGGAGAAAAAACCAGAATGGTGGGACGATTCTTCAGATCACAATTTCTTGATTCTAGATCGACTCTTCAAGCATGGCTTTTCCAATTTTGGAAACGACACTAGTGGTTTTGGACCTGATGATGCGGAAAGTTTGTCTCTCAAGCAGCTCAGTTTGACAAAATCAATCATCCAACAGCGAGCCAACCAATTGATCCGGGAAATGCACCAATCGGATGAAACAGAAGAAACGATGAAGATATTGCACGAACGCCGCAGGCGATCGTCAAGCAGCTACGATAAATCGCTGGTGGAATGTGGCAAGGGTAAGAGCAAGAGTATGAGCGCATCCAAAAAGGGCTCGGGTGCAAAACAACAAAACAAGACAATTCAGACTGGGCTGCACTCTTTTTTCAAGCAAACGAAGTCTGGGTCCAAGAAGCAAAGTGTTGTCGAAATTTTGGACGATAATTCCGATTCCTCGAGAGAATCGGGAAAGCGCAAGGAAGCTGACGGATCTGATGAGGCATCATCGCCTTCCAAAAAGGCAAAAGTTGGTGGTGATGTTGAAGTCGTACGCGTGAAACCAGCCTTTGACGGAGCTGCTTCTGATTCCTTGGCTTCTTCCAACAGCGGTGCATTTCGAACTCGTGTCAATAGCCAAGGCGAAATAGAAGTTGTAAATGTGGAATAGATACCGGTATGCCGTGACTACCCCTGTAAACTAGAGTGTCTTCTACTGAAGTTGCAACTACTTTTTGTATTTGCAACAGATGGCTGAGGTTTGCTTACTTCAGCTGCCTGCGCAAGTATTGTATGGTCTGGGATTGCTTGACACCAGAACTTTCTACTTCGAAATGTTGTAAGACGATGACCCGAACGAGAGAACATAACTACTAGAATAGATTAGGCCCATATCAACATAGGACCTAAACCATCGGATTATAGTCAGCTTCAGTACAAAAAGTGATCGGGACACACAGCATATGGGATCCCAGTTGGCAACGTATGGGTTCGCCCACGATCAGACCCAGCTGGACTACAGGAGGAACTGAACTCTTCTGGCCGACCCATTCCAACGGCTGTAGTCAGCATGTCAATGAGTGCTTTCTGCTCAGCGGTTCCCTCCTTGAAATATTTGTGATGACCATAATTTGGCGAATATTGCGGTCCCATGACAGCACTCCGACACAATCTTAGGAACGGATTTGATTCATCATTATTGTACACCATTACCTCAGTCGTGCTCCACTCTGTGTCGAGTGCATTGTTGTCACTTGACTTCTCGTCCAGAACGTTGTAAAACGACCCTGTACTACGCATTCCAGTATAGATGGTGGCCAAAGATTGGTGCAATCGAATGACAACCGTCCTCCAATCCAACTCTTCGAGCTTGTCGCATATATTTTTGGCACGTTCCGGTGAAACAGGGCCACTTTCAATGCTGTGTTGACCATCGAAATTTTGCCATTGAATTCTATGCACCTTTGTTTCTGTTGTTGTGGTAGCATCAAATGTTAAACGATATCGTACCGTAAATATGTCACAGTTGCCACCAGGGAATCTGTTTGCTGTTTTCCAATACACATCAATTCGAGTCCGACCACTGTTGGCATCAGTCAAACTGGATGGTATGGGTGGTCGAATCGTTTGAAGCATAGGCCGTGGTTCTGGTAATTCTTGTACTGTTGCTGCTGTTGTCCGAGCGTAGTTTTCGACGGATTCATTGTCGTCGACAAAGCACTTCGCCAAACCACCCCCATTCTCATTATCGTTGGCAATGGCGTAGCAGATGTCCATTGAGTTGATATGTTTCCGACTATTGTCCATGGCTTGATTACCAGCCAGCTCCATCACTTCAGCAACCAAGTATTCTGCAACAGCTGTCAACATTACACCTGCCGATGGTTCCACCTCCATCGGCTCGATTCCATCGTCGTCGGCAACCTTCTGAACGTTTTCTTCGAGCTGTTGCTGAATCCGAGCGACAGGGAGAACCAACCCACATTTCTTATTGAGCTGAAGGTCGTCATCCGCCAATGTTTCGCTCATATCAGTATCTTCACAGGGTTCTTCCGCCGCATCCTTTACCAGGAGAGTCGTGTATCGGCGGCCGCCAGTCTCTTCATCGCAATCGTACATGTATTTTCGCATATCGATTGGCTCCATATATGCATATCCGTCTGATACGTTTTCTTCCATGTACGCCTTCAAGGCAGACCCGCTACATGATTTCCCCGTTCGCTCATTGTACTTGCTGGCAATATTATCCCAGAGAAAGCCATACTCCAAGCTCTTGCTCGTCGTTTTCTGATGACGTTCCTCCTGTTTTGCTTCAAAACCATGGGGCAACTGAATCGAATCAAAATCTTGTTCTTCCAACACTATCAGCCAATCCAGCAGAATTAATGAAATCTCTTCCTTGGTAAGTTCTAATGGGGGCGATGACATTATGTCTTCTTCAGCAGATAGATACCGCCGGTAAAGGATACCACAGGTTATCGCGATGCAATGTGATACATATTATAATAATTTATTAGAAGATCCTCATCTCGCAGTGAAAGTTTGATCTGACTCCTTCGATCGAAAGTAACTACATCTACCGGAAATGATGAGTTCAATCATTTGTATTGATTTCTATTTTGAAAAAGGAAATAATGCTATAGTGCTATTATTATGGATATGTGTGCCTTAGTAGCACGAAACATTGCCTTTTGCAAAAGCGACTTCTTTTCATTGAGGTCCCTCACTTAGCTCCGATTCTCCAAGAGACGTTTCAACAAAGATCTATGTACCTTGATCCGTCGCTTCGTGTCAGCATCATCGTCACCGTGCATTCTTCGCCGAATCCTTAGTGCCTCTGCACTTACAACAATAGCATCTTCCAACAACCCCATGTCAACTCTGACATCCGAAATATTCTCGAGCACAACTGCCATAGTGGTACAGAAATTAGAGGTTCCCAAGTACAACTCTAGCGCCTCTTGGAAGAGTTGTTCTGCCTTTTCCAAATCGCCCTCCGCTTTCATAGCCAGTCCCTGTTCGTTCAGTGCTGCCACATTTTTCTCTAGTTCCAACACTTCAACAGCAAACACGAGCTCTTTTACGTTGCGATGATCATTGCCAAGCTCCTTTCGACGAATTTTGACGGCTTTCGCGTACGCCTCGATAGCACGTTCTACCATCTCTTGTCGGACATATGCTTGTCCAAGCTGTTCATAGGTTTCTGCTGTTTTGGGGTGCATTTCACCTAGCGTTTCCATTTGTATCACTAGTACTCTGTTGAACGCCTCCGTAGCAGCTACCAAGTTGCCCTGTACCTTTAGAGCTCTTGCTTGGTTGTTGAGCGCTGTTTCCAATATCGCTATGTCGAAGCCTTCCAGCTGTTGTAAATGATTGCATATTTCTATGCCTCTATCAAGCAACTGAAGCGCATCGTCCAACCTGTTTAGAAGAAAAAGCAGCTGTGCAATGCCATTATATGCAACTACAACGTCGGGGTGGTATTCTCCATGCATTTGGAGTATCGCCCCAAGTTGAAGTTTGTATATCTTGGTCGCTGCTGAATACTTGCCTTGCTTTTTCAATGAATATGTAAGGCCTTGGTACAGTGTAATCAAATCATAATGATCATTTGGCAGAAGTTTGCGCTTGATATCCAAAGCTTCCCGGAACATTTCTTCGGCTTTTTCAAAATTGCCTTGCATTGCAAAGACACAGCCAATTGCCGCGTAGGTTTCAGATGTATCATTATGTTCTCCCAACTTTTCCATGCGTATCGCGAGGGCTCTATTCAGTTTCTCCAAGGCTTCATCTAGATTCCCTTGCTCCATCAGCGTGATTCCCATGCGAGTGAGTGTGAAGGCCACAATGATATCATCATCTAAGTCTTCTGTTTGTATCGCTAACAGTCTTTCAAAAATCTCCTTGAGATCCACAGCCGAGTCTTGTTCATTGCCATCCATTGTTGCCTTTTTCGTTTTCTTTGAGATGACAATGATGCGTTGCCGTGAATATGTGCATCGCATTCTTCATATTTCATGGGTTCGGAATGACGCGTTGGTAGGTTCATACCAATCTACACTATATACCTGTAGTATGCAACATGATGCTACACAGTACACGTATCATACCTTCCCACAAAAACTGTGACACATATAGAGCGAACAGTTGCAACTGACGCGAGTTGAGATATATAGTGCTGCGGTACCGATACCAGCCAGTAATATAATGCGCGTGTATATGGTGTAACGGCATCCGTATCCACAACCGGGTTATATGGACACAGATACGAGTGAACGCAGACTTCTTTTTGGTTACTCTAGAGGTACAGTGTACGTACTGTAATATAATCTTTTTTGTATCCTATTTTTATTACTTCTCCAAAAGAAAAACCGTCGCAACACTACAGAGCGAGTATTACCACAAGGGGGTGGAATCGTCATCATCGTCTACCGATATTGAATCGATAATTTGTATCTATATTTGACAAGTAGTATTTTCATGTAGCAACCCTACCGGTATCCCTTCTTGCTGTATCAACTGCTATTTGTCAACCCTCAATGACCGCGTTGCGAGTTGAGTGCCAAAATCGAGCGCCTCCCTCACTGTGGAACATGTGCTCTGAAAAAGGTCCAAGCACAAAGAAAGCCCGATCACCTGGACCGACCCAGCGCCATGAGTGCCTATTTCATTCTACCATCCAATTCAGAAAGTTGTTTGTACAACCAATACTCCATGAAACCCCTGTAACATATTTAGCTCCGATTCTCCAAGAGACGTTTCAACAATGACCTATGCGCTTCCGTACGTAGCCTCGTGCCAGCATCTTCGTCACCCAGCGTTCTTCGACGAATTTTGAGAGCTTCTGCACTCGTGGCTATGGCATCGTCCAGCATTCCCTGGTCAACTTTGACAGCCGAAAGATTCTCGAAGATTGCTGCCTTTTCCTTCAAAATTTCGTTCGCCTCTTGGAAGAGTTGTTCCGCCTTTTCAGAATCGCCTTCCGTTTGCATTGCCAATCCTTGATTTCTCAGTATTCTCTGATATTTCTCCCGCTGTAACAGTTCTCGGTTAAGCACAAGCTCTTTTGTGTTGGAATGGTCATCGCCAAGCTCCTTTCGACGAATATTAATGGCTTTCGCATACGACTCGATGGCACCTTCTATGATGTCTTGTCGGATATATACTAGTGCGAGTTCTTCATAGGTTTCGGCTGTTTTGGGGTGCATTTCACCCACCGTTTCAATTCGAATCATTAGCACTTTGTTCCACGTCTCTGTGGCACCTTCGAGGTTGCCCTGTTGATTCTGTATTTTTGCTTTATGGCGGAATATTGAGCCCAATACCTTCATGTCGAAGTCTCCCACCCGTTGTAAGCGACTGGAAATTTCGATGGATTTATCAAGCAACTGAACAGCATCGTCCAACCTATTTTGAAGTTTCAGTAGCATTGCAATGCCTTGATATAAGTGTGCAACGCTGGGGTGAAACTCTCCATGAATTTGTAGTATCGCCGCAAGTTGGACTTTGTATACCTTGATTGCTTCTGAAAACTTGCCTTGGTTACTCAATGAGAGCGCTTCACGTTCGTAAAGTCCCGTCACTTCAATATGATCATTTGGAAGAATTTCGCGCTTGATATCTAGAGCTTCGCGGAACATTTCTTTGGCTTGTTCATGTTCGCCTTGTCTCTGAAAGGTAATGCCAATTTCCTCGTAGGAATCGGCAGTATCACAATGTCTTCCCAATTTTTTCACACGTATCGCAAGTGATCTGTTGAGTTTCTCAAAGGCTTCATTGAAATCTCCTTCCTCCCTTAGAATGGACCCAATGTACATCAGTGTCTTAGCCACAGCAATATCATCTTCACCTAGGTCTTCCGTTTGTATCTCCAACACTGTCTCCAAAGTCTCTCTTGCTTTTCGAGAGTTTCCTTCTTCAAACTGATAGATATGGCACTTGTTCATAAGCTCCTGGATTACCGAGTCTTGACATTTTCCCTCCATCATTTCCCTTTCTGTAGAGTCAGTGAATCTAGTGTGCTGCCTTCTTCTTGTTTGAGATGATGGTGCGCATATCTACTATCATTATTGTACTGGAGCGGCCTGAAATGGCAGGCTTGCTGGGAATGTCCTCAGCGATGTCGTATAGATTGCCTATCAAGGATGACGGAAGCTGACTTGCCGGTGACAGACTCTGCGCAATGCAGAGCTTGGGCTTCGCTGAAAACGAGCCTGCCTAAAGATTCATTTCATTCGTGGACGTTCCGTTGAAATGGGTGAACTTCGTCGGACACTTCGTCGGACCGACGAAACTTCGTCGGATCCGACGAAACTTCGTCGGACCCGACGAAACTTGGTCGCATTAGAAACAGGGTAGATTATTTTTAAACCTCTTGATCGGATTAATCCTAAATCTATTACTCAACTGAGTACAATTCGTGGTTGACGTTTGAATTTCTGAAAGCATGCAACATGTCTGTAGCAGGTGGTATTAAAATACCGTTTTTTGCCGTTGTTGCTTGTCATTCTTCTTGGACCAGCTTGCGTGCAACGGTATGCCAACCATAGAATTCATTTAGAATTTTACACGATTCTTGCGAGCTCCGAAACCAGTTTCGTCCATTTTGTCCATTTCGTCCATTTCGACGAAGAATAGTCGGACTCCGACGAGAATAGTCGGACTCCGACGAGAATAGTCGGACTCGACGAAGGGTCGACTATTTTCGTCCATTTGGACGAAGGTTCAACGGTTCGGAAGCATTTAAAAAAGGCACGCACGCCGAGTAGTTTTGAAAAGAAAGACGCGCCAGTCAACCAAACTTGTGTAAAAAATTGAAGACTATGCTATTCCCATCATTTTGTCCGAACGACACCCCCGAAAAGCTGACTCGGCGCGTGTAGGTCCAGTTACAGGCCGCTCCTGTATATCATCGTATTTTTACATGTCGTGTGTCGTGTGTTGTGATGATGACCCGTGTGATATTGTGATTATGACTGACTGACTCGCGCGACGCAGCATAATATGTCCGTTTGAAAAATGTCCGACAATAAAATCGCCTCACATTTTATATTACAATCCGAGGAAGAAATGGTGAAGAAAGTAACACCCCAGGACCAGGAGAACCCATCATCCTTGTCGCCATCTGTAGCCTATTACGGCTCCTGACTCGTTTGCAAAGAGGAAAAGGATATATATGTGTATTATATTGTGTCCAGAATGTACTCATCCACACTCTCCCCTTGACACCACCACGTGGGCTTAATTGTAGGCCTACTAGACGAGGACACACCCAGTACAATTTTGATTTGGCATTGCTTGGCGCAAAGCAAAAGAAGCAGTATGATGGTATACTAATATACTAATGATAATAATAATGGCAGAAAACTGGTGCGAGTGATGTCCAATCAACGGGGATATCGGATGGCATTGTTTTTGAAATATGATGATATTTGCAGAGAAAGACACATTCTTCTTCCCAACACTTGTCGCATGTGCAATAATACACTCAACTTGTGGTTACTATACCGGTACTAGAAATCATCGCATATTTGTTACTGTAGTGCACAAGTTGCTGTATTGGAATATAGTCAATTACAGCATACCAATTTTCTTAAATGAATCATTATTAAATTTCTAGACTCGGACAAAACTTGAGCCATCTCCTTCTTCACATGAGTCTTTTTATCTTGGTCTCAAAGTATGAGAAAAAAGATGTTAGAGTGAGACAGAGAGCAACAGGCAAGGTACGAGGATGACCAATGAAAGGAAAACCTCCCAGTGAGGATTTCCGCTCCATCCGGAGGTTGGTTGGGAGGTTTGTGTCATGGATGATGTGCCATGGTTGGTCCAGAGATTGCTGAGGGGCTTGGTGTCGGAGTGGTGGTCTCCAAGAGTTCCTGCAAAAGTAATCCTGGTGAGTCTTCATATCATACAAACGTGGCAAGCAAGCTCGAACAGCTTGTACTTACATTCAAGTTGTAAATGGAAACAGAATCTGATCTCCAATCCCCAACTGCAAGCGTAAATCCATCGCTGGATAGTGAAACTAGATGGCCACCGAAGCTGCCGATGATGCCACCTAGTTCTAGCCAAGTACCATCCGCCAATATGTACACCTGTGGAGCGACCCTGTCGGATCCCAACGCAAGAACAGAACCAGAAGATGATAGGGAAACAGATTCTCCAGAATAGATTTGTCCCCCTAAGTCTTTTAAGGTTTGGCCAACTTGGATCCACTCAGCATCCTTCCACTCAAACACTTGCACTCGTTTGTTTATTCCAACTGCGACAATGTTCCCATCGCCAGAGAGAGCCACCGAAACCCCGGTAAAGTAAGAACCGAAACCGACGTCTATACTACATCGAGGCCGCGCTTTGCCCAACTTTCCCCGCTCCACTCAAACACTCGTACAAACCAAAGGGCGCCAATTGCAACAACCAACCCATCTTCCGAAAGTGCAATATCACTGGGCGTTTTTCCCCCACTTATTGATTCTCTATCAATATTGGCTCCCAATTTTAGAAATGATGAACCATTCCATTCGTAGACTCGACCATAACCAGCATTACGACGAGTATTCAACCGATCTCCAATAGCCACCCTCGATCCATCCTTGGAAAGCGATACGGAATAGCCGAATATACTATCCACTACTTCACCGGGAATCACACCCAGAAGTCCCCAAGCCTCATTCACCATCTCGTAGACAGATACGCTTCCTACATTTCCGGAACTTATTGCACCAATTGCCACTCGATTTCCATCCCCGGAAAGGGAGATAGCATGGCCAAAGTCACCTCCTAATGAGTTTCCAAACAAGGTAAGGTTGGTCAATTCGTTCGAAGGTGATGCACTCGAACCCTGCTCCTTGCGGAAGAATCGAACACTTCCGTTTCGGATATCGCCACTGTTGAAATTGCGATCGTTGCCAATGAAGGGGGGCTAACCATAGTCATTTGCAGCAAGAAAGGTACCATCTCCGGATAGGGAATAGGACGAGCTGTCGGCGGTCAGTTGAAAGGTAGCGGCAAGGTCCCACGCAGATGGAATCATTATCTTGCAATAATAACTGGCGGGTGGAAGTAGCAACTTGTGGAAAGTCCTCACTGCTTACCCTAACTTCTTGGTTCGCAAAAGCATCAGGAGGAGGCTTGTCGTTGCTGGTTAAGCCAATGATACTTCCTTGGTTCTCGTTTCCTGCCCATTGACGAAGAGACAAGGATTGAGACCGGACGACTTGAGCAAGGGAATAAAGGAGCACCAAGGCCAAGCTCGCTACTACATTCGTGAAGGTTGGTACCATTTTAAAGTATCGGTATACTATATAGCGAATGTGCCTAATCTAATCCACGAATTGTGAAGCGCAATTATTCTGTATACCCATCATACATATATAAGCGCGTTGTCAATGAGTCTATATATTATCTCATCTCGTCGGCGGAATAAAGGCGAATGTCACGCCTAACAAAGTACTTTCATTGCGGGGCTTTATCGTGTTTGACAATGTCATACAGTCTATATCATATGATTTACATACTGTACCTGGTACCTGGTACCGGTAGCAGAAAGAGCTTTTATGTGCTCGAGTACGGGACGGATTACTCACTCACAAAGATTGCGTTGATGGTATTTCGGCGACGAAAGATTATATCCGCTGTGGTCCTTGCATTGATTGGTACCTTGTAATATACCCCTCAGCTGCTGAGCATTTGTTTCATCAACAATATGTACAAGCAGAACACGTCATATAAGCAATCATCATTTCGTTGCAATGGCAGCTTTGGGCCCCCTTCGTTATTGGGCGCAACCCAACTAAGGCTCTTTGTTTGCATAGGGACGAATCCACTTATACCTCGCATATCTAACTCCGACTCTCCAAGAGGCGTCTTAGTAGAGATCTATGCGTTGTCATGCGTAGCTTCGTGTCAGCATGTTGGTCACCAAACCTTCTTCGACGAATCTTGAGGTCGCCTGCGCTTGCAGCAATGGCGTCTTCCAGCAACCCTTGATCAACTTTGAGAGCCGACAGGTTCTCGTAGACTGCTGCTGCATTGGGACTGATAGAAGAAAGATCCTTGTAATTATCCAACGCCTCTTGGAAGAGCTGTATTGCTTTCTCCGAATCCCCTTCTGCTTTCATTGCCAGTCCTTGTTCGTTCAGTGTCCTCAGACTATAATCTCACACCACTTCAAGGAGGTGCACAAGCTCTTTTGTGTGGGGATGATTGTTTCCAATCTGTTTTCGATAAAGATTGATAGCTTTCGAAAACCACCTAATGGCATCTTCTATCATATGCTGTCCGAAGTATGCGTGTTCTAAATTTTCATAAATCGCTGCGGTTGTCGCGTTCATTTTTATCATTAGTGCCTTGTTCAAAATCTCCGTGGCAGCTTCGAGGTTGCTTTGCTCCATTAGTATGCTTGCTTTATTGTTGAGCGTTTTTCCAAATATAATTGCGTCTAGCTCTCCCAACTGTTCCAATCGATTGCAAATTTCGATGGCCCTATCAAACATCTGAATCGCGTCATCTGGCCTATTTTGACGCATCAATAACCCTGCAATGCCATTATATGCAAGCACAACATCGGGGTGATATTCTCCATGCATTTCTAGCAGTGACGCAAGCTGGAGTTTTTGTATCTTGGTTGCTTCTGAAAATTGCCTTGCTTTTCAATTGAATCGGCCAAATGATGGTTCAGAGCCATTACTTCAGAATGATTCCTTGGCAGAACTGCAAGCTTAATATCAAGCGCTTTCCAGAATAGCTCTTTAGCCTTTTCGAACTTCCCTTGCTCCTGAATGACAAAGCCAATGATTCGATATGTTTCCGCAGTATCGCGATGTCTTCCCAATTTGAAATTTGTTCACACGTATCACGAGTGCTCTGGAAAGGTTTCTAAAAGGCTTCGTGGCAAATCCCTTGCAACGCCAGAATATTTCCCATTTTATGGAGTGTCCAGGCCACATCAACAGAATCTTGACCCATGTTTCTCGTTTGTATCTCCAATACTTTCTCCAAAGTCTCCTTTTCCTTGACATGGTTTTGTTGTTCACAAATACTAGACTCGGGCATTGTCAAGCAGTTCCTTCATCAAGTATTGCTCATTGCCTCCGATTATTTTCGATTCTGCAGTAGAATATATATCTCTAGTCTCGTCCCCCCTCATCCTTATTCTTTGCGATGATATACTGCATGATGATGATACAAGGAGAGGGCGGTGACAAAATTCAAAATACTGATGATGTGCAACTTTTTCAAAATATTTGAACGTTAAATGTGCGTGAGCCTAACGACCCGAACTGTTGTTCGTTTGAAAAATGTCCGACAAAATAACAACGTATCAGAAGAATAAGCGAATAATGATGAATGGAAAGGTGAAGGTGAAGCTATAGCCTATCATGAGGAGCAAAGCATTCACCTGTGCCTCTGGTTGTAATCTATTACCATGGTTGATCCTTATTTTGCTTACGTGCAGGGAGGACAAAGAATCTGAAAACTGATGTGCTGACATTAATGAAATTGCGTGTTCTTTCGTGTCATCGCAAAACCGAACACCAAAAAGACGACGAGAACCCCCTTGGATGGATCTCATCATGCGCAACGAGATCCCCTCGTTCCTCATAAAAAGAAGTTTAGAAACGAACAGTAGAACAAACAAGCAAAACCTTACACAAGAAAAACCATCATCCATGAATACTCTTGCCATCCTCTCCAGACGGGCTGCATTGACAGTCGCCAGAACACAATCCCAGTCCTCCTGCGTCCCTCGCATGATTCCTCGTATGCTCCTGAGTACTAGTACTGCTGCCGCCGCACCACCACAACCCTTTGCCGTCGAATCTCCCGAAGGACCTTCGGATTTGGAACGTGCCGACAACCTTGATTGGGACGAATTCGCCGTCGACTATGAGATCATGTCGGGGCACAACATCAAAATCAAGGAAGATCGAGCCGCTGCGGCCATGAGGGGTCGTACTGCTGCACCACAACCCTTTGCAGTCGAATCTCCCGAAGGACCTTCCGATTTGGAACGGGCCGAGAATCTCGACTGGTATGAATTTGCCGTCGACTATGAAATCATGTCGGGGCATAATATCAAAATCAAGGAAGGTCGAGCGGATGCCGCCAAGACTTTTGCGGTCGAGTCCCCCGATGGTACCACAGATGCCGAAATGATGGACACGGCCCAATGGGACGAGCAAGCCATTGAGCGAGAGCTCAAGTCTGGGCTTGCTTCTGAAATCATACGAGACCGTAAAGAAGCAGCCAAGGTGTTTGCAGTTGAATCTCCCGAAGGTCCTTCGGATTTGGAACGTGCTGACAACCTTGACTGGGACGAATTCGCCGTCGACTATGAAATCATGTCGGGGCACAACATCAAGATCAAGGAAGGTCGAGCAGCTGCTGCCAAGGTTTTGGCAGTGGATGCTCCGGATGGAACTCCAGATGCGGAACTGGCGGACATTGCCCAATGGGACGAAGCAGTGATCGACTATGCGGCAGAACATGAAGATTTGGCGGAAGTTCATCGCATTCACAAGCTTGAACAAGATGTCCGCAGAGAGACAGCTCTGGATGCCGAGCGCATTTGGTAATAATCAAGAGCAAGACACATGATGAACCAACACACAGCACACAGCTGCTGTACGCATCAATCTCATCTATCCACTTGTCGGAGCCCCGACGACTTGACTCTTTGACGTGTATAGGGCCAGTCAGTCTCGTGTCGACATGCACGCTTCATTGCATGTCCCATACATATATACCATACACCCATGAATGCACACATACATAGATATCATGTCAAGACATTATCAGACAAAGTAAAAAAACCAAACACACTATAGGCTTGACCGAATCAATCAAAATAAACCACTGTTAAACTATGATACCGTATGGCTGATTACAATCTTTTAAATCATGATCCCTGATCCAATTGTTTCAGCGCCGCCGACAACCAGTCGGGTCCTGAGGTGTCCGCCGGATACAGTAGGACGGATTCACCCTCTTGTTCTTGGAGGGTAAATCCACAGACCATCATTAATTCTACGGCACCCTCCACATCCACAAGGGCCGCCTTGATTTTGGGATTGGCCAATCGGACCTTGCGGAATTTGGCCGAATCCTCGCCTGGTTTTTGCCCCTTGGTAGTGGCATTGATCAGCAATTTTTTCATAATATTAAGACTGGAAGACAAGACGGCTTGGTCCGCAGTCGCCGATACCATGGTGGCTTTGGCTTGTTGAAATTCCAAGGGCAATTCTTCGTCATTGTCGTCGTCTGCTGCTGCCGTGGTGGCATCCCGCGGAGGAGCCACGCTGGGCAAATGATCTCCTGCCGTACCAGCATTCATGGTCCCATGTTGGACCGCCGTTGTGGCGTTACGAGCTTGTCCAGCGGTGGATCGAGAAATTTCGTAGGGATTGTATCCCAATTGAGCTGCCACTTGGGCTTCATTCTGTTTGGCAGCCTCTGCGGCCAATCGAGAGGCTTCCGATTTGGGTTCTTGACTGCTGGGATTCAATTGTTGTTCTAACTGTTGTTGTTCCAATATTTGCTGTTGTTTGGCCAATGTACTCTTGGTGACTTGCTTCATTGGTTTGGATTTGATCTTGTGGGCTTTTTCTCGGGCTTCAGCAGCTGCAATGACGGCCTTGCGACGGGCTTCGGCGTCCGCCGATTTGCCAGCCCCACTACTCCTAGCAGCAGCCTGCTTCTTTTCCAAAGAAGTGGAAATGCGGCGAACTTCCAGTTCTGCAAGCGTCAATTATTGTGGTAAAAGTGAAAAAGAAAGAGTCGCAATAAGTATAAGTCAAATTTCATGATGCTTCATCATTCCGATTCAATACGAGTTTTGGTACATGGATTACTGCAGAGAGAGCACCATACATCCAAACGCAAGAAACAAGAATGCAGTCAAAACTCACCAATTGGTCGTTGGTCGGATCTTGCCATGTCCAAAAACATATCGTACATGATCTCTTCTTGTCCATTGCTTCCGGCAAAGCACAAGATATCACCTCGCAACATTCCAGCCTTCTCCGCTTGTCCACCAGGAACTATTTCGTGTACAATGGCTGTCTTTTCCGAATTGGATCGCTTTTCCACCCGGACACCCAAGGGACCTGGCTCGGGAAGCGAAATGGAGTGGACCGTGCCTGGTTGGGAACCTCCCAAGGCTTGGCCACCGCCGTGGAATTTCTTTTGTCCTCCAAACATGTTGCCTAGTGGATTCGGCTTCTTTTTATCGTCCTTGAAAATATTGTCCAAGAATCCCATTTTGAGAATATGCTTGCTTGCTTGCTTGCTTGATGGATGGATGGATGGATTGATTTTGTGTGCCGATTGAGTGAATGCGAGATGCGTCGCTTTGCTTTTGGTTTTGGTTTTGCTTTTGCTTTGCTTATATATCGATACTGATCCTTGTTGGACTGCTGGCTTTTCCTCGCGACTCGATAGAATGAATCAATTTCCAGCTTTTGGAAATGTGTCTTGCAATATTAAACTACGTTCGATGGTTTCCACCGCTGAATGGCACAAGTGTTTTGCAATGCCAGAAACAAGAGTGAAAAGATTTGATTTTTCTTCTTTCGGTTGCGTTCTTTCGATTGGTTCGACTAGTATACCGGAAATACGACTTCTTCGATTCTAAAATATTGCGATATTATCTGTATACCGGTACACGTGTACCGGTATATATGTTGTAGTGTAACTGTTTGTTGCTCTCACGCATTACGTCCAAATACCGAAATGGAGTTGTAGTAGGGAGAATCATTCCCGCGAATTGCATTTGAATATCTCTTGCTTGCGCAAGCTTGAATATGAATCCTACATTTTCTACTGCAATGACTACCGGTATAAATAAGAGAAAACCCACAAGGCATCTCATTCATCGTCACCGCATTATTGCCACATTACATACGAAAGAGTGCAAGCATAGCAAAAGATAATGTCAGTTCGGCACCAACATCAAGGGAAAAGAAGTTCCAAGAAATGTTCAAATACTGACATTCAATCGAGGCATTCAGGTTTTACCTATTATTGAGTTGTGCTCCGGCTGTAGTAGGTTTTTGCAGGAAGTAACTCTGCCTGAAGGATTGATCGAGATTGGTATTCGGGAATTTGCTAGCTGCACAAGGCTGCTGGAAATCAAGATTTGTAGCACGGTAGAATGTATTGGGTATAGTTCATTTTTGGATTGCCACCAGCTGAAGAAAGTATAATTTGAAAAGTCATCGACTTCGCCCCAACATGATCATCTAACAACAATCGGTATCTTGGCTTTCTCTTCGTGTAATTGATTGCAAAGAATCAGGCTCCCTTTGTCTGTGAACACGGTTGACTCGTGTGGCTTTATGCTTTGCAGGGCTTTGGAAGTTGACCTCTCGGCGACGTCCATCGTAGAGATTCTCGGTGCGGAGTTCTTTGGTGTAGTCGTGTTTCCTTGCAAACCGTAAGCCTACCAAAATCGTTGGCGCATATTCGGAACGAAGCATCCTTTGACTGCACTTGCTTGGCCACAGTCATAATTCCCCTGGATTCACAGCGGATCAAGATTGAAAGCGAATGAATCCTTTCAAGGCTGCAACTCTCTTGCAAACCTACCTATGTAGCTGCTCCAAAGCCAAGCCAAGCTCTTTTGAAGAATTCACGATACCGAAAGATCGCTTCTGTGAACGGGCAGATCATATTATAACCGATTTGGTAGCCAGACGAGACAGAAAAAATTCTACGTTTCGTGGACTTGGATTCCAAAAAGCTCGAGTCTGCCGCATCTACGGGAACCGTGAACTGATTTTTCTTATCTCGCAAAGGATGCATCAGTACGGGATTGGGCACAGACAAAATGGAAAGACGGATTGGGTACCAACCGTTTCGTTGGGGGCATCGACAAATCAAATGGTTCCAAAGCACAAAATAAACTAGATTCGGAAGCCTCATCGCGAAAAAACAAAGTGTTGGAGGCGTTCGCAGATACCAACGTTGGAATCTTCAGGGTTGTCCGAATGAATCGATTCTACAAGTGGAGCTACTGGCAGTTTTTGTGTGTGGCCATTTACAAAACGAATGGTGTACTGGAGGCAAATGTCAAGACAATTGGTAGGACTGAAGGTATAAAGACTTGTGGCACTCAGTCTTTTATTAAAATACCATTATCGAATAGCGTTGGGATGTTCTGATGAGCAACATCATGGTATTCAATGTTAGCGCTATTGCATGTTCCTTCTTCTTTTTCATCAGAACCATGCAGTATTCGAAAATCAACCGGGATCGAAAGTAAACAATGTTTTGCTTCAAAAAGCTCCTCAAAAGTGGATGGTTGATCGTCTAGAACGTTGGGGTGCGAAATCTTGGATAGAAGACAAGCAAAGTAGGGTACAAGCTATTCTCGCTGAAGACGCCATGAAGCATATTTCATATTTGCACGCTACAAATGTATGGAAGCCACATCGATCTTGGAACTGGCCTTGTGGAAAGGTAATTTGAAGAGCGGACGGAGCAATGATGGTGCCAAGCGACGGGCGCTAGATCGAGAAGAGTGCCGCCGGTGTGTCTGCAGATTGGACTTTGTGATTCCGAGTGTAGTAATGTCCTTGGGAATCCCAACAGGAGCTTGATATCAATTTGATTAACTTGTGCAAGATACCATTGGTCATCAACCAAATTGCAAAGATTATAGTATCGATCTAGACCGTACGGTAGTTTCCTACCATATATCATCATTGCCATAGGAGCGGAGTAGTCATACCGGTAGTTAGTGAATTACGTTCGTTTTCGATTGGTTCGAGTGCGACCCCTTTGACTACAACTTCTCCGTATCGCGTAGTGATCATAATGCCAAGGACAGTTTCAGAGGAAATGAGAGAGGAGGCAATATCCAGATATTGCAAAAAAGAGAGCGAGTATGTTGAACGATGGTGGTAATGTGATCTTTGTCATTTTCTCTTAAAAGTATAAAAGGTAATAAGCGTACCTACGGTAAGCAGAATCATCATCGTGAATTGATTCATTCGACTTCTGTGACGAACACACAGGTGAAAACTTGAATTGTTCTCTCTAGTACATTTTCTACTGCAATGATCTACATAGGACACGTCTCACAGAATAGAACGTAGTAGGAGTTGTGTGAGGCATCACCCGAACATCATGAAAAGTACGCATACAGGAAAGAGTGAATCGGGAGAGAGATAAAGTTGAAAGTGGCATCAAAGCGTAGCGATTTGTCCTTTTAATTCCTGCTAAAGTAGATACCTGATTCCCTTTCCATTTTGATTGCAAGAACAAGGTACAATTCCTTATCATTTTGTCCATTATTGTTTTCATCTCCTCCTATATTTGTTCTAAACAATCATATTCTTTTTCCATATGTTTATTTTATTTCCACAGACCAACCTACAGTATCTTTTTAAAAGGCACATACAAATCACAAACAGCAAAAAGATGTGGGCAGCTCTCAAAGCCGACATGACCGAGTTTGTCACGACCGTCAAGGCCGAGACGACGGAAACTTTGACTGCTTTGGATCAAGGTTTGGACGATGTGAACGATGAGCATAATGACGCGAGTGGTGCCATGATTGATTTGGGAACTGGCATGGCCATTGACAATGATGATGATGATAATAAGAATGCTGCACCTGTTCCTGTTCCGAAACAGCCTCCTTCCAAGGAAGAAATCCTGGAATACTTGTATTCCTGTGAGCCTGTCTTTCGGGATCCCCTGACGGAACACGAAGAAGAAGCCATGAATGAGTTCCAACTAGACGAAAAGACCCAAGAGATAACCAAATTGTTGGAAGAGCATCCTGAAACGCTTCGAGCGACCTTTGAACAATTGACAAGTGAAGTGGAGTATGCTGACTTTTGGAATCGGTATTATTGCCGATTGAGTGAAGAAAACCTAGAAGAAACATTTGCCAATTATTACATCGAGGAAAATGAGGCTACTGGACCATCTGCCTTGAGCAGTGTTACCAACTTTTTGGGAGGTGCCGTAGCCAGACTCGTTGAAGAAGGAGAAGAAGTTCAGAATCGTTCGGGAGGAGCCTCTGCCAAGAGTGCACTAGGGTTCTTAACACGAGGTGGACGTCCGCCCTTTGTACTCAATACAGCTGTCAGTAGCGATGATGACGAAGAGTATGAAGGAGAACAACAACAAGATTCTTTTGAGGATGAAGAAGACTTTGGCTGGGGAGAAGATAGTGAGGAAGAGGAAGAGGATGACGACGAAAATGAAGGTGATTATGATGGTGGTGGCGAAGTTGTAGAGTTCAAGGATACCGAAAAGGAAGACCTTAAGCAAAAGCTTGCACAAGCCATGGAAGAAAGACATCAATTGCAAAAGACTATTGAAATGCAGACGGCCGAGATTAAAGAACTCAAGGTCAAAGAGGCTGAGGACGACAAGGGACATGCTTCGGCAACAGCCGAAGAGGCAGCAGCACCCGCGGATGCCGCCTTGAAACAAGAGCTGGATGCTCTCAAAATGGAGCTATTCGAAAAGGAGTCCGAGTTGGCTGGTTTGAAACTGAAAATGGACGACAACAACATGGAACATCAACATCAGAGCGAAGAAATCTCGGAAGAAATGCAGGTACACTTGAACGAAAAGGACGGAAAAATTGCTAGTTTGGAAGCACAATTAAACTCGTTCCAGGAAAATGCTTCCAACGCCAATGATGCCCTCCTGGCTCAAACCAAGCAAGAAAATGAAGAACTACAGAAATCTATGAACGACTTTGTTCATCGGTGGCAAGATCAAGAAGCAAAAAATACTGCATCCGCACAAGCCCTCGAAAAGTCGCAAGCGGAAAACGAGGAACTCGGTGAGGAAGTTCAGTCACTCAAGGACCAACTCGCGGCCCTACAAAAAGACTTGCAGATTGCTAATTCCGCAGCAGCTGTTGCTGCATCTTCTCAAGGAGATGATACTGGCAATAATGCTCTACAAGAAGAGCTGCTTCAAGCCAAACAGCAAGTCTCCACTTTGCAACAAGAGGCGTCCAGTGTCAAGAGTCAACTGGAGGGATTGCAAAAGGAGAACCAAGAACTTGTCAGCCAATTGCAGGCGTCCCAATCCAAGGAACAAGATCTAATCAAGAATTTGGATCAAGCGAAGGCACTGCTACAACAAGCCGCAAACGATGCTGCGGGCATGGACACGTTGACACAGGATAAGGAAGCACTGGCTGCAGAATTGCAAGCAGAAAAGGTCAGGCAAGCTAGTTTGCAAGAGGAATTGCAATCCACAAAGGCCTTACTTTTGCAAACCCAAGTCGAATTGGAGAATGCCAAGACACAGCAGCAAACCCAATCTGAATTATTGGAGACCAAGACACACTCGTCTGCTGGATCACAGTCGACAGGAATCAAAGTACCTGAGCCAGCAGCATTGGTACCAGATGTTGGTGATGATGGTGGTGGTGGTGACGAGGATGTCGAAGCCGATGCTGACGATTGGGGTGATGATTGGTAAAAGCGCACAAGCAAATATCCTAAGTGGCATGTCACTTTGATCTTGGTTCCACACAGAAATTAGAATCTATTATATAAAAGATACATATTATATTTTCCCTTCTTCCCCCTTGTCCTTTGTTCAATGTATTGTTGTCAGGGGAAGAACCGATGAATGAAACAACCCTTCATTCATGGGTCTTTCTTCATCATAAGCTGCTCTATCTCGGATGCTTGGCGAGCCTTGATTTCTTGCAATGCTCCGACCCTTCTTTTCAATTGGGCGAGCTCCGTGTCCTTTTCGAGGATTTGGCTATCCTTTTCCTGCAGCTCATTATTCATTTGGAGGAGATGCTCGCGTAGTTCTTCATCTCCGGCAACACCCGCTTCGGGGTCGAATCTGCGCGAATTTGCCGGCAGTGGGTCAGTACTGCTAGGTTCAGCACCAGCACCAGCATCCTTGACCCACAAGCCTACGGACGACTTTGGATGCATGGGAGTCAGTCCGCCGTGTTCTTGTTTGCGTTCGCTGCCATCCAGAGATTCATCGTCTGAATTGTTCTCATAGATAACAGGTGGTTTCCATGGTATGGACGGCATCTCATCTGCCATGGTTGTAGATTCCGTGTGGTTCAACGAGTATTGAAACGACGATGAGAGGCTTGGCTTCTGAGCGGTCGGTGAATTCACTCTAGCCTGCTGGTGAATTTGGCTGGTAGCAGCCGAGTAGTTGGCACGGCCTCGGTTTTGTTGCTGTTGGATGGTTTCCGATGGCATTACCATTTTTGGGACAAGGTAGATCATGAGGGCAACAATAATGTCCAAACTCAGCAAGTAGCTGGTAGCTATGGAACTCGTGTAAGCATCGTCGTCAAAGACCAGCGAGACAATAACCCGGAGCGCCAAAAAGATAAAGTGGGAGTAAATCATCATCCCCAAACTCTTGGATTCATTGAACTCGGCCTGAACATTCCTCGACTGGAATGCCAACACTGAGCACCACAAAATGAGAATACTCTCCCAAATTAGATAGATGATATTCCAATATGGGGAACTGGAACGACAGCCAAAGTGGGACGTAACAGTGGTTCGGTCATCTTCTAGTTTTCGAACTTCTGTAGCTTTGGAGGGATCTACTGCCGTCCACACGATCAAGTACAACGCCACAATCCCAGACAATACCAGCAGACTTGTATACAGCTGCTGTCTATTGATTTGCACTCGACGCATCTTCTTCGAAGCCTTCATTAAATGGTTCAAGGCAGTCACTTTGATAATCAGTGGTACCAGCTCAAAAGTGTATCCCAGGCTCACCAGCCATACTCTCGTCATGCAGATGGTGTCGTCTGGCTCGATCCCATTCATAATGGCTCCAATCGCCACAAGAAATAGACCGAAGAGCATGACAAAGATGAACCGCACCTGAGAATACACAAAGACAGCTGCTTTGCGTTTCTTGAAGGAGACAGCTGAGCAAACAACGATATAGGCAAGGGTTATGAACCCAAGAATATATGCTGCAATCGTGACAGTCTGTGCGTAGTCTTCGCGAGAGCGAAAGACTTTGGGGTGATTCGGCGGCATTAAACTCTTGAGGTAGTCGGTATTGTTGGCCACCCAACTACAGACAGCCTCTCGTGCTGCATATCCATTTCTTCCATTGGCCACAAAGTGCCCCAACATTTCGTTGATTTCCAACTGATCCATGTTAAAATTCTGAATAAAGCTGTATGCTGGACTTTGGTCCACCAATGCGGCCTCCAATGTACTGTCTCGTAAGGATCTGGCAATGACCTTTTTTGTAACATGAGCCCCATTGTCACAGGATCCAACCTCGGTTCCTCGCCTCACCATAGGATCCGCACTGCATCTGTCGGCGACACTCAATCGCTCTTCCTTGCACTGCAGTGAAGCGGGAGGTAGATAGATTCTGGTAAATTCAAAATCGGTATTCCGGAATACTTCCACAACGGCATCCGGCTCAAACCAATGCATGATTACGTGCGATTTGGTGGCATTGGCGGCATTCCAAATTTGAATCATTTCCCCATAGCCGTATCCCCCATTGACATGATTGGGTCCACTCGACTTGAGTGCCATCTTCAACCAAAAGGCCTGTCCTTCCAAAAAGGTACTCCAGTCGCAGGGTGGTGCCACGGCATGACCTGTGCAGGTATCGTTCTGTGCGCCAGTGCATATGTTCTCAGCCGTGGCTCGAAAATGACCAATGTATCCTTCCCTTGAAAAGTATTTTCCCATGTCGGCTTCATTTGGATATCGATCCGCGATACCGTCCGGAACAGTGCAATTGTTCAACGAAACCTCATGGCAGTAATCAGCCCAAGTGGTGGGTCGTTTGAAGATTTCGGCCAACAGTTGTCGGTTTTGCGATAGTCCGTGATAGGTGACCGCAAAGGGATATTGTTGGGCTGTAAATTTTGGCAAAAACAAAGAATCCTTTCCAATTTGACCATTGCCATCCAAATAATCCAATTGTCCATCTTCGTACTCCTTGTTCAGAATGTCTGCCTGACTGACCCAGGCATCCGGCAGGACATGAACACAATCTTCCTCGGTCTGCAGACAATCTCCATTCAATTCATTAGCCTTTCGCAATCCATCCCAGGAATATCCGACCGGAGAATACAACAACTTATTGTCAATGTTGTAAAAACTAGCGTCCTTGGTATCGCTCCCCAATCCAACCTTGACAGGGACATCCAATAATTCCATGAGGCTAATCTGCAAAATCCAGCTAAAGAATATGGCCACTTCCCAATTCTGATAATGCACTCTGACTTCTGGATAATTCAACTGAGATGTCCGGCAATTGATGTCTTCAGCGGTAGTATCATCATCAGAATTGCACAGCCGAGTTTGTGGTGGTTCGTGATCATCGTTTTCCAACACCATCATTCGTTTCAGACATCCTTCGGTGAATGGATTGCTGCACATGCCGGAAGGGAGGCACGTCGAGCCAGAGCGATAGAGGGCTTCACAATCACGATCCGATAGACAATTCGACTGTGCAGTTGCTACTGGGATCGCAGTGAGGATTTGCATCACTGCCACCACCATGAGGATGCATTTGTAGATGAATCCTTTACCACGATGAGGAGGGATCATGGTGACCCTGCTTCGTCTCATCGCCCTCCAGGAGATGTCTTTGATCAATGTACAGTACTGTATTTGGCTTGTACTTCAATCTATACTGGTTCCGAAAGTTCAAAGTTACGTTACAGGGTGCTGCTTTTTCTTTGGTATTGGTGAAACACGGCTTCCGCAGTATTCTCTTGTTTGTGGTGAAGGTTGGGTCTTTTCCTACTCCAATAGCAAGGGCGAAGAACTCGGCGATAGCGCAATATCATATTTTATATAATGCAATTGTAGAATTCAAAAAACCTGCATATTCCACGAGCTTCTAAGAACAGAGCATGACCGTAAGTGCCGAGACCATTTGGACCTTCTGTGGTCTTTCAACAAACTATATATATTATATGTAAAATATCCCTAATAAGTGTGGCGAATTCATAATCCTTTTCTGTTTACACTTCATTTTTAATGATCACAGGAGGTCGTTTCTGTCGTAAGTATGTTTATTTTATACCGAGTTATTGTACCGAGTTCGAAACTAAAGACTAACCTAGTTGCATTTCTTTTCAAGAAAAATGCGAAATTCAAAATATCATCACACCAGAAACTAGAGAGGCGACACGTTGCTTCAAAGAAAGGACAAGTCTCTGCCTTTGTTTCGGTCATTCACCACTCTTCCATTGTTATCGGCATCATCCTTTCAGCTTAGATTCAGTCCAACCGCAAAATTAGCCAACTTGTCCACACGACCATACGTTTCAGAATAGCATCCTCTTCTGCCAATCATCTTGGTGCACAACGAATCGCTCAGGTTCACAAATTACTCAACGGTTTGGAGACTGGTGATCCCAATTCGTTTGAAGATGACATTCATCCAGACCGATATATTCAACAAAATCCTCAAACTGACAAGCAAGTGATTAATGTCTTAATGTTGCTTGTTGCTTCATGTATTCATAACAGACAGCCTTTGTATTTCTTCTTCTTGAGCCGTTTGAGTGTCCTGCAAGAACAGTATCATTTGTTGAAGATCTTCGTTCTCTTCGTCTTTTCGAACCAATGATTTCTTTAGTTGCCAAATTTGTTGCTTGAGCGCAGCCATTGCTTGACCATTGTCTGTTGCTGGTGTGGGCTTGTGATTGTTGACCTGCTGCTTGCGTTGTTGGGTGGCAACAATCGGAGAGCCACCATTAGATGTATTCAAAGACTCAGTGCTGCCACCAGTCGCCCAGTGACTCACGGAAGATCTCGGGTGCATTTGATTCAAGGCAGCCTGTTTTCCATGGAGACCATTGCCGCCCGATGGAGACTTTGGGTTTGCCTTACTTTCTTCCCCGCCAGCAGCATGTGATTCTGTCTCCTCTGCTCCAGACAACATTGAAATGCGATCCATTCCCGAGAAAGAAGACATAGAAGCAGTTGCCCCAGAAGTGAATCTTTGAGGCTTCTCGGTGATCGGTACTAGAGGCATATTTGTGCCAACAACAGCTTGAAAAGAACCGCTGAAGGAAAGGCGCGAGCGGCTTCCAAGCTCTTGTATGGAGCAGCCACTTGACACCATCTTTGGTACAAGATATATCGTAATGGCTGCGATGATATCGACACTCAGTAGAACACTGGTGGCGAGTGATCTTGTGTGGTCCTCACCTTCAAACACGACGGATACCATCACGCGAATCATCAAAAAGACAAAGTGCGAGTAGCTCATCATTCCCAGGCTCGTGGATTCGTTGAATTCACCTTCGATGTGGCGAGTCTGAAATGCGACAGCCGATGCCCACAAAACCAGCATACCCTCCCACACAATGTATGCAGTATGCCAGTATTGAGACTCGGAACGACAGCCAAAATGTGACGTGACAGTAATCGAATCCGGTTCTTGCGTCCAGATTTCGGTAGACTTGGGAGGGTCCACCGCCATCCAGATGATCAAGTAGAATCCAAGAAGCAAAGACAGTATCATCACACTCGTGTACAGTTGACTGGGATTGATTTTCACCCGACGCCTTTGTTGCGACGCCTTCATTGAGCCATTCAATGCCGTTACCTTGACAATCAGCGCCACCAACTGGAAGGTGTACCCCAAGCTGACTAGCCCTATTCGCGAACAGCATATCACGTCGTCTGGTTCCATTCCATGCAAGATCGCTCCTACTGCAACCAGCAATAAGCCAAAGAGTATCACGAAAACAAACTGAGCTTGTGCATACACAAACACGGCTGTTTTCCGTTTTCGGAAGGTGATCGTAGTGGAAAGGAGTATGTACACCAGGGCGACGAAGCCTAAAGAATAAGCAAGAATCGTCGCAATCTCTTCATGCTCATCACGAGACTGAAAAACCTTTGGGTGATTCGGCGGCATCAGACGTTGGAGGTATTCGGTGTTGTTTGCTATCCAGGTACAAACTGCTTCTCGTGCAGCATACCCTGTTCTGCCCCCGGCCCCGTAGTGGCTCAGCATTTCGTTGATGTGTAGTTGATCAATATTGAAATTTTGAATGAAGGAATATGCTGGACTTTGTTCAGCGGGAGGCAATGCCAGTGTGGAGTCCCTAAGTGATATCGCAATTGCCTTCTTTGTAATATGAGCTGAGTTGTCGCATGCGCCCGCCATCGTTCCTCGTCGGACAACTGGATCCTCGCTGCATCTTTCTTCAGTCGTCGGCCGAGCTGCTTCGCACTGAAGAGATGGAGTTGGTAAGTAAACCTTTGTAAATTCTGCGCCCGTATTGCGATAGACTTCGACCACTGTGTCAGGTTCAGCCCATTGCATCATCACATCTGACTGTGTAGCATTGGCTGCATTCCATATCTGAATCATTTCAGAATACGTGTAGCCCCCATTCACATAGCTTGGTCCGCTTGATTTGAGGGCAAGATCGAGCCAGTAAGTCTGTGTCTCGATGAAGGTGCTCCAGGTACACGGTGGAGCCACTACGTGGCCAGTGCAAGTATTGTTGTTGACTACACCAGTACAGTTATTTTCAGCAGTGGCTCGAAAATGTCCAATGTATCCGCTAGCAAAGTATTTACCCGCATCGTCTTGGTTTGGATACATCTCCGCTACACCGTCCGGAACAGTACAGTTGTTTGGCGAAACCTCATTGCAGTAATCTCCCCACGCTGTCGGCCGCTTGAATATTTCAGCAACCCGATGATGGTTTTGTGATAATCCCAAGTGGGTGACAGTGAAGGGATATCGCACTGCAGTATATTTCGGAACCCACCACGATAGTTTCTCAACTTGTCCATTGCCATCAGAATTGTCCAACTGGCCATCGGCGTATTCCTTCGCCATGACATCAACCTGAGACGCCCAGACATCAGTGATAAGATTGACACAGTCCTCGTCAGTGAGGAGACAATTTCCACCGAGTTCATTTGCCTTTCGAATGCCGTCCCAAGAATAGCTTGTGGACGAAAATGGCAGATTATTTTCAATATGGTAAAAACTTGATTCTTGTGTGTCCCTCCCTACTCCAATTGTGACAGGAACATCCAGAAACTCCATCAGAGATATCTGTATGATCCAACTAAAGAATATAGCAGCTTCCCAATCCTGGTTGTGAATTCGGATCTCTGGGTAGTTCAAAGGTGACGTTCGGCAATTGCGCTCTTCAGCAGTATCATCATCTGAATTGCACAACCGTATTCGTTGGTCTTCCGATTGTGGCTTCATACTTTTTAAGCATCCGTCAATGAATGGGTTACTGCATTGTCCAGAGGCAAGACAAGTCGAGCCTTGTCGATAAAGGGCAGCACAATCAATATCTGAAACACATTCTCTTTGGGCATTCGCCTTGTGTGACAGGAAGTGTATTATCATGAAGATGAGAAATGGTGGAATTATACAACGATTTGGATTCATCGTTGTTCTTGAGTCCTCGTTTTTGGTCCCTTGTTCACAGCAAATGAAAGCGATGTCCCTTCAATTCACGTCTTTCCCTTGCTGCTATTGGCACGGGTGCTTGTTCTGATAGTCACAAGAAACAACTACCGCTACGATTATTAATACTATCTGGTCACTTCAAAGTTCAAAAATCGAGAGGTTCGACACCAGTACGATACTTGTATATCGAGTACCGGTAGGTTCTTTTCTTCCGCGAGCATAACACACCCAATCAATATTAGAAACCTAATGGTCGCATTTTCGAGATTATGACCGTAATAAGGCCAGACGCGATTTGATTTAGCGCACAGTCACATTTCCATATCGACATGTGACATTCCCTCGATCATTTTCCCGTTTGATCCACCGCATGATCATTTGACTTCCGGTAGTCTACTGCTTCTTTGATCTTTCCAATAGTACTAGAGGACGACAGCCTGAAATTTATGAAATTTCAATAACAATACATATCATAAACTGTTTATTATCATTGACCTTCCATCGTTTCACTATTGTCAGGGTTTTCAAGCTTGTCTTCGCCCCCAACGGCTTCCACTAGCCTTTCACTATTGTTAGGCTTTTCAAGCTTGTCGTTGCCCCCAACGGCTTCGACAAGCTTCCCAATCTTCGACTCTTGTCGGTCTCGAGTCTTTTGTACTTTATCAAGGGCCTCTTTCAGTTCTTTGAGCTCTTTGTCCTTCATGACAAGCTTCTCCTTCAGCTCTTCATTGTCAACGTCAGTTTTGAATGTCACTCTCCGTGGTCCAATTGGCACAGATTTGGAAATTGCCCTTGGCGCATCGCGGGCCTTGGTCCAATACGGACTCGTATCATTCGCATGGTTGCCTTCGTCGGAATCTCCCTTCGAAGAGGACGTCGATTTTTCAAAGTCATCGTCATCTGATTGTTCTTCGATACCTGACATCTTTTCTATACCTGACATTGAAGATCGGCTCCTCTTGGCTTCTTGTTCCAAATCTCTAGTCGCACTAGATAGGTGTGTACTGGTTCGTCGCCTCTGCACTTCTCGGATCGTATCAGGCGGCATTACCATCTTTGGTAGTAGATAGATAGTAACTGCTATGGTGAGGTCCAAACTCAAGAGATAGCTGTGGGCCAGTGAATTTGTGTAGACGTCGTTTTCGAATATCACAGACACAATGATTCGTAGTATGGTAAAAACAAAGTGAGAGTAAACCATCATTCCCAAACTCTTGGACTCGTTGAACTCTTGCTTTGCATTGCGTGATTGAAAGGCCAGCGCAGAACACCACAAAATTAGAACACCTTCCCACAAAGTATAGGCTGTCCCCCAATACTCAGACTCGGAACGACAACCCCAGTGTGAGGAAATAGTAATCGAATCCTCTTCCAATCTTCGAACTTCTGTAGCCTTTGCCGGGTCTACGACAGTCCATACTAGCAAATAAATCGCCACAATTCCAGATAAGACAAGAACAGTGGAATAGAGGTGCATCATATTGATGTTCACTCTGCGCATTCTCCGTGATGCGCTCATCAAACGATTCAGAGCCGTCACTTTGATAATCAAAGGTACGAGCTCAAAGGTGTAACCCAAGCTCACGAGCCACACTCGCGCCATGCAAATTGTATCATTCGGTTCGATTGCATGCAAGATGGAGCCAATGGCTACCAAGGTGAGTCCAAAGAGGACCACGAAAATGAATTGGACTTGTGAGTATACAAATACTGCAGCCTTTCGTTTCTTGACCGTGATTGCCGTCGAAATCAAAATGTACACCAACGCAAGTGTCGCCACAATGTATGCCACCACAGACACCGTCTCACTGTAATCATCCCTAGACTGAAAGGCTCTTGGGTGATTGGGCGGAATGAAACTCTCGAGATAGTCGGTATTGTTGGCAATCCATCCACAAACCGCTTCTCTGGCGGCATATCCAGTTCCACCATGGTTCACAAAATGCTGCAAAATGGTCGAGACCTCCAACTCGTCAATGGCAAAATTTCGAATAAAGCTGTAGGCTGGACTTTCGTCTTCTGGGGATTGCTCCAATGTAGAGTCTCTCAGGGAAATAGCAATTGCCTTTTTGGTCACGTGCGGTTGGTTATCGCACGAGCCTTCTTTCGGTCCCAACCTCTTGATGGGGTTCGCGTCGCATTTGTCTTCTGGGAGCGCCCTTGCTTCCAAGCACTGAATCGATGGACTTGGCAAATGGACCTTAGTAAAGGCAGCATCCGTATTTCGAAACATTTCCAAAATAGAATCTGGTTCGTACCACCACATAATCACATCGGATTTTGTGGCATTGGCGGCATTCCAGATTTGGATCATTTCGGAATAGGTATAGGCACGATTAACCAAGTTCCCACTGGACATCAATGCAATGTTGTTCCAATACGCCTGTGATTCTACAAAGGTACTCCAGGTGCAAGGTGCCCCAGTAATGTGACCGGTGCAGGTGTTGTTATTGGCTACACAGTCGTTTTCTTCCGTGGCTCGAAAGTGCCCAATATATCCGCTAGCAAAGTACTTTGACATGTCTTCTTCCGCAGGATAAAATGCAGCGAATTCATCGGGTGTGGTGCAGTTGTTGAGGGAAACTTCATGGCAGTAGTCCGCCCAAGTGGTGGGTCTTTTGAACACCTCTGCTAATCGATGGCGATCTTGTGACAACCCCATGTGAGTGATAGCGAATGGATGTCGAGCCGCCGTAAAGTTGGGAATCCACCAACCAACCTTTCCAACCTGTCCATTCCCACCCAAATAATCCAACTGACCGTTGTCGTATTCTTCTTGATATTTTTTCTGTTGGCCCAACCAGACATCAGGAATGACATGGGCACAATCTTCATCCGTCAATAAACAGTTGCCTCCCAATTCGTTTGCCTTTTGTAGAGCATCCCAAGCGTAACTCGTTTTGGAATACGGAACATCATTTTCAATATGATAAAAGCTGGACTTTATTGTATCATCCCCCAATCCCACAGTGACAGGCACGTCCAACAATTCCATGAGGCTCACTTGAAGGATCCAGCTGAAGAATATTGCCACAACCCAGTCCTGATTGTGGACTCGGATCTCTGGATAATTAAAGGGTGAAAGTCGGCAATGGCTTGCATCTGCGTCGTCCGAGTTGCAGTGTCGTTTCTGATGATTTTTTGCCGAGTTCATTTTTTTCAGACATCCATCCATAAAGGGATTGCTGCACTGACCAGTGAGCAAACAGGTCGATCCTTCGCCATAGAATTCTATACATTCAGTGTCAGTCCAGCATTCTGCGGGTACTGCGGTCACCACACACGGTAATATTCCAAGCAGCAGTGTGATTGATTTTACTATTGACATTTTCATTGACCTTGACCTTGACCTTATTGCTGGTGTTCTAGAATGTCCACGCGTCATGTTGAAAATGCTGAGGATGCTGAGGATGGATATTGGAGTTATTCGTTACTCTGGTTATGATTTTGTTTGTTACCACTGACCACGGGTATGGTGGTACCTTGTAATGTGTGAGTGCTTACCGGCGGTACAGCAGGGATCCGAACAAAGCAACAATGGAGCCGAAAGCCTTACACTTAAATAAAATAAACCCAGTTCGTTTACTTACTGGTTCATTCCGGGACCTCGCACCCAAAAGGAAAGCGAAACTTATTGTTCCTTGTACTCGTACATCTGTACCACGTACCGGTACCGGACCAAAACGAACCACCAAATGTAATCAATAATCGAAACAATTAAGCAATTCGATGTGACATGTGAGACAAAAGCGCTCCAGTCATTCGTCGTTCTTTTCTGCATTTAAAACAAAAAGCCTTTTGTCTTCTGTTGCTCCACCACCAATGTAAGACTATTTACGATCAAATACTGTAAGTTCTCGAAACAGCATACTCACGCCATGCCACACGCAATACCATGATTTCATCAAACAGTACTACCGGTACCGGTACACGTACCTGTACCTGTTTTATCGCACCGGTACGAGTACCGGCGCTGGTACCAGTACCTGGTACGAGTACGGTATCCAGCATTCAGCATTGCCCGAATTCTCCTCTTTCTTCCTTTCATTCCAAAGAATTCCTCTTCCCAGGACACATCTGTGCTGTTATGTTCTTTTTCATCGCTTGGCAGCACTTCATCAATAGACTACAATCATACAAAGCCATAGGACTACAATGCTCATTTTATAAAATAATATAGAATCGTAATAAAAGTTAGAGTCTTTGTTCTCCATCACCAGAGCTGGTAATTCTTGTATGAGGCCATGACCTCATTGCATTTTCGGACGGTCGTCCGGTTCGTCGTTTGTCGTTTCACCAATTGACTGCCATTTCTACCGGTAACATTCCACTTGACATTCCAATACTACTTCTGGTTCTGGCGGCAGACTTGTCTACGAGCTTGTCTACGAGCTTGTCTTCACCAAACAACCAAATCAGTGTGATTGGTTGCTCTGGTAATATAATAATGCCCAAGGCGGATGGTTTCTCCAAAACCGAGCCATCCATGTCATGCATGGCTCCTCCTCTTTCGCCTGTCTTCACTACTATGAGGATTCATCATTGCTCGTTGCTTCGTCCAAGTGACCCGATCGCGAGGATTCCTCGATTCCACTCAGAGGCCGATCCATGGAATGTTGTCGGACAGTATCAATTTCGGAAGTGGTCTTGAAACTGACCCGTCTTATGTATTTACTTTGGTCACTGGTACCAAAGGATCCCGACATTTCCTCATCGGTACTTTCGGGTATGCTATCAAAGCTCTTTCGCTTGTTTTGTTGATCATCAAAGTAGGAAAAGGTCGAGTGCGACTTAGGCAGTTGCTTGGATGGAAGAAAAGCCTTGGAGACACTTGAATTGTTGGAGTTGGGGTTGGACTTGTTGGTGAGATTGAGGCCAGTCACAGAGGTGGTGGATCCCTCTCTTCGGAAAGATGAGGCTGTGATTTGGAATCTTGTGTTCTCATTACTAGCAGGTTTGTGTAACTGCTTGTGTCCCTTCACCCACTTGGGAAGGAGATAGATGGTCAAGGCGGAAATAACATCCAAACTGAGCAACAAACTAGTCGCCACAGCATTGGTATTGGGTTCTTCATCAAATGTCAGGTAGACAATGACTCGAAGGGCCGCAAAGACAAAGTGGGAGTAAATCATGGTTCCAACCGCTCGTGATTCGTTGAATTCAGCCTTGACTCCTCTCGATTGAAAGGCAAGTACAAAGGCCCAGAGAATTAAAAATCCCTCCCAAAAGTGATAGCCCGTTACCCAAAACGTATCCTCGGAAGAACAAGTAGCTTGAGCCGAAACGGTCCTGCCATCGTCGACCAAAATGCGAAACATTTCTGGTCTGGGAGGATCCATAAAGGTCCATACCAACAAAAAGATGGTCACAAAGGATGCCAAGGCAGCTACTTGCAAGTACAAGGTTCGTGGCTTGATGCGCACCCGTCGCATTCTTCTAGAAGCTCTCATCAATTGATTAATCGCCGAAACCTTGATGATCAAGGGTCCCAACAAACAAGTGTACCCCAGATTGACAAACCAAACTTGCGCAAGGCAAGTGGTATTGTCGGGTGTGAGGGCGGCATGCATGATGGAGCTCAAGGCCACGAGAAGCAGCCCAAAGAGCATGATAAAGACGAATTGGACTTGGGCAAAGACCATGATGCGGGCTTTGCGGTAATGGTAAGTGACCAAAAAGGAGATCAAGACATAGATTGCGGCAAAGATCCCTACTCCTTGCGCCACAGTTTTGAGATTTCGTTGTGTCTCGGATTCATTGCGGAGTGTCCGAGGATATCCCACGGGTTTGAACTTGCCCAAGACGTCCATGTTGTTTTGGACCCACTCGCAGACGGATTCTCGAGCGGATTGCCCCGTCTTGCCCTTTTTGACATAGTCTCGCAACACCACGGCCAGGTCCAAATCATCAATGTTAAAATTGCGAATGGCGTAGTATCCAGGAGATTGGTCCACTTCCGGGGTGGCCCGCGTCGAGTCTCTGAGAGAAGAAGCAATCGCCTTTTTGGTAGTGTGTCCAATATTATCACAGGATCCTTCCTTGGAGCCTCTTCGTGTCATCGTATCCGCGCTGCAGCGATCGTCCGGAGTCACCCGGGATTCCCGACATTCGACCGACGGACTGGGCAAATGGACCTTGGTAAATTCGTAGTCGGTCCCCCGAAAGGCTTCTAGGAGTGGATCTGGTTCGTACCACCACATCATGACGTGCTCGTTGGTAGCATTGGCGGCATCCCAAACTTGGAGCATCTGACTATAGGTATAGCCCGAGTTGACGGTAGCTGTTCCAGAGGATGCCAAGGGAATGTCATTCCAGTAGGTTTGGGCGTCCAAAAAGGTACTCCAGGTACAAGGAGCATTGACTATGTGTCCAGTACAAGTGCTGTTGCCAAATTCGTTCAGAATGGTACAGTTGGATTCTTGAGTATGCCGAAAGTGACCAATGTAATTGCCATTCGGAGCAAAGTAACTAGCCTTTTCGGAATCGGTGACAGGATACCTTGAGGCAATTCCATCGGGTTGCGAACAATTCATTGTCGAAACCTCGTGACAATAATCTTGCCAACTGGTGGGTCGCTTGAAGATGTCTGCCAATTCTTGTCTCCTTCCGTCCATTCCCACATAGGTAATGGTAAAGGGATGTTCTTGGGCCGTCTTTTTCGGCACGTACCACGAAATTTTCCCCACCTGTCCATTGCCATCCAAATAATCAATGTCTCCATCATCAAAATGACCCAAGAGTGTATCCTTTTGTCCCAACCAGACATCTGGAATCACATGGACACAATCTTCTTCTGTCAATGAACAATCTCCTCCGAGCTCATTGGCTTTGACCAATGCGTCAAAGGAATACGAGCGTCTACTCAATGGTAACCCAGTGTCCGTGCTGTAAAAGCTGGACTGGAATGTATCGTCCCCCAACCCGACGGATGCAGGAACCTCTAGAAACTCGGTCAAGTAAATTTGCATAATCCATGACAAGAAAATGGCCACTTCCCAATCTTGATTGTGAACGCGGATTTCGGGATATTGGAATTCGGCAATCCGACAGGTTTGTTCCATTCCATTTTTGGTTTCGTGGTTGCCTAACCTCAAATCATCGGCATTGCAGACTCTCATTTTGTGTTTGTCCGAGTCAAAGCTGTGCAGACATCCCGAGACATATGGATTGCTGCAGACTCCCGCCACGGTGCATTTGGAATTAGGATGATAGATGGCGCTACAATCGTAATCCGAAATGCATTCAGAAGAGGCTTGCTCAAGGAGTAGAACGAAAAGCAGCAACAGGACAGAAATGGCTTTTTGGAACACCATTTTGTTGGTTTTGTGCTTGAAGGTGAGGCTACCGGTATGATGATAACGTTGAAACTTTCACAGTCAACCTTCGTTGTCTTGTTCGTTTGTATTAATAAACGGTAGTGCTTTGTATCTTATAGCTTGTTGGTTGCTTGTTGCTTGTTGCTTGGGATCTTCTCCAGACGCTGTCACTTCTCACTGACTCAATTTGTTTACCCCCATGCAACTTTTTGCTGCTCGCGACAACATCTGTGAACACACGGCGAATTTCCTTCTCGATTTTTTTAATCAGAGCGGTATTGGAAACTGTTTATGGTATTACGATTTACTTATCACTATGTCACTTAGGACAAAGCAGAATCATTTATACGTCACTTCTGTCTATGGACCACAATGTTAATCCCGCATGTCAATTCGGATTATTTTTATTTTGCCTTCTCCTCGCTCGTGTGACCCAATTCGCGCTTATAAAATGTTCCGCACCCAGAACGGCACTTGATGTTCTCGGTTCGCTTTTATTGATAGCCGCATGGTCGCGGTCTGTCCGTAGTTGTAATCTGAAGTGTCCGATATGCCTACGTATTGAATGTTGCACGTGTCCGTGGCACCGGACAGCTACCATTCACATCCCTCCTGTATTTCCTTCATTCTGAATTCCTGCCATCATTTTCAAACCTGCCATTATGAGACACTACATTGATTCATTCATTGTCGAAATAATGCACCACAATTGCATGCAGCATGATAAAAATACCCTCCAAACGAACCAGTAGTAACAAAGCAAAAGATCTCGCGGAAAGCGGAGTAGCCACCGTCTTGTCTGTGGATCAATGGAAGGCCACTCCCGATTCCAAATGCGATTGTCCCAAGGATGAAACAGTGAGTGTCAACTTTATTTGCATGCATCCCGATGGTGCTGATGGAGATGATGATAGTGATAAGGCACCACCACCTCAAACACCTCAAACCGACACACCTGGCCTGGCCCAAGCTGCCCGTTATCAAGAAATCTTTCTCGACAAGGTTGGCATGCTGTATGCCGTTCAAGACGCTGCCTCACGTCACGTCTTGGACGATCGGTTTGACAGTTTTTTGAGTGACGGTGAAAAACAACTCAAGGATTCTTTGTTGACGTTCCTGAAAAAGGCAAGTCCAAAAGCCAAGGCAACCCATGCCTTTTCGTATTTGGAAAAACTCCTGAAGACCAAAATGGGGTATCAGGACATGATGGGACGTGGTGCGACTCGTACGGCCGCCAAGAGACTTTCCTACTTTTGGAAACCAAAAAAGGAATCAACTACAACCCTGCCAACCACGACGACAGAAAAAGCGACAACATCAACACCAACATCAACAGCAACATCATCACAACAACCGTCTCGTCCATTGCCCACCACTGCAAACAAGTCAAGCACACCACCATCACAACAGCAGTCACCTAAGGCACCAAATCCAGGTCACGTCTTTGTGTGCAATTCCTCGGTGTGCGACATTCAGTGCGATGCCTTTTTGTGTCCTGGCCATATATCTCGCAAGAAGGAAAACATATCGGGAAGCATCTTTCATCAATGGTACAAGGGTTCTCTTGCGGCGGAACTCATGCGAAAGGCAAAAGGCATGGACGAATTTCAACAACGACAACAACAAAGACGAGTTGGCACTCATCAGAAACTGCAACAACATCAAGGTTATGATCGAGTCGTGACCATTCAGGAATGGCCACAAGATAGTGATGCTTTCGATTTGCCTCTGTTGATTGCTGGAGAAGTATCTTTGGAGTCGCAATTGCATGCCTACAATTTGGCTTGCGATAAAAGTGAACGAGCAACAAATACTGAGGACCTACCACCAGATGACTTTCGAGTCGAATTTTTGCTGGAAACAGTCCGCCAATTCCTAGAGTTGGCATCGACTCTCGTTCAACAACAAGGCACGAAAAAACCAAATGTCCATCGAGAACGTTATTTGCTGGCGGTTCCCATATTGGGAACGGGTGGAGGCTACGCTGGGGACATGACGGGACAGATTGTGTACAAGTTGCTGGAAATGGTCACCAATTTTGTTGCCTCCAGCACTCCTAATATGGATGTGGTGGTGGTCACGGTCGACGATGCCACCTATGCTCACGCCCAAGTCATTCGAAAGAATCAACTCGGCGAGTCATCCGGAAGGTATCCTTGCTTTGCAGCCTTGTCCAAAAGTCAAAATGACTATGCTGCTCAATTGGCCAGTTTGGCAGAAGGTCGACATTTGGCACTCTTTGTGGGTGCTGGGGTTAGCATTGGATCTGGTTTGCCCAGCTGGTTTGGTTTACTGAACTTGGTAGAAGATGCCTTTACTCCCACTGGAAACTCGTCAGAACGAAGCGTGGGAGACGATTGCGACTGGGATCCATTGGCCATGGCCCAAGTATTGAAAGACTGGTGCGACACCAAGCCGGATCGGAATGGAGTGCAACAGTCATTGAAGAAACGAGTCTGTCAGTGCTTGCAAGACAATGGCCGCACGCTCGGACTCTTGCTATGTTTGCTCATGTCACTCCCCTTTCATTCCATGGTGACTCAAAATTACGATACTCTGATTGAACAAGCCTGTCAAAAGTGGAGTCTTGCCGCAATCAGGCATGGACCACTCACTGGAAACACTACGAAACGCAACTTGAGTGTGATTCCCTATCGTCCCCAACGCAAAGCTCACTATTGGCTGTTGAAGATGCACGGATGCGTATCTCGGCCGGAAGATATTATATTGACCGAAGACGACTATGCTCAGTATTCTACCTCGTCCAAAGCCCGCGCGTTGGATGGGTTGGTCCAAGCGAGTTTACTCACCAAACACTTCTTGTTTGTGGGCTTTAGCTTGACAGATCCCAACTATTTGCGGATCATAGATCAAGTGAGAGAAGCGCTGTATCGGGATGATCCATCGTACCATGACAGTCGCGATGATGATTCTTCACAATGATTATGATTTATGACCCGAAGTTGGAGGTGCGCAACATGTAAGTGACACAAATGATGCCCACCACTACCACAAACAGACATAGAAATAAATGGTGGTAGCAACACATAGAATAATAGGTGACACAGAGAGTTTGCAATCATTTCATTCTTCCCGTTGTTGCATTCCATATTCACAATGCTAGAGCTTGTTTCGTTTGTTTGTTTGTTTGGATTGTTTGCTTCCCTACTAGTATTATTATTAAAATGTTTACATGCGGAACTTTCCCAAAATATGCAGTAGTACAACGACACCGACAAAGGAAAGGGATGCAACCAAGACAGTAGTAGGTCCCACTTGTAGACCAGGTGAATCATCGGTATAAAATTGCAGAATGTTGTTACCGGCTCCGGCGGGGCGACCACCACCAGCACCGGCTCCAGCACCGGCTCGGGCTGCTGCGCGTCGTTGAGTTGCCTATAGATAGTGGAGACGAATAGAGGGAAATGGTGAGCATTGGTATCATGGAATTGGTGGTAGAGAACATTCATCTTGTTGCATCCAATACAAATGGAAATCGAAAGAGCAAATCGTGTAGTCCAAAGCATTCCGATAATCCAAATTGGAGCAGATGTTGGAGCGATTTCAACAATTACGGGAGTCCCAGTAGCAACATTTATGCACAGTGGCGGCGGCGTTCCCCATTTTGCCTCCAAGCAATCTCCAAAAGGCAAAGGATCGCTCTTGCCAACTGCATGCTCGGTCATTTTTGAAACTTGTCACTCCAAAAATCCATCCAATCAAAGGTTGTTGCATTGGAAAGTTTCCCATTGGAACCACCATTTAAATGCCGCCCATTCAAAGACGCTGCAATTGCCGATAATAAAAGTCTCACCATTGTCTAATATAAAGTATCTCTTTCAAACAAGCACTTGTTTCATTTGATGGTGGTGATGGACTTGGTCAGCTCCAAACCTTGCTTCTTGGGACGCCTCTTGGTAGGAAGCCACGTAGCACTCTATTGTGCGGCTGCAAAGAGATCAAAGCAGTCAACAGTACCCGGATATTGCATCGGAGTTAGTCGGTGGGGTCGACACTTTCAAACTCCGCTCCGAAACGAAGAAACGAAACTCCAACATTATCACGCCCGTATCATCTTACTGCAGTGGATCAATCAGTGAACCGTGTATACTCACAATGCCCAACTTTGTGAGACGCCCACAACCATGACGTCTCCCTCTCAATTATGCCATGTACCACTTCTTTGAGACTCATTGAACCCATAACGATGAGACTCACACAAGTCAGTTGTCCCTCTTTCTACCGAAAGCATGAAGGAGTGGTTGCAATCCACAGCTATACTGTCCATTCCACCAAGCAGGAGAGGGACAAAGAGTAGATAGCTCGAGGCACAATGGACTTCCTCCAACTTGGATCATAATTTGCATCTTGTCTGCATCTTGTCTCATCATTCATAGCACTACAGAACTTCAAGACAGACATGAGTAATCCATCAACCAACAACATTGTTACCATACCAGAATCACCTCCTCCTCCACTTCCTCTGATGCGACAATATTCGAATCCGAAAAATCACCTGGATGGTAGCAAGTGTCGTCGTCATCGTCATCACTCATCGGCTGATGGCAGCAGCAACAACAACAACAAGTACACGACACCATCTCGCTTGGTAGTAACAACAGCTAGGTCGCCCATGCCAGAAGCCCGCCAAGATGCTTCGTCGTCCTATGAAATTCGGACTCCTCCTCCTCCGCAAGAACATCGGTCCTTGGTATCCAAAGATTCTCATGTAGCAGCATCCTTGAGGCAACCCCTGTCGTGGTCTCCTCATCATCAGCAGCATCATCAGCACCAAGACGTTTCAAAATCAGGATCCATCGATATCACGTCAGCATCTCCACTCGATGGGGTAAGTTTTTCTACAACGTGGTCAACTGTTCCATTTATGTATTACAGCTTGACATTTCTCACCTAACACATACTATAATAGTGGCCACAACGAAGTCCCATGGAGCACGATGACGATGCCGATGTGGCCTCCTTTGCCTTGTTTACTCAATCCTTTGATACCATTTCGGAGAGTGGACATTACTTTCGAGAGGCAGATGCTACCGCCACAACAACAGCAACAACAACCACGCAAGGAGATTTGCTGCCTCGCAAGTTGGATCTCAAGCCTCGAAGCAACCATGGTGGTCATCATCAGAAGCCGCATGCCAAGGAGGATGCTTTGGTGGGAAATCTCTCACCAATTCAGTTGGGACCGGAGGAAAGTACTCCACCACCAGCAAGAGCCAAACGATCAGCGCCACCTCAAGTCCATTACCCCCATCAGCAGTACCACCCTCATCCACAGCCGCCATTTGATCCGTATCATGGTTATCCACCTCCTCCACACCCGGATCAACCGCCGACACCCTATTACCAGTACGATGGGACACTGCCACCCCCACCGCCGCCACTAGGTTTCGACGAAGGCTATGGGTATTCTCCTCCTCCTCCTCCAGGATATGATCCACGAGGTCCTCCTCCCCCACCCACTGCTGGGCACTATCCACCACCACACCCACCACCACATGTTGCCACGATGCAACGATCCAATCCCTTTTATGTCTTGCGGACGGCCCACCGGGCATTCTTGGGATGTTCTTATTTGCTGCCTTGTTTGGAAAATCGAGAAGTCATTCCCATTCATTTGGGAGCGCACTCGAGTTTTCGATTGCTCCAGGATCCAACCTGCATTCCAGATGCCCATGAAGTCATTGTGGCCAAGCAACGGGTGGAAACGGCCATTTGCACGTTCGGTGGCCAGCTGTCATCCGCTGTGGTGCAAAAGGATGCCATTTTTCGTCGACGCCTTGCAAGTAATAAATCGAGTTGGAAGAAGCTGTACGACGATCGGTTTCATGGACGATATGTGGTCAAGCCAACCCACATTGATTGGCGCCTGGAAGAGAATCCACCGGTCCATTACGAGCGAAATGCTGCTGCTGCTGCTGCCAAAGCAAATCGCCAATTGGCAAGTGGCAATCCAAGTGGCAATCCAAGTGGAAATGCCAATGGCGACTGCGAAATGGAGGAAGACAATGCAGACTCTATGGTGTCGGTGGTTACCCTGGAGAATAATCAACAAAAGATGAAATATCGGTACGTTTGTTTGTATTGGGTCTCATTGCCAAATGGCCATGATTATGATGCTGCAACTCTAATTCATTTTTCTTTCCCTTCCATAGATGCAAACTTTGTGGCCAGTTGAAGCAGAATCACAGTTGTCCATATCAACAGTCGCTCCAGAGAAGCATTGGAATCAATGTGTATCCCGCCGTCAATGCCTTTACGGCCAGGGAGCCGGGTCGTTTGACCAAGTCACTGTCGGAAATGAACAATTTTGTTTCCTATGAATCATCAAGCCAGAATGCTGGTGTTCCAAAGTCGTTTCCCTCTTCCTCCTATGTGACTCCGGAAACCAAGGCTCGAGACATTCATTCATCGCCGTCCTCGTTGACGACTGTGGACAGTATGGAAGGAAAGGAGGATGGCAGTACACCAGTTTCCAGTCGCATCAAGTCGTCCAAGAGACGCGACGCGAAGCCCTTTGTCAAGACGTTGACGCTTCGGCAAGAACACTTTCGTGCCGTGACGCCCATGGCGAGTGAGGGAGGTTGCGACTACCAGTATCCACATGTGCCACTTAGCTTTCGGGAGCGAAAGCGTTTGAGCGACACATTATTTTTCTTGTCAAAGGAGATTCCGGACATGACAGTGCCGGTCGCGTCTCTCTTGCGGACAGCGAGGAGCAGGAACGAATGGGACTTGTGCGTCGCCGAGCTCTTGACGCAAATTGTTGTTGGGCTTTACTGCCGAGAAGGGGACCATCGATTGGATGGCTTGCAAGATTACCTTTTACGATTGGGAGTAGCATGTTGAAAGTGAACAGTATATCATATATGTATAAATGTAGTACCTATTTTACAATCATCAAAAGTCTAGAGTACATCTCTACTTTGTGTAAATATATTTTTATATTGAAGCATCCATGGACATCATGAAAGTGTCTCTTCAATATTATTCGTCTAACACGAAATACCGAGGGTCAAGAGATAGCGTCGTAGACCCTCGAATCGGTTGTCCCCATCCGAACAGTTGGCCACAATGACAACCTGTGTCATTAGTTCAGCCACTGCCAAATCCCACATGTCCCTTTCTCTTGCTTCACGCAATACTGCGGCACATTCGTCAGTGAGTTGAGGAACTTCCTTCGAAAGTGAAAACAAGTTATCACTGAGTCGTTTGCGCTGTGCGTATGGAAGAGGAAGAGCCGGATATGTAAATGCTTCTGTTCGGGAAAGCTTCTTAGAAGCTGCGATTATTCGGAATTGTTCGGGCTTGAGATCCGCAGATTCGACAAAGAGAAGATCGCCTTGTTCCTCCCCATTCATCTGAGAGTGTGAGCGCTTCTTCATTGCCGATCCTGGTGCAGTGCCAGCCATGTATCGTTGGGTTGATCTAGTACCTCGTCTGGCAATAGAACCAGGAGTTCGAGTTCTCTGCGGTGTGCTCGTTGTGATTGAAGTGATTGGAGAATGAAGTCCTCTACTGCCATTGTGCAATGACTCGGGTGTCACTTGGGCCGAGCTTGGACCGACAGCGGGGGGATGACGCATACGGTCGGGGGTGGGCCGGTTGGGAGAATTTTCGGTAGACGAAATAGATTCTCCCGAACCAATGAAATTGTTCATTTCGGACAAGGCAGGTGCTATAACACCAGGTTCCGTCGACGTGAATGCATTGACCGCAGGGTACACCTGGATACCAATGCTTCTAGCGAGTGACTGTTGGTAAGGACAAGTGTGGTTCTGCTTTGGCTGCCCACACAGTTTGCATCGGTAACGCATTTTCGGTTGATCTGATTGCGAGCCATCGTTTTCTTCTCCCTTCTCGTCTGATTCATCGTTTGGATCTTCTGAATCACCGTGGTCCTGCTTGATTGGATTTCCTTCGCTGTCCATCATAATTTCACCATTGCCACCCTCCGATTCATTCCTCATGGCCAATTCATCATCCTCGTCGTCCTTCATGGATGTCGCTGCCTCAATCGGTGGATCCTCTTCAAACTCCCACGACAAGCGGTTGTCATTCTCGTAGTATCTTCCAGGCAAAGCTTCATCATACTTGGACTTGGGGCGAGAATTGTACCCATTGGCAGGCGAGGTCGTGGATGACGATGGGGTGACAGTAGCTGTTTCCGTCGTCTTTTCACGGAAGATAGACTGGGTCGTCATTGGAGCTGATTTCTGTAGTGCTCGATCTCCAATAAACGTTCCTCCAAAGGCACAGACAGCGGAAGCCACACGTCTCGATGCGATTGCAGCATCATGTGGTGATGGATCTCCAAATGGCTGTAAAGGGTAACAAGCGTGTGAGTAAGATGAATGCTTGAAGGAACAATCGCAATCAATGTGATGTAGTAAGATACTTACTGAACGAGATTGGCGTTTGGGTGTATCATCAGGGTCCTTCTTCATATCTCCAGGCGTCTCCAATAGTGCTGCTTTAAGTCCAGGCAACAAAAAGGAGCACTCTTTGAAGGCATCTTTGTTTCGCTTCAAGAAAGCATAGAACAGTGGGCTTCCGTCTGGATTCTCCATGATTCCCCCACTTGAATGGTTCATTGGTGGATTCGGAATGTGTGGTCCTCCGTGCATGCTGCGGTCTTCAAGTGGTCGTTGTTTGGTCTTTGGCGATCCTCCTCCGGAATAAGATTGGTACATGTTGAGCACTTGGGATGGACTGGAAGATCCAGTTTGCTCGCCTCCGAGAAGCATCATGTTGCCACCTCGGGACGGTGGGCCATTGCCAAAAGAATTACTGGGGCTCATGCCAAAGGTACCATTGAGAACACCCGAACTAGATCCTCCCAAGAGCTGTTGAGTAATCGAATTGCCTCCCGAAGATGACAGTTGCAGATCTGGACCCTTTTCGTTGTCGTCGGACCCAAGGCCTCCACCAAAGGAAGAGGATTGTAGGGCAGAATCCAGTGGACCGCCCACATTGAAAAATCCGGTGCCATCGCCAAGGCTATCAAACGATTGGTTGAAGAGTGAAAACGATGGCGCCATGTCAAGGGAGTTTGTAGGTTGAGGTGTTCCTTGCGGGTTGCTCTTGGGACTTCGTGTCGGCTGTTGTTGGCAAATGACGATTGAGGAGTGGTTAGCGTGATGGATCGAATCAACAACACCAATCTTTAGTGTCACAGTTGTGTACTTACTTCAAAAAATAGACTCGAGTCGGCGCCGCTTGGATGATGCGAATGTTGGATTCGAGGAGGCTCATGCGGACTCAATTCCGAACTTCCTTGCTTGTCCTTGGATCGGTTGTTCGCTGATGGTGCAGATGCCTTTTCCTCAAACGAGGTGGTTGGCGTTTGGATAGACATGAGCACTTTCTGTGGATTGCTTTCTTCGGGATTGCTTTGAGCAACGCCTGGGCGACCACGGAAGACTGAAGCAGCAGCCGCTCGGCTGAGAGGAGCTTGTTCTGATGCTCTTGGTACATGTATAGGAGTAGCAGTCCCAATTACCCGAGTAGTTCGTTTCCCCGGAGTCGAAACACTTTCACCGCCCCTTGCTACATCTTGTAGCATTCCGCGGTAGCCCTCGTCTCGCATATCTCTCATATATGGAGGACGATCTCCTCCTCCCGCCCCTCTCCGAAAGGGATCAGCACCGTACCCTGGTGGTGGTCCTTGTTCTAGTCCCCGGCCACGACCCATGCGTTCATCGTAGACATGTCGTGACATGTTGGGATCCCCGCCATAGCGCCGATCGTAATCTTGTTCTGTGTATGGTGGACGGCCATATGGATCTCCTCTTCCCCGAGCTCCACGATAGACATAACTTGGATCAGCACCACCCCGGTATCCATATTGGTCTTCCCGTCTTGTTGGCATAGGCTGTAGTGGCATGGAAGGATGCCCTGATGGGTGTCCATATCTAGAGCTAACGCTGGCTCTAGATGGTGGACGTCCATCTTCTTCTGGCGGCCAGCCTCCAGCTCTTGGATCTCTGTAGGCGGATCTGTGTGGTGGATAAAGCGACGAAGTTCCCGGCGGCATGTGATGCGGAGGAGGTGTATGATAGCGAACAGATTCTCGTGGTGGTAGTGGTCGTCTTCCATAATCTCTGGGCGCTCCTCCTTCCGGTGCTTCATATTGCCAAGAACTGGGTGGAGGCTGAGTTCGTCCGTTGGAAAGTGATTTTGCAGCTGCTGCAGCTGCCGCTGCCGCAGCAGAAGGATTCGCAGGCGAGGGTGGTGGAGCACTTCTATCATCCACCGTGGGAGGATACTCTTGCATTGGTCCTCTTGATCCAGGCCGGCTTCCCATTGTAGGCGGTGATCTACATCTAGTCCTTCCGCCTCTTCGACTGGTGGCTGTCGTTCGTGGAGGTCCACTTCCTGAAGCCACTGAATGCACAGAAGCTACGGAAGGAGGCCGTTGTGGAGTGGAATTTGTCATGATTGGAGCTAATCGGCCGGGGGGAATGGGAGATGTGGACGATGGCGGCCGTTGAGGAGGCATACTATGTTGCATCTTAATCATATGATCCATATCCGCCGATTTCTTCTCGTCCTCTTTGGGATTTACTTGTGTCACCATTTTGATTGAAAATTTTGTTTTTAAACAGAGTATCCGAAGCTGCGACTATAAGGTGTAAAGGAGGAGGGAAAGAGGGCAACAACAAGGTGAGCATACGCTCTTGTGACATGCCATCATCAAACAGATTGGTTTTCGTTTCAGATCCATTTCCATAGGTTCCCCCAAGCACCACGGTTAGAGATCTAAACATTTCCCGCCTTCTAACTATCATTGCTGAATCGTGATAATAGTTTCCATGGAAGCCGGATTGTATCTAAACCGAACCACTGAGGTGCTTGGTTGGATTTGAAACAAGAATTCCCCCCATCAATCGAAACCAAATATGGCGGCATCGTCACTCCAACCACACTACAATCTCATGCCAAACCCACCTACAAGCTGTCACAACCACAGAAGAACAAAACGAAAAGTTGAATATCTTGTTTCGTCAAAACGAAAGATGTTTCCAATGTTAGAGTCGTCAACGTCCAAGTTGTTGCTCTCCCCAATATGAGTGCTGGGTGGCTCCAACCTAAGTAACCAAACCTTGGATTCGTTGAACGTATGGACTCTCTAAGTAGTTGCGTGCGTTAGGTCAGAACGGTTACATGTGCATATTCGATTATATTCATGATATAAAACTCTGACGGAGTGGCGTTACGCCTCTTCGAACGGAAAAGGCTTTCTTGCGTGTATTATTTACTTCTTATTGCGCAGGGATGGGCCGTTGAGGATGTTTGGCGATAATGGACTGACGATTGACTGACGTGATGAAAAAATGACGGATGGAAATCAGACGACATCTCGCACCGGGCGTGTTCATTCTTGGGACGGAAATCCAATGACTTGTATTTGCATTGATTGACTATGTGCGTGAGTCAGTCTTTAGAAGGATTGGGGCAAATTGTATCAATATGTAACCTATCAATAGTGTACTAGTTCATTCGTTGATGCAATCTTTTTAAATGGAGGAAAAGTACCAAGTTGGCGACAAATCAATACCATGGCTAGGCGAATGGCCCAAGAAAACGTATCACATTGGTCAGCATCAAGTCGATTCCACAATTCATACGAATGATCTCTCAAGCTGTCATCAATGTCTAGTCACTGTCCGATTTAGACATTGCTTCACAATCCACACCTTGATCATGCATGTAGCAAGCCGATACCATGGATTGTCCCTTCACTTTCATCCTCCAGCCATAAAGCCATTTCCAGCAACGACTCCACCTCCATCCATTCGTACTCTGCTGCCAACGTGCGACAAGCGGAAACGACTTCTGAAGCAATGGATACGGTATCAGAAGCTTCGACCACTGCCGCCAAAACAGATCGAACCTCGTCCCTCCATCGGGGCAGTAGTCCCAAGACAGACACACAGGCAGGGCTCCTGCTGGACTATAGCAAGCAATGATGTTGTCACATATTCACTGGATTCGTTGAATGGTCCTTGCATAGGTAGTCCATCGGTGTACATCCAAAGACATCTTTTTAGATCGCAGAACAATGTTCACTGAGGATATCGAAAGAAGCTCTTGAAACAGGTCCCCAAATACGGCGTTCGAGAAAGAAAAAAAAGCCAAGGACATGGAATGAAGTGAGTCATTCCAACAAAATCCACTTTGTTGCAAGCAGCTGGATCGGCCTTTACAATATTCTGAATGCTGCCAATATTGTCTTGTAAAGTGTATGCGATAGCTCTTGAAAATAGCAGACCCGGTGAAAGTGGAAGAAAGCCGAATTGGCGTTTCAGCTTGCTATATCATGACCAGATCTTCATATACCCATTTGCAGCTTCCACCCATATCATGTCTTTCCTTCCATTAAATTCAAAGGGACAGGATCCAATTCGTTTCTTGCATATGAATACTGCAGACAGGAGGATCAAATTCGTTTCGTCCATGGGTAGGTAAATTGCCCTCCTAGATATATGTACTGACAGGATCTATAATTTTTGTGATGAAGGAAGCAACAAGTCTGACCAGAGAGTTGTATCCAAAATCGCCTGCAAACATACCAAAACGAACAGCGCTTCAAGCTTTCGGGCACTTTCCACTGAGAGCAATGAGGTGCACTTAGCAAACGAATTCTCGTAATAAATGCACTTCGACCGTTGGTGGGATCCAGAGATGCGTCAAGGAAGAACAACTTTCAAAGGTCCACTCTTCAATCCTTTTCAGACTTTGTTGTTCGTGGAAGAAGTTATGTCCTTCAGTCGTGAACATCCATCAAAGGCATCTTTCCCAATGCTGGTCAAGTTGCAACGAGAAAGATCTCACTTTGTTCGTTTTTCGTTCTTTGAACGCATTGGGTGGAATGAGTATGAATGAATGAATGAATCTTCTTGACAGATGAGCTATCGATCCGCAGCGAGGTTACATATCACGCGGAATGGATGGCAGGTCTATGCTTTCGTACGGTAGTACACAAAGACATCATCGTCCGAGACATCCTAGCTAGCTCCATTTCCACGACATTGTCACCAAATAAGTCGTCTCCTTCTCTTATTATAATGTTTGAATGACAATGCGACAATAATAAATATCATACTGTATACTCGTATGGTAGTGTGCGACAAATTCAAAATACACATTGGGGAAAGCGATCGAATGAGTCAGTCAGTCTCCAGCTACAGTAGCAGACCAATTCGGGTTTCGGACGAACTTCGAACAGTCATTATCATGTAGAACACGTAGAATTAGTACCAAACCCGAATTATGGCGCAAAGCCACATGAACATACAAAACAACGAACTGATTTTGATTTATTTTAATATTTATTCTTCGAACCAAGATCATGACGACGACCGCACCACCAACACAACCACCACCACCACCACCACCACCACCACCAACATCAGCAACAATCACACCAGCACAAAAGCGGGAGAAGAAAAAGCAAGCCCCGGTAAAGGCGGCCGCAAGACGAGAAACGAGGAAGCATACAACCAGAGACGATGACGAGGCTGATCCGAATGTGCTTGCTGCAAATAATAAGGGTGGAATCGCTGTTGAGGATCATGACATTATAAGTATGAGAACTCCTACTTTTGCATTACAGGATTATGTGAAAGTAAAAGCTGATTTTGGTGATCCAGGGACCAATAATCGTCCGGCCGGACGTGGTTTTATCCAGGAAATCCATGGATTTGGTGGAACATCTACATATACTGTGAAGTATGAAGGAGAGGATCCGGGAGGAACGTTCAAAGGGATCCCTTTGTCTGATATTTCTCCTCTACCTGTTGTAAATTCAGTTTTTTCCAACACTACCAACACTACCAACACAAGCACCCCTCGAAGGAAGCGACAGAAGATCCAACCAAGTTCATCAGTCGCTCCCTGTCCATCGGCCGAAACGAAGTCATCAACAAAGAAGAAACAGTCTCCCGGTGGGGAGCTTGTTAGTAGACTTCGTCATGCTCTCAGTAACGACAAGGAGAAGGGATGGCGGCGTAAGGAACTTGGTTGGATGCCACCTCCAAAGGCGAATGCCAAACGCCAGCCGAAGCTTACCAACCAGGAGAAGTCGCAAGTACTAGTAGATGTTGCCTTGCTGGAAACATTCCTAGAGGCTCAGGGGAATGGCAGTGGCAATGGCAATGGCAACAACCATTATCAAGAGAAGGACGCAGTCTCTGGAAAATTCAAGAAGCGGGTTACAAAGTGGAATCCAATGTCCATTGGGTATCTTGTCAATCATTCTTGGGGCCTTTCGAATTCGTACTTGTGTCGGCTTCAAAAGCAGCAGCAGCAGCAGCAAAAGGCGAACGAGAATGCGGCCACTGGTGCAACTTTTTTCGAAGCCAGAAAAAAAGCAAGCAAGAAGGCGAGATGTGTGATTGATGACTACGAGCTGGCAGAAAAGTTATTCACAACAAGCTACCTTTATGCTGTGAGTGAATGCCGGAGACAGGCGCGAGCAAATCTGGAGGAGGTTGTTGACCAGAAATTATACCACCAGCGTTTCAAAGCCGCAAAGGAGAAATTCAAAACTTTGGATGATGACACAAAGGCAGTCTGGGAATTCCAAAGACGTGCTCACTTGTCGCGGCATGCCACCATCAAGGATCAAATCATTCGTGCTAGAAAGACAAATCCAAAGTGTTCGTGGCGATCCATTGAAGAAGAAATTGACCACTGGTGTTGTGACGCAACCATTCGTAGATGGGCAATGGCAAGGGAAGGAGGAAACAAGATACTGTAGGACTAGAGAATGATGATACTCCTTGTGGTATCCAAAAAGAACATATACAATATATAATAATACAATAATGAAACTCCCAGTGGGCTTTCTAGAAAACGACGAAGAGATTATCAATCCTCCATCCTATTGGGCCTTGCTTGGACGGACTGTTGCTTGATTGAATGATTGATTGATTCCTCCAAGGTATTGTGCTGTTGGTGCATTCTCCTCTGGAGGTTGGTTGTCGTATCGTCGTTGTCGTCATCGTCGTTGTCTCGGATCTATTGTGTTGGTGTACGTACGAATATTTATTGTATTTATTGGATGTGCGCTTGCTTGCTTGTTCGTATAGCACCTTTTAAGACAGATATATCATTGCGCAATGCTGATGATTCTTCTTCTTGTGAGGTTGATTGTCGTTTGTCCTCGTCGTCATAGTAATACTGTATATTGATCTTATCTTTTGACAGTGAATCAATCAATGAATGAATGAATCAATCCTCTAAATTCTTGCAAAACGTAACATTCATTCCTTATGTGCATCATGATGGTTTTGTATTGCAATGTTGCCAGCAAGAAGAAACAACTGGCTGTTACTGTCACCCATGATTGCTCGTTGTCATCGTCGTCAATTGGCATTCCCATCATCATCATTATCGTCATTTTGCTTTGCGCGAAAGCAATAAGGGTATGCGGACGGAAATGCCGCAAGACAAGACAAGACGAGACGAGACAAGAGAATTCCATTGCACAAAAGATGATGATGAATTCAGAAACACTGTTCAGCATCACCATCTCAACTATCTATGCCAGCAGTGCCAAAGCATCAGTCAATCAGTCAATCAAGATGACCATGAGTAGTAGTAGTAGAAGACAGTAGGGACACTTTGTGTCACGCCTGACTGATTGATGGATGGAATGTATGCTGAATTCATAGCATACATGCATCTTTGCTTTGGAGCAGTGTGATTTGAATAATGGCAGTATCTTCTGTTGTGTGTGCCATGCGACTGATTCATTCATTCATTTATTCATTCGTTCGTTCCGCATGGCCTGGTGCAACCTTGCAGAACAAATCATCATAATCATCATCATCTCTTGTTCATCATCATCATCTCTTGTTCATCACCTCATCATCACCTCATCATCATTCTCATCATCATTCAACAGCAAAGAATTCTCTCCTCATTGAAATGAAAAATTCACCACCATCCACAATCATACACCATGTAGCTTGTTGTGGTGGTAACGACTTTTCCTGCTTGTCGTAACGACCCTCCGATTCTCTTTCTCCTTTGTAAGATCCGATATCTTCCCGTTTTCAAGGAGAAGTTAGTCGTTTTGTGAGGGTTGGTGTTGGCCACGTCAGCAATTCTTTTTCCGAGTTCGAACGAGGAATTCTGGTTCGGAAAAAATCACTCCTCAAAGAAGGAATAATGTGAGAAACGGTCAATTGTTAGTCTATTCACGATGCTGTGCCTACTTAGAGGTGACTGGTTGGTTCCCTTTCGAGGCTCTTTTCCATTGCTTCGTGTTTCACCGATCAGGCTCAAGAAGCATCAGAATTTCAAAATTCAGCGTTTTGTCCTTGGTCCTATCAGCCTACAAGTCGCTACTGTTACTCCGACTGACATTGCGCTGTGTCAGTGAATAGTGATCATCGTTCTCATATTATAATTTCAAGGCTTTCCTTCCTTCTTTCTTTCCTTCCTTCCTTCACGAACAGTAATGATCTCTCAAGCCTTGATCAAATCGTCAGCGGCCTCCTTGAAACAACAAGGAAGTCGTTCGGTACAACGATGGGTTTCCACATCCTCCACTCAAGCTTCGAGCCTGATGGATCAGGGAAGTGATGGGAATAATAACGCCGCCATGGGTGGCAAGGTGGCAGCAGCAGCTGTTGTAGCCGTGGCCATGGTGGGATTGGTCACCACCACCACCACCACCAACAGTACCACTGTGGAACGCACACGATTGGTGTCTTGCGAACCAGCAGCAGCAGCAGCAGCACAACCAGCACAACAGAGAACCAAAATGTTGGGCACCTCCGCAAATAGCATTTCCACAACGACGGGTGGTAGCAAAAGCAGCAGCAGCATTGAAGTTAGAACGGCTCCCACCAAATCCAAAATGCCCGTCTACACTATGAAGCAAGTCGCAGTGAACAATGGAGAGAATGGCAAACCAGTATGGATGACCCATGGAGGCAACGTTTACGATGTCACCAACTTTATTGCCAATCACCCAGGGGGTTCCGAAAAGATTATGCAAGCGGCAGGATCGGTACGTTCCAACATTGATCGTGTGTGTGTGTATATGTGTGTGTGTGTAGTGCGACACGCAATACTCGATACATGCAAACAAAGAAGTGTGTGTTTCACACAATGGCAATGACAATGACAATGCTAACCTTCTTTTGTTTGCTTTCAATATATATTTCACTACTGTCATTATCAACGTTTTGACAGTCCGTCGAACCCTTTTGGCACGTGTATCGTCAGCACTTCAACACGGATTTGCCCATGAAACTCATGGAACAAATGCTCGTTGGGGAACTCTTGGACAAGGATCAAGAAAAGGTGGATTTGAAAATGGAACTCCTCGAGGAAACCACGGCCGATCCCTATGCGCTCGAGCCACTGGAAGAACGCCACCCGGCCTTGATTGTGCACGGCGAACAGCCCATGAATGCCGAAGTTCCCGAACATTTGCTCACCAAGGATTATTTGACCTCGCCCGATTTGTTTTACATTCGGCACCATCACCCCGTTCCATATTTGACAAAGGACGAGGTGGAGAATTTTGAATTGGAAATTGATTTGGGAGCCTACGGGGGTGGCAAAAAGAAGACCATTACCTTGGAGGACTTGAAAAAGATGAAGAAGGTAGAAGTCACGGCCACTCTGCAATGCAGTGGGAATCGTCGGGGCGGTTACAATGACTTTGAACGCACGTCCGGGACCAGTTGGGGACAGGGGGCCATTTCTACGGCCAAATGGGGCGGGGTCCGACTCCGTGATTTGATGAAGCACATTGGACTCGAAGATGAAATGGACGCCCAAGAAAATGGAAAGTTGGAACATGTGCGATTCCATGCTTTGGACGGCATGATGGCGTCGATTGGTATTGAAAAGGCCATGAATCCATATGGGGATGTCATTGTCTGCTACGAAATGAATGGCAAGCCACTTCCAAGAGATCATGGATATCCATTGAGAGTAAGTTGACTTCTTGTGTATATATATATATACGTGGCTGAATGATCAATGACAAGGAACAAATTCTAACTCCTCATGATCCACTCGTTCGTTTCACTACAGGTCATTGTTCCAGGATATGCAGCCGTTCGCAATGTCAAGTGGGTTCAAAAGATTGAATTGAGCCAAGAAGAAGCCGAAGGACCATGGCAACGTGGACTCAACTACAAGGTATTGCCACCTGGTGTCAGAGATGCCAAGAGTGTCGATCTTTCCAAGATTCCTTCCATGATGGAGTTGAGTGTCCAATCGGGAATTACCAGCATTGTTCCACAAAACAAGAGCTCCTCATCGAAACCTGGGGACACCATTATGGTCAAGGCATCCGGATGGGCCTACTCTGGTGGGGGTCGAAATATTGTGCGCGTCGACGTGACGGGCGACGGGGCGGAATCCTGGCAAGCGGCGGATCTCACAAGTGGACAAGATCAAAAGCAGGGCCGCGCCTGGGCCTGGACCTTTTGGGAATGCACCCTTCCTGCCAAGGTACAAGCCGATGGGTCGGTGCAAGTTCACAGTAAGGGAGTCGATTTGGCATTCAACTCGCAACCGGACAGTGCCAAGCACAATTGGAACGTCCGGGGATTGACCAATAACAGTTGGTACAGCAAGAAGATTCCAGTGCAATAAGATGTATGTATATATGAATTGCATATTGCATATTGCATTGCTATTTAAGTCGTCGCTACTTTTGTCATTATTCAATGGAATGATGAACGAATGAATGAATCATCAATCATGTCTCCAAATTTTGAACTTTGCTGTAATTCCCGCCGCTGCCGCTACTATTATACTAGGCCATAGATATATATATATATTATATTGCTACATAATATACACAGATATACATTTCATGCAATGCAGGTAGAGTAATTGGCTGACTGACTGAACTCCTCGCGATCCTATAGCTTCCATCAGAGCAAAAGTTTATCGATTTGCAATATAGACGCTGAATAAGTACCATCATACCTCCAAACGGCAGGTATCACATAATAATCTTGGTCAAACCATTTGCTTGCGTCTACGGTACGTGACGGGAGGGGACGGGAGCTGGTGCCATATCCAGGGTACTGCAATTCAAAAAAGGCGAATCAAAAATATTGTTCGTCACGGTGAAACTCGCCAATGCTACAGACAAGGAATTTTACAGATACGTTATCGAGCTATCATACTGTAGTAAAGCTGAACCATGGCACGAGGAAGCAGTGGAAGCCAGCTGGGCGGAGCAGCTTCATAGGACAACACAACGATCCAACTTCGGGGACTTCGTTGAGGATCTGACAGTTGGCCAGGAGATCCGTTTATATATCTTGGCTGGGCACTCAGTGCATACAACTCTCGGCTGAATGAATGAGTTCACACAGTGTCCGAACTACCACATTGTTGCACGTCTAACATAGAGAGTATGGCAAGGAGGCAGCAAGATGATGCAGGTAGATTCCAATCTTACTGCCATGTCTTTGCCGAACTCTCGACTTACTCACAAATGAAGCGTCGCAAGCCAATCATTGAGATGCTATAGATAACATAGTTGATTAAATAGTTAAGTTTGATTCCAAAATGTAACTAATGCAACCCAGGATGTAGAGAGTGCAGACGCCGTGTTCACAAGTCAATCGTGAACCAAAGGATTGATATGTGCGACCCGGTTATCGGTTGGATGGTTCTTCAACTGTAAAATAGGCAACTTATAAATATTCCAAATCTCATCTAACAGGATTAGTAGTCTTCCCATTCAATGTGATTTGAACAAAGTACTTACATCAGAACAACAAGCTCGATACCTTTCTTCTCTTGTCTTGCTTGCTGCTGTATTGAACTATGATGTGATCGTATCGGTAGAATAGGCAAGTCAAAAATATTCCGAACCTCAATTTTAGCCGGGAAGGTCCAAGATAAATCCCACTCCGCTTCTGCTTTCAAACAATGTTGATTGTTGCATTTATCGATATCTTTCATGTCTTGTTTGCTGCGGTAGTGAATGCAAACAATGCTTTGACCATAGAATAGACATTTATGCTGTACAGTAGCAAGATCAATCACACTCCGCTCCATCAGCTTTGAAACAGTGTGGATTGTAGCATTCTTCTTGCCGAATTCATAACGTTGTTGCTGATTTGTTGGCTCGAGTCGCTTGTTCTTCAAAGACTACTGTATCAAGCAGGTCACGACAAGCAGGTAACGACGAATTTATCGATACCTTCTTGTCTTCTTTGCTGCTGTATTGAATGCAAACGCTTTGACCGACCATCGAAAAGGCAAAACATTCCGAATCTCGTTGAAGCAGTGCAGTAGCAAGATAATACCACTCCGCTTTTGCTTTCTGGTGGATTGTTGGATTGCTTCATTCTAATCAATCGGCACCTACTCAGATCGCGAGCGCCGATGCAGATTTGTTGGAACTCATCTTGTCTTCATGGATGATGCCCCTGATGTATACGATGTTGTGCTTCTGCCTCCAGGCTGTTTTGCATCATGGCTATTTAGCGTCTGTTGTGGTCAGTGTCGTGTGCTGTCCTGCTCCGTTGCCCTTGTTGCTCGTTGGAGGCTCGTGATCGAAGTGTTGTCGATGGAAACAATGATGACACGCACTACTGTATGTTCAATGTATGATACGATGCATCTCAACTAGTAGCTCCCGTCAAAAACGGTACCAAAACGGACGAAAAATGCCTCTACTGCAGTCATATCCGGGTCGCTTAGCAGCTCTATTTTTTGAAATCAAATATTATTCGTCTGTTCTTCGATCTTTGGTTATTCCAAGAGGAAATGTGCCGTCATCGTAGGCGTAGTATGAAAAATACGACGATTTTCAATGGAATACCTGCCCAAATAATAACGCACTGCTGTATCTCCCGCTCAAACGATATTATACTGTAGATGTCATCGATATACATGTATGCGATACAATAGAGGGAGTTCCAGTATACGACCAGAAATATAGCATACGGGTATCATCATTATCTCAGAAAAGTAAGCAGACTATATATATAGGTATAGAGACGAATATTATTCTACTACGAGTCGAGTATACTGTAAAAACACAAAAACAATCATGGAGGGGGGCAGTAGTAGCAAAGAAGCCTTATTGTTGTTGGTCGAGGAACTCTTGAAGATGGGCGCTCTCTGTTATGAACGACAGCACTACAAAAAGGCAAGGGAGAATTTTGAGAGTGCGTTGGAGATACAAAGAAAATATTTGGATGAAGATGACCTTGCTGTGGCCGACACACTCAATGACATTGGGAATGTGCTGATGTGGGAAGGAAAACTGGATGAAGCTTTAGAGAAACTCAACACAGCACTGCCGATACGTGTGAAAAAATTGGGAAACCACCGTGACACGGCGCAAACATCCATAATGATTGGCAATATTCTTGAAGTACAAGGCAATTACGAAAAAGGCGAAGAAATGTTCCGGAAAGGTCTGGATATCAAGTGCGAAATCCTGCCAAATGACCATGATGAAGTCACGGAAATGTACCAAAGTATAGCGTTGTCATTGAAAAAACAAGGCAAGTTTTCGGAAGCAACCAAGATGCTCAAGGTCCAACTTGCAAAGCTACTAGATATGCATGGGGAATACCACCGTGGCGTTGTACTTGTATACGATGGTATTGCAGAGCTGCTGGCACTTCAAAATAGGCCTGACGATGCTCTTCAGATGCTTGATAGAGGCATTGAGATTTGCAACCGATTAACACCGCTGGGAGACCCCGACACCAAGAAGACATTGGAAGTAACTCTTACCAGTAAAGCAGACATACTTCTCGAACAGGGTAACTTCGAAGCTACCACAGAGGTGCTCAACAAGTTGTTAGGGATAAAAGTGGAAACGGATCCCACATTATTCCAGACCTATGAACAGCTTGCAACGGTATACGGCCGACGAGGAATGATAGAAGATGCCAGGAAGGCATTAAAGGCTGCCATCGACATTCTTCGAAAGGGGGGTGGCCATGATCATCCCATCGCACAAAGGCTTGCGCGCAACCTCGCACAGTTAGACCTTGAGAAAATGCCGAGAGCACTGAATGAACAGGGATTGGCAATGAAAGCAGAAGGCGAGTCGGAAAAGGCTGTACAACTCTTCCAACAGGCACTTGATAGCTACATGGAAATCGCTGTTGCAAATCCCAGCAATATAGCAGAAGTGTACGAGAATCTTTCGGCTGTGAAAGTCGAACAGGGGTTTCTGGAGGATGCCCTTGTGGCGAGTTCAAACGGACTCAAGATTCGTCGAAGAACGCTTGGCGACGATCATGTTGACACGAAGCGACGAATGGAAGCGCATAGATCTTTGCTGATACGTCACTTGGAGAATCGGAGCTAAGTAAGTGAGTGAGCTGATGATTGGATAGAGTCATCTCTATGACAATCGATTCTGCTCTGGGTGGTCGAACGGGGGGACGCTGAATATGTACAAGGCAGGGAGCCTCTACTATCAGTCCCAATGTAGCAGCAACCTACGAGAACCTTTCGTCTGTCAAATTCGACCAGGGGCTCCTTGAAGACGCTGTAGCTGCGAGTGCAGAAGCACTCAAGATTCTTAGAAGAACGCGCGGCGACGATCATGCTGACACGAAACGACGCATGGAAGTGCATCGTTCTTTGCTGAGACGTCTCTTGGAGAATCGGACCTAGGTGTGAGAGCTCAATATGAATTGAATGGTCGTCGTATGAAGGGAAAGGTAACAAGAATCGAGCTTTCAATTGCACTGGAACCAAAGATGCCATTGCACTTGCCCATGACGACTTCTGCTCGTGTCACCGGGTGCGAATCCTTGCACTCAATCGGATGTCTCTCTTATCAAGCGCAGTCGAGGGGTCGATTGCAGTGCAGTCCCCGAACCACTTGCATCTCACTTCCATTGTGGTGGCTTCCCACCACCATCCACAACGTTACCGAGATTTCAGCCAAATGTTGTCAGACAATGGGAAAAAAATCAACTGATAAAGGTGCAAGGGCTCTAGTTGTGCTTGCTGTGCTACAGGATCATCCTAAGATAGTATAGCACTTTGGGAAATAGTGACGAAGAAGATGTTCCAAGCCCTTTTGCACTAAGGCGACCAAAGGTCAAGGTAACATGAACGCGAATCAAGTGTCAAGAAAAGAAAGTCATACCAGGAGATGATGGCATGGCCTGTAGCCATAAGGACGACGGCTTTGGATTTTGACGATCCAAGGCTGTAGCTTTGATCAAATCGTCAGCGGTCCCCTTGAAACAACAAGGAAGTCGTTCGATACAACGATGGGTTTCCACATCCTCCACTCAAGCTTCTTCGAGCCTGATGGATCAGGGAAGTGATGGGACTAATAACGCCGCCATGGGTGAGAAAATAGCAGCAGCAGCAGCTGTTGCAGCCGTGGGCATGGTGGGATTGGTCGCCACTAGTAACACGACTGTGGAACGCACGCGATTGGTGTCGTGCGAACCAGCAGCAGCAGCAGCACAACAGAGAACCAAAATGTTGGGCACCTCCGCAACCAGCATTTCCACAACGACGGGTGGTAGCAAAAGCAGCAGCAGCAGCAGCAGCATTGAAGTTAGAACGACGGCTCCCACCAAATCCAAAATGCCCGTCTACACTATGAAACAAGTCGCAGTGAACAATGGAGAGAATGGCAAACCAGTATGGATGACCCATGGAGGCAACGTTTACGATGTCACCAACTTTATTGCCAATCACCAAGGGGGTTCCGAAAAGATTATGCAAGCGGCAGGATCGGTACGTTCCAACATTGCTTTAGTGCGACACGCAATACTCGATACATGCAACCAAAGAAACGTGTGTGTTGCACAATGACAATGACAAGGCTAACCTCTTTTTTGTTGTTGTTGCTTTCCACTGTACTACCACTACTATCATTATCAACGTTTTGACAGTCCGTCGAACCCTTTTGGCACGTGTATCGACAGCATTTCAACACGGATTTGCCCATGAAACTCATGGAACAAATGCGCATTGGAGAGCTCTTGGACAAGGATCAAGAAAAGGTGGATTTGAAAATGGAACTCCTCGAGGAAACCACGGCCGACCCGTATGCACTCGAGCCACTGGAAGAACGCCACCCGGCCTTGATTGTGCACGGCGAGCAGCTCATGAATGCCGAAGTTTCGGAACATTTGCTCACTAAGGATTATTTGACCTCGCCCGATTTGTTTTACATTCGGCACCATCACCCCGTTCCATATTTGACAAAGGACGAGGTGGAGAATTTGAATTGGAAATTGATTTGGGCGCCTATGGGGGTGACAAAAAGAAGAAGACCATTACCTTGGAGGACTTGAAAAAGATAAAGAAGGTAAAAATCACGGCCACTCTGCAATGCAGTGGGAATCGTCGGGGCGGTTACAACGACTTTGAACGCACGTCCGGGACCAGTTGGGGGCAGGGGGCCATTTCTACGGCCAAATGGGGCGGGGTCCGACTCCGTGATTTGATGAAGCACATTGGACTCGAAGATGAAATGGACGCCCAAGAAAATGGAAAGTTGGAACATGTGCGATTCCATGCTTTGGACGGCATGATGGCGTCGATTGGTATTGAAAAGGCCATGAATCCATATGGGGATGTCATTGTCTGCTACGAAATGAATGGCAAGCCACTTCCAAGAGATCATGGATATCCATTAAGAGTAAGTTGACTTACTGTTTGTATATATATACGTGGCTGAATGATCAATGACAAGGAACAAATTCTAACTCCTCATGACGATCCACTCGTTCGTTTCACCACAGGTCATTGTTCCAGGATATGCAGCCGTTCGCAATGTCAAGTTGGTTCAAAAGATTGAATTGAGCCAAGAAGAAGCCGAAGGACCATGGCAACGTGGACTCAACTACAAGGTATTGCCACCTGATGCCAGAGATGCCAAGAGTGTCGATCTTTCCAAGATTCCTTCCATGATGGAATTGAGTGTCCAATCCGGAATTACCAGCATTGTTCCACAAAACAAGAGCGCCTCATCGAAACCTGGGGACACCATTATGGTCAAGGCATCCGGATGGGCCTACTCTGGTGGGGGTCGAAACATTGTGCGCGTCGACGTGACGGGCGACGGGGCGGAATCCTGGAAAGCGGCGGATCTCACAAGTGGACAAGATCAAAAGCAGGGCCGCGCCTGGGCCTGGACCTTTTGGGAATGCACCCTTCCTGCCAAGGTACAAGCCGATGGGTCGGTGCAAGTTCACAGTAAGGGAGTCGATTTGGCATTCAACTCGCAACCGGACAGTGCCAAGCACAATTGGAACGTCCGGGGATTGACCAATAACAGTTGGTACAGCAAGAAGATTCCAGTGCAGTAAAATATATGTATATATGAATGGCATATTGCATATTGCATATTGCTTATTGCATATTACATTGCTATATATAAGTCGTCGCTACGTTTGTCATTATTCAATGGAATGATGAACGAATGAATGAATCAATCATGTATCCAAATTTTGAACTTTACTTCCTGCCGCTGCGACCGCTACAATACCATCATAGTAGGATTTATATGTTATATTGCTACATCTATATATAAATAGTCCTACTATTAGTCATACTAGGATAATTTCCTTTTTACAATAATACACAGATATATAGTGGTAGAACCAAATTCTCCATCTTTTTTATGCAATGCAAATAGAGTGGATGGCTGACTGCTTTTGGGGAAGACGAGGGGAAAGGAAAAAAGAAAGGGAAGGAGAAAAAAGGAGAAAGGAGATATTTTTTTAAGTGCTCCCCAATGCATCGCTTCTCTTGATTTCTGAAGCAATGTTGTATGTAGAAGACTTGCCAACAGCATTGAGATGTTTCATGTTGATGTCAAAAGTAATGTGGTGGGAATTGGAGCTTCCAAGTGGGATATAAGATATGGAATTGAAATAGCACGACTTAACCTTGTGATTTGACTTCAGGCTAGACCAGACTTGAAATAGAAATGTGATGACCCAACTATTTTTATATATGTGATTTTATTTCGGGCTGCGTTTATCGCACCATATAATTTGAAATTCGAGAAGGACTCAGATTCTTTTCTATGCAGAATTTCAAAACAAAAGAAATAGTCCCGACAAAAATAAAATCGTATCGCGCCCCAAATGGACACTCATAAATTTAAATTTGACTACCACTGGTATACCGTAAACAAATTGCAACGACGCACTACCGCCTAGGTGAAAGATCCTGGCCAGCTTTCAGCCGCTCATCGACTCCATTGAGCCGTCAAGTCTGGTTCATGTCACATTTGGCAAAGAAAGCGACAAACTCGTTGAAATCGACGTTGCCACTTCGATCAATATCAATCACTGAGAATAACATGTCAAAGTCAGCCCGGCTCATATGGCCAACTCTTCCAGACTGCAAGAACGCCCACAACTCTTCCTTTTCGAGGGCCCCACCCTTATCCTGGTCAATTTTGTGAAATTCGGATGCCAATTCATCAGGGGAGAGACTACCTGCATTACCATTGACACGGATACCTTCAGCAATGCGACCTGCAAACTTGGCGCGCAGCACGGCCTCCTTTTGCTTCATTTGGCTCCTGTGGAAGTAAAACAAAGCAGAAAAGATGACCACAAAGACAGCCAACCCGATCCCTGCAATTGGTCCGATCAAGATACTTGCTTCTGGCTCTTGATATGGAGAGACAGCACACTCAGGGTCGTACTCACACCAGTCGCTTTTGTCTGGACAGTAACCTGATAGACAGTCGCCTTTGAATGGTCTTTGATCGGGGGGCACATTGTTCTCAAAGTAAGCTTGTTCAAGTGCATCGTGGAAGTCCTCGGATGATGTGATTCTCTTGGCAAGCATCCGAGTGGAAGCAACAACCTTGAACTCTTCACCTTCCGGAATAGAGGTGACATAGTAATCAATAGTCGTGGATAGTTGACTACACTCTGCATCAAGGCAAGCAGATGCGTATTGTACAAGCAAATCACCTTCCATGTAGCTGGAGAAGTGATTGCTTTCACCAGCAGGGAGACTCACATACGACTTGCGATCAAGCTTAACGCCCGTCATTGTTGATCCAAAAGGCAACATCGCTAGAGATCCGTCCTTTTCGAAAGTGCTGGTTCCAAAGCGCTCATAGAATCCGGAAGTCCCACTCAAACCGCATTGTCCTGGCAAAATAACATTTAGCATTCCTTCTGGTATAGGCTGGGTACAAAATGCACTCGGTGGAGGAGGATAGATAGCATGCATTTGCTCGTACATTCTCGAACCACTCAATGTGATGTTAATGAACATTTTGTAGGGGGCTTGGGTGTATGGCATTTGATCGGGTGAAAAAGAAACGGCGTTTTCCTTCAGAAAGGAGGGCTCAATAGCTCGTCCATCAGGACCATAAGCGGTGGCAGATGCTTCGTAAAGGCCTTCAAGCTTCTTCCACAAAGGGTTCTGATCGGCGATTGCATTGGAAGCTGTAGGGTCATAGCGGATGTCGCTTTCTGCAAGACATCTAGAGGAGTACCATCGACCGCATTTTGTTTCTGAAAGTCGCCTATCCGTTTTAAGTGTCACTGTTTCCTCCTCTTCCGTTGAAAGGATTCTGCGACGACGACCTTCCTCCTTGGGCAGCTTGTTGTTGTAGATATCACTAAGAGGAGCCGTTGATGAGTTGTACAGATGTTTCACTTTGAACTCAACGTTCAACTCGATCAACTGTAGATCTGTGAGGTCGTCAAGCCTGCTGCGGTCGGACAACAATTTAGTTGCGCTGGGACTCTTGCGCACATCTTGAGCGAGGGCAGGGTTTGTCTTTTGAAGTCGACTTGCGATGAATCGAACCATTTCATGATCGATCTCCACGTTCAAAAGGTCCATCATACGATTCGGAAAGTGACCGCAGTTCTCAGTGACAATGTCAAAGTTTTGCATGCTGTCCGGATCTGAAAGAACTTGGGCTTTTGCATTGTGGAATGCTTTTGCAATCTCTTTAAGCAGAAAGGTTCCCAGCGGCAAGTATGGAAAACTCTTCGGGTCGATGTAATTTGGGAGAATGACTTCATGTACATTCACGGTACGAATCTCAGAATCAGTGAGAGCGTCAGAGTCCGCATCAGACGGCTTTCCAAGAGCGCCACTTTGCTCCATGGCTATGCTTGGACAACCAGAGTCGCCTTTGACGACAGGTGTCGAGACCACAAAAATATGCTTGTGAACGTAGATAGAAGTCTCGTATTGGACTTCCGAACAGGACTGAAGTACATCACTCCAGCCATCATCTTCAAGCCTGTTCAGCAACCTCCTTGCCTCTTTGAGACCACAAGATGTAGCTGTGAAATCGAAACTGGGCAAATAGAGAATGGCCACGATGCCAAAAGCAAAGAACCTGTTCATATGATACTATCTTTCTCAAGACGAATCTCGATAATTTTGTGTGGTCAACGGGGAGGTTTTAAGCTTCTGCCGAAAATTGATCACTTCCGATACCATGGTACCGGCGCCGGTACCAGTACGTGTACGGTATGATATACGGAACTACTTTGTCGTACGTTCTTGTGCATCAGCATTTTGCATCACGGAAAGAAGACTATGACTACTTATGAGAAAAGTCATGAGGCCTATCGGGTCAACGTGGCATTAAATATATCACTGACAAAGTGCCAACCACCACTTCAGGCTCAAAAATGATTGTGCAACCAGTTCCAAGTTTCATGCCGCCCAGCCAAGATGGATAACGCTTTCCACTAAATTCGCTCGATGTTTCTACGTATTTCTTACGTTGACTTTGTACCAATTTGACACAATTCCGATCACAACGAATTTGTTGTTTCATAAAAAAAGGACAGAAAATCATGATATTTCCTCTAGAAGATTTGGCACAGATATACAAAATCATTTCCTCACCTTTCTTTTGCATGTCCCAATTTCGATCCATCGCACAGTTATTGTGAATGACGATGTTGCATCGGGCACATCGATGTCGCCAAGTTCCAACTCTTTGGAGCAACCGGCACAAGCACATGGTCCTAGTGGTCCTGGAACTGATATTGGCGGATACGGACGCCTGATTCCAAATCTGTCGATGAGTTCTTGAAGATATGTGGGTGATGTTTGGTCGTGATGTCCGATGGCAACAGCCGGAGGTCGTGATGTCCGATGGCAACAGCCGGAGGCCCTGTTGGACCGCGACCAACACCATACTCTTCCATCATTCGATCCTGTTCTGCATTTGCTTCAATTGAATATCGAGTCGAATTCAAGACACAAGGTGAGTGGTCTATCGGTTCGAGCAAGATACCCGCTCTTGCATGAATTGTTGCCTGTTGCAATCTTGCTGGATTCGTTGCATTTGCTGTTTTCTTTTGCTTTCCTCTTCTGAGGTACTTTGGATTTTTAGCCAGCGGACGGACTCGATTTTTATATTGTCGTATGGCACGTTTTGCCTTCTGCCTCGATTCCAAGTAAGTTTTATCTGACGGATTTCCAATCTCAACAATTTCTGACGGCGATATACCTTCCTTGCGAAAGTAGAAATACAGTGGCTTTTTGCATTCTTTCTTGTGAATGCATAGGAAAACTTTTTTTCCAGAAGGTCCCACATCTCATTGGTAGTACGTTCCAAGTGTGCTTCAGTCACTTCTTTGCTTGTGTTACTAGGCATTTCTAACCCATTGTTCTAGAGATACTTGAAAAGTTTCTTCCATCCAAGTGCTGTGTTCGGGAGGTCCTTTGGTCGTAGCTGGCGAAATGGTTTCACATAGTTGTTGCTATACCTTCTACCCTTGAGCTAGCATCGAAGCGCTTGGGAAAGGTTTGGCTTTGGAGGGAACTCAAAGCCTTCCGGAACGGACCAGAACCTTTCGGTGTAAAAGTATTTTCCTTGATCAGGCTTTTGAAGCAACAATCCACCCCCTTGCTGAACTTAATTTCCATGTGGCGGAATCGGAGCTGGCTGACCACCTTGGAACTGAGGAGGCAGGCTCCTAAGCATTCCTTTGAAATGTTCGGTAAGTTGTTTATTTGTTGCGTCTTGGTGCTTTTGAATAATGTCATTAGTACCTAAGAGAACAGGGCAACTTGGTAGCTGAAACGGAGGCGTTGAACAAAAGGCTTAAAGTCCAAATCAAAACGGTAGGTGAAATGCACATCACAACAGCCTGGGTGTATTAACAGCTTGGGCGAGCATACGTCAAACAAGAAATGGTAGAAGATGCCATCAGTGCGTACTCGAAAGCCATGAATATTCGAAAGGAGCTTGGCAGTGATCATTCCAAGATAAAAGAGCTTGAGGTCGACCTCAAATGGTTGAAGTATGATTCAAAGCGCGACAAAAAAATAACCATTCTAATGAAGAGGGATTGGCAAGGAAAGTGGAAGGCGATTCGGAAAAGGCTGTACAACTCTTCCAAGAGGCGCTGGATATGTACAAGGAAACTTCTAGTACTGTTACTCCTACCCTGGCAAACTTGTACGAGAATATTTCGGATGTCAAGGTCGATCAGGGGTTGCTGGAAGATGCCATTGCTGCGAGTGCAGAAGCTCTCAAGATTCGTCGAAGAATACTTGGTGACGAAGATACTGACACAAAACGACGCATGGAAGTACATAGATCTTTGCTGACACGTCTTTTGAAAAATCGGAGCTAAGCGAGTGAGTGAGCTGATTGTATGGCATCGTGTTCCCTATGCAAATAACAAGATTCTGAACTGGGTGGTCGAACGAAGGGACCGCCGGTCAACACCGAGCTTTCGCTTGGAATGCACCTACTTGCCAATACCAGGTAGATGAATATGACTGACTGACTCCACCCCTTGTGGTCGATGAGATTCTTCAATGTGCACAAGTAAGCATGGGTACCCAAATGAGGGTGCCTTGTCTTGCTTCTAAACGAAACTGAAGAAGGACCTAAATAACACTGAGCTTTTGGATGCAGCAATTCTTTATATCTATTATTATAGATGTGTGCTGAAATGGGTAGTGGATGGGATTAGAACTTTTGAATAGCTGTAGAAGATGGAGATTTTAAACAAGGCATATGTCACTGTCTTCATGAGTGTTGCAAAAGGCTTGTTTGGCAGCATCGACAGCCTTGGAAGCCTTCGCCTTGAATGATACAACTCTACCGTGGTCCTTGATATCTTTGAAAAAGACATGAGCAGCATCAGATTGCAGGAGACGCCAAGCCATGTACTTTTCAATGGCCGATGCCGCATGGGCATGAACCAGTTCCACCAAACTGGAAGGAGTCATATCTGTCTCTTCCAAGTTGGATTCTTCCCAAGCCATTTCTAGCAATTCGGGAGAGATTTCCAGCTTGGTCTCTAGATCCTTTTCAGATGCCTGTTGAGCGGCGCAAAACTCATCGAACAGCTTGGCTGCTTGCCCGGGTGAGTTCGGAGCATGCATGGCAAAGGCAACAGCCTTGTCTGCAATGGAAAACTTATGACCATCCTTATCAACGACCTTGTAGCGAGCTCCGCCACTGGCCTTGTTTTCCTTTTCAGCAATGGTTCCAATGTGAACCCGGTTCTTTTCTTCAAATTCCACAAATGTCCCAACGGCGTAACCCTGCTGTTGGACAACCGGATCGGCATCACCGTCCTTCTTGGAAGACAATGCAAAAGCTTGGTGCAATGGCTTGGTGACAGGTTGGAAGGATTCAACCAAGGATGATTCAAGAAGGAGACATAGCAATAGTAGCCGGTTCATGGCTTTGTTTTGTTTCGTTTCGTTTCGTTTCGTTCGAAAGGAAGTTTATTCTTTGGATACCAAAATGATTTGTGGAAAGAAGAAGCTTCTTTTGGATACGGAAAAGTGATGTCAATTCTGGATGTCAATAAGATCCAGAGTAGGCGCAGGGTTCTCATTTCAATGACCGTTAAGTTGGCCGGCTCAGAAACAGTTGGATTTCACAGCTGATATTCCCAACGTAGACCGCAGGGGCACTGTTCGATCACTTTGACTACATTGTGTTACAGACGGACAAAGGCCGAACGGCCTTCGACCGTCAAAAGTTGTTGTCGATGCGCCGAGGCAATGATGCCCAGTTTATCGACTGAGATTGAATTCACCCACTTGTGTCGTGGTAATTCAATTTTTCTCTCCCAAACCTCACCCGCCCTGTTGGGCACCGCCTCCATTTTACCATATCGGCGGTGCCTGGTAGGAAAGCAGATCTCAGTAATACCGCACACGGGATTTCTGAGATTGGTCGAACGAATCGAGTCTATTACTCGATCAGTTCGACCCGCTTCACACCACAACCCACCAGCTACACACCAAGACAAAATACTACGAACACACACGGAGGACGGCAGTAGGCTATCTCAGATAGTCTTTTGTTGGTCGTGTGGCGGGAGAAAACATGATGACATCTTCTATATATTACAATTTCGAAGCATCATCATTGAACGCTGGGGTCTTGACAAACAAACTAGCAATACCCGAGTGATGCCCTCCGAGGCCTTGGATCGATCGTCTGACTCATCATCTTGTCGTCATCTCAAACTAGTGAAGCATATTTTAGAAAAGAAACCAAGAAACACAAAACTCATCGATCAGCCATATCTGAATCATCATAATCATCATGATCAAAGCAGCCTAGAGCCGCGTCTTCTACTCTAGAACCGCAAGCAATGGAGGACAATGAAGAACGAGATTCGTTTCACAAGGTCATGAATAAGTCCTGTGTCTATTTTTTAAGGAGCAATTGATGAAATATTCCGAGATGTATCTTGATCGACGGAATTTTCAAGAGGCAAGTGAGATTTTGGAGATACTGTTGGAGATACAATCAAACGATTCAGACAAAGATGACGCTACTGTGGTCCACACAATCAATTACATTGCAAAAACTCTATGGGAGGAGCAACTTTTTCATGAAGCCTTGGAGAATCTCGACAGAGCACTCGCAATATGTGTGAAAAAATTGGGAACACATCTTGAGACAGCGGATACTTATTTGCATATTGGCAATGTCCTCAAATCACAATAGAACAAAAAAAAAGCCGAAGAACTGTACCAGAAAGCTCTTGACATCAAGCTCAAAATTCTTCCAAATGATGATTCTGAGGTAACGGATTTGTACCACAAGCTGGCGTCCGCATTGAAAAAACAAGGCAAGCTTTCAGAAGCAATTAAGACACACAAATTCCAACTTGCAACACTACTACGAATACACGGCGGGGAGGACCACCCTAATGTTGTTCATGCATACAATGGTATTGCAACTCTCCTGGGACTTCAAAATAGGTTGGATGATGGTCTTCAGATGCTTGGTAGAGGCATCAAGATTTGCAGTTGACTGGAAGCTTTGGGAGGCTTCGACAGAAAGCTCTAGGGAGAAATGCTCCACAATCAAGCACGCATGCTGAGCGCCCAGGGCAAATTTGAAGCTTCCAAGGATTCGTTTTTAGCAAAGTACTAATGCTACAGATGGAAACGCTACATGAAATGCACCCCACAACAGCAGATGTGTATGAAGGTTTGGCAGGAATTTACGCCAAACAAGACATGATAGACAATGCTATCATGGCGTAAGGGAAAGCCATCAAAATTTATCGATATGTGTTTGGCGATGATAATTGTCACGCAAACAAGCTTGAGCTTGACCTTGGCTTGTTGGTTCACAATAAACATGCGAGAACACTGAACAAACTGGGAGTGACAATGAAAGCGGAAGGTGATTTGGAAAAGGCGGCACAACTCTTCCAAGATGTGCTGGATATTTACAAGCACAATTGTAGTTTTATAGAAGTAGCCATTTATGAAAATCTCTTGGCTGTCAAAGTTGATCAGGGATTGCTGGAAGACGTTGTTGCTGCGAGTGCACAAGCCCTCAAGATTCGTCGCAGAACAACAGACTGGTGCCTTTTGCGCAGGAGTGTGTACCTGAATCTGATTTCAGCACACTACACTGTTGTTGGAGTATATTCCATACTGCCATCAAACCACAACCTTTTACAAGGCAATCATTGGATTCTTGACTTGTGTACGAAGAGAAACCCGTTTGACGACTACAGGTCAAGGTTTCTATGGCTGCAACTGAAATAACAAGTTTAGCAGAACAGTCATCCATGGATGGTGTTTTGCTCCCAGGAGTGGACCCAGAAGATCTGTGGATACTACCAAAAACGGTACAAGAACAAGACCATCATGACAACTGAGAACAACTATATTCTCAGAAGAAGAGCTTCAAGAAGTGAAAGACGACTACATGTAGCAATTTGGAAAGTATGTCGCTCAAAGAGACAATGAGGAGTAACTGTTAGAATAATGCAAAATGTGCTCTATCGTGAGTGCCTTAGCGCTCAGAACAAACTCTCTGCAATCTAAATTTGTAATCGACTGTACAACACTTTCACGACAATAGTTCTCCTGTGTTAGGTATACTTTGAGTGAAATTGTTCCTATTTGATTAATGTTTGGCTTGAATTGATGATTCAATCACAAAAGTGAGTTCAACAATTTTCCCTTGGAAAATCCCTTGTTTACAGAACTCGATTTGACTTCTACGACAATTCTGTGTTGAATGCAGTACTTTGGGATATCTTGCATTATTCCCTACTGCATTGTACACAACATCAATATTCCACTTGTACAGGATCTTTTCCTGTTTGTGTGGATACAGATTGTCCGACAGACTTGCGTCCTGCAGACTTTCATCAAATCCCGACATCACGATCAAAGTCCGATCGCACGTGTCGAAAACTTTGTACTTGAATAGTTTCTTTTGGAACGTAAAAACTCATATTTTGTCATATCCCAACACACTCCTGCCATTGTGACAATCACCATTGGCAGCAATGGGACATGCTCTCATTCACTGTTTATTTTCTTTTGTTTTGTATTTTGAACATATACATACTTGTCTGACCTAGTCCTGTGGACCAAGAATCAGATCCCTGAACTTGCAAAACTTCTCACTTTGCAATGGCTGCGTCATAAAATTCCAAATCATATTGTCAGTTGGACAGTATTTGATCTTAACATTTCCTTTCTCAATTTGATCTGTGATAAAGAAATAACGAATATTGATAGCTCTGCTTCTTTTGCCCGCGCTCTTGCGACCATTCTCTTCCAGTAGAATTGCGCTTTTGTTATCCTGATACAAGCTATTCTTCTCAATCAGATACCCTTGCCACTCCATGAACAACTTAGTCCATAATATCATAGTGACAACATTGTCAACAGCAATCAGTTCCGCTTCCGTACTGCTTCTGCTGTTTAGTTTTTGTTTCTTCGACATCACTTGAGCTGCACCTCCTCCAAAAGACAGAGTGCCGCCAGTATGATGGCTCTTGAAATCCGGATGCACCGCAAAAGATGCGTGGATCATCCAGTTCATGACTTGTAGTGATTCTGCGGAAAGTGTCAGGTGATACAACAATGTACAAAACAAATATTGCATCATGCGAACACACTTCTTCCAATCAGACTCTGTAGGTTCTTGAACTCTCGAGGCAAGAATAGTAATCGTTGGATGGATATCCAAACGAGCTCTCTTAGAGACATAAAGTCCCCTTGCAACAGTAGTATGAAAGATTTGACGGTACTCAGCATTGAGTAACTTTCCTTTCCCAGCCTCCAGTAAATCGTTACCAGCTGGTGTTTCCTGCTTTGAATCCTTGTTGAACTTGATAGGAAAATCTTCCAACATGTTCTTGACATAGTTGTCCATGCGGATCTTGAGTTTTCCTTTCACCGAGAAATCCAAAGTCATTCCAAGATATCTGTGTATCTTTCCTCTGACAATTGTACATGCCTTGATTGAACCATATCTCATGTTCAACCACTTAGCAAATTCGTCATTTACTTTTGGATCCATGTGACTCGACATAAGATCGTCAACATGAGATCTGATAGTTTGCTGTTTTTCATCAACAACTTTGTTAGCAACACACGGGTCATAGGGATTGAAAACAAATCCCTTTGCCTCCAAATCACTTTGAAACTGATTATAGAATAGGAGGCGTAGTACCCGCACATAGATTACTTGCTTTCTGTTCTCTAAAACAACGTATTTGCGATACTCTGGGGCCATGTCAATCAATATCTGGACCATCATGCAAGTGATTTTCATGTAGATACGATCTTCTCCTTCCTTAGCTTCAGGCATATAAGTTTGAATGAAAGCATTAGGCACGTCCATCGTCATTATATCTCTACCTTTGTTTGCATCAATAACACAGGTAGTGGTTATTGCTTCTTGCAAAGCAGTTGGACTTGCAGTGTCCTCTCGCAATAACCATTCATGTGTTCCATCGCCTTGGTATACTAAGCGACCTTTAACTGTCTTTTTGAATTGCTTTTCTGCGAGTAACATCATTGCTGATTGGGCCTTCTTTCGCTCAGACACGGTCATGCCTTTCACAAATTTGGGAGTAAAACAATCTCTCAGGAGCATTTGTCTCAATTCCTTATCCACAGCATCTTTTCCATCCTCACCAAACTTCTTCAGTCCTTGATTGATGTAATACTGTTGAATGAAGTTCAGACCTTTGTCAGTATCAAACTTTGCCTTGATCTGCATCATACAACAAGCGATCAGAATAGCGTCGTGCTCTTCATAATCAGCTTTCATCTCATTCCCAATCTGTTGGAAACATAGATTGTGCTGTGCTTCAAGGATAGCTTTCCTGTTTTTAGTACTGCGACTTCCCTCTTTGGTACAAATACCAGACTTCAATTTGTCCTTCAACGGTTTCATTTCCCTCTCTCGATGCTTGTGTCTTGTCGCAACTCAATTCTTGTTCTTATTGGCAGAACTGCCACTCCTGCTTGAAGGCCATTCTCTTGGTTTCTTTGGAACCTGAGAAAGGTCCAGCCCTGACATTGCAGCTTGCGCATACGTTTGCCCAGATCGAGTGACCTTTGCTACTTGAGGCTCTTCAGGCTCAAATACAATCTCTTCTTCTGGCGGTTCTTGTAGATCCTCCAGATTGGTAATGAGGCTCCCAATATCATCGGTTCCTCTATCGACATTTTCTTGATGGTGATCCAAATCGGCCACAATAGGTTCTTCCTCTTCATTGCCTTCATCACCCGAATCGTCGTCATCTGATTCATAGTCATCATCCCCTTGGAATCTGACAGTGAGTTTTGGCATATCATCGGCATCATTGTCTGCATCTGCCAAGAGCTCATTTTTTTGGGAGTCAATGCTATCATCGAATAGGTTGAAATCATGTTCATCTTCATCTTCAGGTTCATAGTCCTGATCAAAGGCTTCCTCTAAGTTACCTTGTTCCGTGTCATCCACTCCTGCGATTTGATCGCCATCTCAAAGAACTTCATGGAAGTAACACCTTCGGTAGCAGCCCAAGCTTCAACACGCTGGATTACTGGATCGGTAACGGGTAGTACGACAACCTTGGGTCAAGAAATCATCTTCTTAGTATTGAGGTTGAGCACCCGGTGCCCAGTACATTGTCCCTTCATAGGTTCAATGTAGATCGCTTTGATACTTTGCGGTTCCATCAAATTGTTGGAATCCGTCCCAATTGCATGAACATACTGCCCAAGCTCAGCAACCATGTCACTCTTGTAGTTGATATTGACATTATCAATGAGTTGCTGCGGACTGAAATGTGAGGAAATACTGTCTTTCTGGGGAAAGACATTCAATAGCTCGGCGGCTCGACGTCCAAGACATTCAGTGATCACCTTTGGGACCACTTTGTAGGGTAATCGTGCAAGAGCTACTCTAACTCTTTCTTTCAGCGTTCAATTGTTTCGCTCAGCTGTTGGCTCGGGGTCTCCAGCTGCAGTCGGGTCAATAGTAACACCCATATCATCTAGCATATTATCCGTCAGGACTGGCCTTTTCTTGGATAATTACATAAGATCCTATTACTATTTTTGAAGATTGCTTCTTCAGTGATAGGACAGTCCTTGATGAGACCAGAAAGGATTGCATACTTCAGACTTTTGGTGCTTGGAGTATTGAGTATGTGCATTGCACTTCTTGCTTCCATCGCAGCCTTGACTTGTCTTGGAGTGAATCCTTCCTTGTTCTTTCAAACCGTTGCCATCTTTGCAGTCATCCCGAGTCCAGCATAGCCATTCTGGTTGTTTGAAGAAAGTTCGAAATGGGGTTGTTTATTTACGCTGCTTAACTGGCAACGTTACATTGCACTTGTCTCTTTGGCACCTGATTTGACATCTGCTCCAAGTTGCTCCAACACATATACACCCTTACGATTCACAAATTGCATCTGTCTGTCTTCATCGCAATGAACAACAAAGGCATTGTCAAAATAAATATCCATGGTAATGTGGTATCCTGCAGCAATCATCTCACGCATAGCAAGTACATTGGCAATTCCGTCTTCATCATAATAGACTGGAGGCGGAAATCGTCCTAGAAACCCTTCTTCATCGAGAACTCTGCTGCCCACGTTAGTGTGCATATCGAGTTCTTTCTCAGCTTGGCGTAGTTCATGCATGAGTTCACCATGACAAATGGTGGTGTTTGTGCAACCACTGTCCATGATGATGTGATCAAGCAAACCAAACGGATCTCTTTTGTTTCTGCGGCTTTGAATAAACTGCATACCTTGATCTGCTTCAGTAGCAAGATCTGGCAAATCTTCACTTTCACTAGCATAGTGCCAGTCAGATTGAAGTTCGACGTTAGTCGTTCCAGTAGGACATGGAATAAGATAGACATTGTTGCCATTCTCATCCCTTCCCTTGATAGCATCGTGAAAGACATTTGACGTATCAAAATAGCCAGTCTTCACGACCTGCGGAGTTTGAGCTTGAGTTGCATCAAATCCTTGGTGCACTTGAGCACCACTGAAGCCTTGTTGGCTGAGTTGTATTCCACTGAACGCAATTTCACCGTTAGCATTCATAGAGTAAGGGACAGTAACAGTGCCGCCACCTTGAGTTGGAATCTGCATGAGCTGCATTCCCGAGAGAACTTGCATCATTTGATTACCTGTAGGAACTTGCATCATTTGATTTCCTGTAGTACCAGCAAGTTGCAAAGGTGTGTTAACACTTCCCGCAACACTCGATGTTTCCACCAGTGATAACACTTGTTGCTGGAGAAGTTCCAGGAACTGTAGCTGGGACAGCTGCTCCAATCTGATTAAGATTGAGCTTCTTCCCATAATCAACATAGTGTTTTGGATGCTTCTATTGAATCTCTGGTAGCAGTCTGTCTGGGCATTTTGGAGACATATGGTCCTCTTTGCCACATACATAACATGCTGCCTTTTTCTTATCGTCCTTTGGTTTACCTTTACCTTTACATTTATTTGGCTGGTCTTTTCCTTGGTAAAGGTTCACTCCCGGATTCTTGATCACATCCATGTGAATCTTCAACATATCTTGTGCTTTCCTAACCGTCTTTGGATAATAATCCACTTCCCTGCAGTAGTTCGTCTGAAGATCCAGCATCAGAGGAGCTGTTCTTGTTCAATCACAGTTACACAGGAATCCTGTTGCAAGAACGACTTCCAAGATATCATCCTTGAATTTGTCTTTAGCAGTAGTATCGGTGCTAGCAATAGCAGTATACGCTTTCGTCTTGACTGCAAAATTTCAGAACCAGGCAACGCCATATAGATCTTGCAGGACTTCAGCCTGTCTCAAGAATTGTTCCTTGAAATGCATCAAGTTTTCGGTTGTTCCTTGCTTCATAGCAAAGAACTTTTGATTGGCTTCCCAGAAATCCAAGAAGTCATACTCAGCAACGGCACTCTTCTTCATGAATCGTTCAATACGTTTCAAAAGTTTGATTGGGTCTTCAAGAGTAGTAGTGAAATCGACTTCACCTCAAAGCTTGACATCCATCGCCTTTGTCACAAACTTAAGCATGATGTTTGACTTCACAGTTCGCTTATTCGTTTCGAAGTAGGCTGATCTTCGCATGTTCTCGTCGAGCTTTGCAGAGTAGAGAATCTTGTTTTGAGCCATCTCTGTTTCTCTTGCAACAGCTTCAGTTTGAGTTGGAGCATTCAATGTTGGAGCGATCGCATTGAAGTCGATCAACTTTCCATCTCGAATCGATTTCACCATGTCTTCGGAGCATTTCATTCCAGAAGATAGCTCGCATATCAAGATTTTCAAAAAAGACGACTAAAGAAGTACGATAAAACACGCACAGTGCTGCGCGCGATCTTTCTAAAATCATACAGTAAGAAGAATTTATTACAGGCGCAATGGGGATGAGGAATAAAGAAGGCTTGTTTGAGGAACTCTTGGACAATGGCCTTGTCTATTTGAAACTATTGGTCGATGTAAGAGGTAATGAAAAGAGAGCAAAGCTAAGTAGGACTACACAAGTACAATAAAACGCGTGCACCCGCCGTGCGGAAAATACATGCAACCAACCAATGACTACAGCACCGGTGCTGGTACCAATGCTGTACCGCGGTGTGTCATATTTTATATATACCGGTAGCTATAGAGTATAGTGTTTTCGAGCAATAATGCAAACAATGGAGCGCAACAAACAGTACTCAGTTGAGGAATTCATTGAAAAGTCAAGTGTCCACTATGAACAACGAAACTATCAAAAGTCGAGGGAGATGTTAGAGAGAGTGCTGGAAATACGAACGAAACAGTTAGGTGAAGATGATGTTGCTGTTGCATGGGCACTTCACGAGATTGGGAATGTACTGTGGAAGGAAGAATCTTTGAACGATGCCTTGGAGAAATTCAATAGAGCACTTCCGATACGTGTGGAGAAATTGGGAAGACATTGTGATACGGCGGAAACCTACACGAGCATTGGCAATATTCTTAAATCACAAGACCACGACGAAAAGGCAGAAGAAATGTTCCGGAAAGCTCTGGACATGAAGCGTGAACTTCTTTCAAATGATCATCCTGATGTGACGGATCTCTGCCTGTATCTTGCGAAAGCGTTGAAAAAGCAAGGCAAGTATTCAGAAGCAATCAAGGTACAGAAACTCCAACTTGCGAAACTACTAGAAATGCGTGGGGAAGACCACCCCGGTGTTGTACTTATATATAATGGCATCGCAGAGCTGTTACAAATTCAACATAGGTCGGATGATGCTCTTCGATTGCTTGATTTAGCCATCGAAATTTGCAATCGATTGGAAATTAAAAAGTCATTGGTAACAACGCTCCGCCATAAAGCAAACATACTAAACGAAGAGGGTGACTTCGAAGCTTCGGCGGCGATTCTCACCAAAGTGATAATGGTACAAATCGAGACGGATGGTGAAATGCACCCAAAAACAGCACAGGTCTACGAAGATCTTGCAATAGCATATATCCAACAAGACATGATAGAAGGTGCCACCAAGGCGTGCGCGAAAGCCATCAAGATTCGTCGAAAGGAGCTTGGCAATGATCATCCCAAGGTAAAAGAGCTTGCGCTCACACTTGGAATGTTAGACCTTCAGCAATATCCGAGAGAACTAAATGAACAGGGATTGGCAATGAAAGCAGTGGGCGAGTCGGAAAAGGCTGTACAACTCTTCCAAGATGCACTTGATATTTACGAGGAAACCTCGCATATCGATCCCTTTTCAGCAGCCGTGTACGAGAATCTTTCTGCTGTCAAAGTTGATCAAGGATTGCTGGAAGACGCCATTGCTGCGAGTGCAGAAGCTCTCAAGATTCGTCGAAGAACGCTTGGCGACGATCATTTTGACACGAAGCGACGTATGGAAGCGCATAGGTCATTGTTGAAACGTCTCTTGGAGAATCGGAGCTAGCCGTGTGACGGGGCTTTCATGGGATCTTGACTACTTATACAAACAACATTCTGAATTGGGTTGGGTTGTCAAATGAAAAAAAGCACACAAGATGCTATTCAAGGAATGTTACGTGCTTAGGATGTCTTATGCTCATGACAAAGAATGCGTATTCTTCCAATCGAATGAGTCTCTTTCAAGCGCACAGCTGACTGGTATGACAAGGTGACGATCAATTGAAGGCGCAAACACAGCAGTGATCCCATGCGACTGAACGAGCCGTTAAGTATTTTAATACAAGCCACTTCAGCTGTTTCCTCGGTAAATTAAAACTCAAATCCATGACAACGGGACCCGACCACTTCAAAGTCTTCCCACCTGGTGGTAGAGCATAGCAAGATTTCTTCCATGATGGATCGGGAATTACCAGCATCGTTCCACATCACCAGCAACAAAGCGTCATGAAGACCCCCAAATCCGGGGATACCAGCTATGGTCAATAAGGCATCAGGGTGGGCTCCGGAAATCTTGGCAGCCTGCTAATCTAGTGAATGGTCAACAACAACAAAAACAAGCTTGTAACTAGGCTTGGACCGGTGGGAAGAGTACCCTTCCTGTCGACGTACGAGAAGACGGATCGATCCAAGTCCACAGTTGAAGTCGATATGGTAGTATTTCTCGCAACCCGACAGAGCGAAACACGATTTGGATGTGCGCGGATGCCAGTACGGTTGTTACACCAATAAGACTATTCAGCGCAATGAGTGAATGCGGTGCATTGCATTACTCGTGTCGCTATAACATTCGATTGGACCATGTTTGCGCCAAGTTTTCAACTTTGTGACTAGGCCATACATATATTCCTGCTCCTATCTTCTTATAGAAATTAAATATGCATAGATTTTATCGATTGAATACAGGTATAGAGGAAGATGAATCAATCCACTTTGCCCTCGCGTATTTGATACTCAAATTTGATTCTGTGTACTCGTACTATGAGTGAGTCAGAACCTGAATAGAAAGCAGACTAAATCGGTCGAATTGTGTGAATGATGGATTTTGGCTCCCACACGGATGCTCGTCCTTATTCTTACTGTTCTGTCGATTCGCCACACACCTCCTCCTACCGGTAATATATCCCCCTCAAATATAAAATTAAAAATTAGAGCGCTTCGACGAAAACAATATTCCAAACTGATACATAATCCATGATCATGCACATGGCGGTCCTCACAGCTGCTATATTGCAGAGCACTGAATCCTATTCTGGTTGCAAGCCAAGCAGGCTTATGCATTCATGATACTTCAATATCTATAACCATTGGTTTTTGTTATTATTGCCAAACGAAGCTGAGAAAGTACTCTTGTGCAGCGGCATACAATGCGCAAAATTCCCGTCATATTAACGCATGCAGCAGACGGCATTGATTAAGAAGAAGAAACTACCTTACAGACACGTATGCTGTTGTGGAACCGAAAATAATGGAGGGCAAAGAAGAAGAATCTGTTGAGGAACTCATCAAAAAATCCCGTTACTGTTTTGAAAAACGGAACAACCAAGAGGCAAAGGAGACTTTGGAGAGAGCGTTGGCGATACAGAGGAATGAGCTAGGCGAAGATGATCTTACTGTGGCCTGGATACTCTATCAGATTGGAACGATTCTAGCAGAGGAAGACAATTTCGATGAAGCTTTTGAGAAATTCGATAGAGCTCTCGCAATACGTGTGGAAAAGTTGGGAACACACCTTGAAACAGCAAATTCCTATATGAGCATTGGCGTAGTTCTTGAATCGCAAGACAACGGAGAGAAAGCAGAAGTAATGTTCCGGGAAGCGCTTGGTATCTACCTCGAAATTCTGCCAAGGAATCATTCTGAAGTGATGGATGCGTACCTTCATCTTGCGTCCTCATTGAAAAAGCAAGGCAAGTTGTCACAAGCAACCAAAATACATAAACTTCGACTTGGAACACTGCTACAAATTCATGGGGAAGACCACCAGGGTGTTGTGCTTTCATATAACGGAATTTCAGAGCTGCTGAGAATTCAAAATAGGTTGGACGATGCTCTTCAGATGATTGATAGGGCCGTTGAAATTTGTAATCGATTAGAACGATTGGGAGACTTCGACATGGATCTATTGGGAAGAGCCCTATACAATAAAGCAAGCATACTAAACGAACAGGGAAACTTCAAAGCTGCCACGGAAGTGTTCAACAAAGTACTGACGATACAAATCGAAGCGTTTGGTGAAATGCACCGCGCAACAGCACTAACCTATGAAAATCTTGCTGCAGTGTACATCCAACAAGGCATGATAGAAGGTGCCATCATGGCGTACACAAATGCCATCAACGTTCGTCGAAAGGAACTTGGCAATGATCATCCTGACACAAAAGAGCTCCTGCTCACCCTTGCATTGTTAAAGCGCGACAAAAATATAACAACACTAAACGACGAGGGATTAGCAAGGAACGCGGAAGGCGATTCGGAAAAGGCGTTGCAACTCTTCCACCAGGTGCTGGATATTTACGAAGAGAGCTCCATTGCCAGTCCCAATGTAGCAGCAGCCTATGAGAATATCTCCACTATCAAAGTTGATCAGGGGATGCTGGAAGATGCCATTGCCGCGAGTGCAGAAGCCCTCAAGATTCGTCGAAGAACACTTGGTGACGGTCATTGTGACACAAAACGACGCATGGAAGCGCATAGATCTTTGCTGAAACGGCTTTTGGTGAGTCGGAGTTGACTCAGGGAGCTGACTGTGGGGCGACCATGCAAACGGAGTTTGAATTAGGCGGTCGAACAAAAGGATTGGTCGAGTCGGGTATTGCAACGAAATGGACCTCTTTTGCTTATTTATGGATAAAACAAATGCCGATCCTCGCAATCGGATGCGTCTGTTGCAAGCGCACAACAGAGTACTCGCGATTCGTTTGGAAAAATTGGGTATAGACACCGTGATACAGCACAAAGCCAAATGATGCGATGACGAAAAAGCCGAAGAAGTCTTCCGAAAAGCTCTCGATATAAAGCGAGAAATTCTGACAAGCGATCATCCTGAAGTGATGGACCTGTATTTGCATATAGTGCTATCCTTGGAACAGCAAGTCAAATATTCAGAAGCAACCAAGATACATAAACTCCAACTTGCAATAATTCTACAAACGCATGGAGAAATTTACCCCCAACGCGCACATAAGACCATTTCAGGGCTGCTGTTGCCTCACGATAGGTTGGACGATGCTCTTCAGATATGCTTGATAGAGGCCTCGTAATTTGCGACCGATCGCAACGATTCGGAGACCTTGACACGGATGCGTTGGGAGCAATAACACTTGGTAATAAAGCAGGTATGCTAAACGGATAGGGCAACTTTGAAGCTGCTACGGAGGCACTTAACAGATTGCTAATGGTAAACATTGCAACAGTAGCTACAATATACCCCAAAACACCAGAGACCTATGAAGAGCTTGGACGAGAATACGCTCAATAGCACAATATAGAAGGTGCTATCAAGGCGTACGCGAAAGCCGTCACGGAAATGGGAAAACGCCCGATGAACATGGATTGGCAATGCCGGTGGAAGGTGATTTGGAAAAGGCGACACCGCTCTTCCGAGAGGCGCTGGATCGTAGCAAGGAAGACTCTATTGCTGTTCATGGGGTCACTTTGTGTTAGATGTAGGCCCCCAGATGTGATGTCGCATGGCGGTTGCCCATTTCAATATTCGGTGCACTCTGCTACGACCTACGAAGATATTGCATCGTACTAAATTCTTCCTTTATTGTTCTATGTTAACATTATTGCGACTCTTAGTGTACTGTGGTACACGCGAGGAGTCCTTCTTAGTACATAGCTAAAAAGCTACTTCTAGAAGCAAGCAGATTGTGGTTCGACCGGCAGTCGTCATGCGGCGGGCGCTATTGGTGCATTTGCGTCCAGGTTGGCGAGGAAGTTTAGCACGTGCTTTAGCTGCACACTGTATCCGCGATCGACAAACAGCATCATCAAAGATACTAGAAAGTCAAGGCATTCTTCCAACATTGCCTGGTTGCCAACAGCCTTGTGAATAATCGCAGTATTGTTGATGACTGCAAACTTGAAAAGAACATTTTCTTCGCTGTCTTGTAAATCATAAGCAAGCTCGTAAAGTCGCTGTGCTTTGAGAAGGATGTTTTGAGGTACGGCTCCCGGGTGCTTTCGTGCCAAGAGTTGGTGCGACAAAGCAGAATTGAAGATGAGGATTGCTGCAATGTTAACCGTCTCGTGGGCATCAGAAGGAATCAGGATGCCATGTTCATAGATGTATTCCCCGGCAGTGGAACCATTTTGAGATTCACTGGCATCGGTTTGCATCATACATTGATCGATGCTATCACTATCATTACAAGAATTCGTTGTGGCATATAGAGTTTGAGCCATTTCGAGCTCGCGATAATGTTTCAAAGCGAACGAGGTAGCGACGATAGCGTCACGGTAGTGCTCTTGCTTCATGAGAGCAACAGCACAGTTGTTAAGTTCGATAACTTGGCTGGGTGTCATTTTACTTTGCTTTGCAGTTTATGAGAAGAATTTTGTGGTGATCCTTTCCTTTTTTGGTATGATACCGCGGTTGAAGCTGGTGATCACATATTCGTATCAAAGGTCATGTTTGATTAACGATTTTCTGAGCAGACAGCGCAATATTGTCCAAAGCAGGCATTTTAAAATGACGGATGTAGATCTATCCTCCGTGTCTCCAAGAGTTCGTTCATGTCTGCTCATATATATGGTTTGCATTTTGAAACATTTTGAGAAGCATTTCGAGAAGCATTTGAGCTGTGACGAGGAGGCCCTGGCCGAATTTCGCGACGTTTCGGTTGAAGCTAAGACTTCAAGGTCCATTACAGTACCGTATGTGAATAAAAGGTCATTTATTGAATCCATCCATATATTATCCAACTATTCATCTGGACGGATAGAACATGCCCAGAACAGACATTGATGACTGATGACTTCTTTTTTATCAATTGAGTTTCAATACCGGTACCTACTGCAGGTGATGTGGTGATATGGAATTCCACACTTTCGGCGGCACTTATTGGAGCAACGAGGAGCCCTCTTTCGCAATCTGCAAAGTGGCCGTCTTCTTTTCCCAGGGCAGCTTTGGAGGTCGAATACCGGTACGAGTACCAGGTACCTGGTACTGCCGACTCGAAATGGAATGCGACACTGAAACAAAATATTGCAGAAATAAATCAAGACTACCGTTCGTGAGAGGCAATGAATGAAGACGGTGCGTTATATGGGGACTAAGGAAGTTCAGGTCCCTTCAGGTTCGGTACTACCAAGACTAGTACAGTAGCTACTAGAAATGTTCATTTTCTTGCAGAGACACGAAGATATCGGAAACTAGCACTTTTGAGCTCAGACGAACAGCCTCTTGGCTGAGGAGACTATTGCTCTTTCCTCACCACTTCCATGAGTTGTTGACGGACGCACTAACTCGTACGAGACCAATCGGTGAACTTTGCCCTAGTATTATGAGCGAGCAACATCAATCCAAAATTGAATGCCGAATTGTCGCATGCTGGTCAAGTCATTTTTTTAGTAAAAAGTGAGCTGACTTTGGTCGAATCATCCTCCCATTGTAGCGTTATCTAGATAACGCGAAGATTTGCAAAAATAGACAGGATAGGGCTGCAAATGGGGGGGAAACTAGCCATAAAACTCCTTTTACAGTTTCGATTCGACCCCAAAGTAAAACCAGGGTTCCCCTGAACTGGACCACTAGATTATGGGGGAACGAAAAAGGTAAAATATCCCCCAGAGTGACGGATGATGAGCAGACGCAGAGTGTCGGGGGGTGCAGCTGCTGGATATTTACAAAGAAAGCTCTATTGCCAGTACCAATGTAGCAGCAGCCTATGTTAATATTTCCAATGTCAAGTTGATCAGGGGATGCTGGAAGATGCCATTGCTGCGAGTGCAGAAGCCCTCAAGATTCGTAGAAGAACACTTGGTCACGTAAAAATGTGAAACCAAACGACGCAAACAATAGTCTAAATTGTTTGGTCGAATGATAGAAAGGGTCGAGTACAGAGTCAGGAATGGTGGCACTAGCGCTGATTGAAAAGAAATACTTAGGTCGTCTTTTGCATGCATATCGAGGTTTCTCCTACGACGCGCATCACAAGATGCCGAAAGAGACATTGCGTGGAGAATTTGTCCTGTAATCCAGTACAAGCTTCTCAATGTACTTCATTTCCCTAGCAATGCTATATTCACCACCACAACTTTCTGGAAGGCAGCATTGTTCAGAGAAGTGAGGACGAGCCATCGCCTAGAAAGGTTAGCGTTCGGATGATCATATTTCACCCACTCAAGACCCAGCTTGTCAAAGCCATAAAACGCAGTGGTGTATTGCTAACATATAACTGTCACCAATGTCCCATGTCCCAATAAAACAGGATGCTTTCGTTGCATACTATATTCGTGGGGCTCATACATCATCATCATGTGTTGTCATCATGCCAAACTCACCGCCGACGGATTCCTCCGAAGAAGTTGATAAATCGTCTCCAATCGTTCGCGGTCTACCATTTCCCGTGCTTTGACAAGCTCCTTCTCCTTTTCCCTCTGAGACAAATAATGCCATATCCCAGTCTGTTGCCCACCCCATCGCGCGGTCATTTCCACTTGATGTTCGTCCATGGGTACTACCGCAGGCAGACAAAAGACTGGTAGATTTGTGAGTTCGTCACGCTCGAGTATGGTATCAGGGAAGGTTTCAAACAGGGGTTTAATTTCTGACCAGCGCTTTCCCATTTGCAATGCCACATTCAACGGGGATGTTGTGGGTGGAGTAGTTGGTGCAGATCGGTAATAGTACTCGCAGAGGACGCGTAGAGATCCACAATCACCTTGAGGGTATCGTTCAAAGGAGGATTTAGTGGCAGCCCAAATCTCAAGGGCATGGTATCCGTGAGGATGATTGAAATGTTGAGGAAAGAGTCTGACCGCTAGGTCCGCAACGGCTTGTGGGCACCAAGATAGGTTCGCCAATGCCAGCACGAGCTCCGTTCTAAGCTTTTGCCGACAAACGATATTGAGTCTTCCATAGTGGGCGACAGTCACTAGACACTCCAATCGTTGCCAGAAGGCATATACTCTTTGGATTATCTCATGGTGGTCACCATTGTTGTTGTTGCTGTTGTTGATTTTGCCGTGTATTATGCACAACCTAAGTTGATCCAATAAAGGTTTGGATTTTGCAATCGTAGCAATGGCATCCAGCAGTTCCTTGGCACTTTCTTTTTGCCCCCGATCTTGCCATACATATGGAAATAGATTTTTTCGGAAATAAAGATCGATTGGTGTTTGGCCATTCTCTGTTTTCATAATAAGCGAGAAGAATAGTGAGAACTGCCGATTACCGAACAGAATTGCATCATGCATCTGAATGATTCAAAAGAAAACTCACCTGTCTGCGCTAATCGGAGCTTGTCATGCCCCGCACATGCTTGATGCAAGAGCCATTCCCACCACCGTTGCGGAATGGTAGAGGCGCATGCAATGTGAAGACATGTCCATCCACGTGAATTCGTCTCCCAGACTAGCGACGGATTCTGTTCAATGGGTTCGAAAATATCATCAAAATCCTTGTCACGAACTTTCTTTACGACCCATGCATTCCTCGATGTGAGTTTTGGTGGTGGTGAAGGAGAGGAAACTAGCAGTGCCGCCATTGCTGAGATTACCTACTTTTTCTAAATGCTGATGTGATGATGGATGGGAGAAGGTTTGGACGGTTCTCAAAGCGCATTATTTTGAACGGTGATGCCATCTGCGGCGATTTTGCCGAACAGAACACTTCATTCGTGATTCGTCACGAACGTGATTCGAAAAGATACCATCACCAAAGCACTATCGAAGTACTTTCAGATCCGTACGCGAACCGCGTGAAATAAAAGGTTCCTCATATCCAACCAACACAAAACAACTTCAAAAGAAGAAACGATGGAAGACAGCGATCAAGACGACATTTTTGCCAGCCCCAGCCGGAAGCGAGGTTCTGATAATGGATCATCACAGAGCAATGGGAGTAGTAGCCAGAAGAAGAAGAAGGCCAAGAGAACAAACGATGTGGTGGTGGTGAAGGAAGAAGATAGTTTCCGAAGTTTGGCCATGAACCTGCCAGTTGCTTCCTTCTCTACCACAACCGGAACCACCACCACCACCACCACCACTGGAAAGAAGAAGAAGCAACAACTGCAACAAACGGAAAGGACTTCGCCTACAGAAGAGATTGACTTGAGCAGTTCTAGTGGTGGATTCAGAAGCTTGGCCTCCAGTCTCCCAGTGGCTTCCTTCTCCACCATGGGAGGAGGAAGTACCAAGAGTACTAATGGAATCAAGAAGGAAGAAGCGCCCTCCCCTGCACCAACCACCAAAACTGTAGAAAGCGCCCCCAACAGCACGGGAAAGAAAAAGAAGAAAAAGAAACAACTACCTCTTCCAAATTCCACAGAAACTGGCAAGAAATGGACCAAGGCGGTTGTCAAATGCCGAGAACATGATCGTTATGCCCCCTCTTTTGACTTTGCCGCCTGTAAGGAAAGATGCATTGAAGCTGGAGTTACAGCCGAGTGGATCAAGGCAAAACCCTTTGGTAAATGGTGCTCTGGGAATCCACAAGTCATTGCCATTGATTGTGAAATGTGCGAAACCACCGATCCAGAGTCCGGATCAAGAAATACCAAGGCCTTGTGCCGTTTGAGTGTCATCAATGCGGAACGACCAGATGAAGTGATTTTAGATACTCTGGTAAAGCCAAGCTGGCCAGTGAGTGACTACCGAACGAAAATCAATGGGATTTCCAAAGAGAAATTGGAAGGTGTAGAGTTCACTCTCGGTCATGCACAGTCGTTCATGATGTCTCTTTGTAGCGACGAGACTGTGATTATTGGACATGCCGTCCATAACGATCTGGTGACGTTGCATATGGAACACCACTGTGTTGTCGATTCCTCCCTTCTATTCCGCGCCAAGGACTCGCCGACTTCCAGTGCCAGTCTCAAAGACTTGGTATCAGGCATTTTCAAAGAAAAGATGCCGGCCATACATGACAGTGTGAATGATGCCAGAAAAGCGCTTGATTGTGCACTTCACTGGGTCAAGAATGATGGAAAGGTTGCCGATATTCAGCGGAGCACCAACAATGCAAGGGCTGCCCAACTATTTGTGCACCGAGTTCCTAAACACTGCAAGGCTGACCATTTCATTTCCATGTTCCAGAATCATACCAGCATTGTTCCAGACGAAGTTGATGAGATTGACTTTAATGGTGATACTGGAAGGACCCATGTCACCTTCAAGTCGTATCAACATGCCAACCTGGCCTTCAATACACTGGAAGGCGCTTCCGAAGGGGACAAGTCTGGTAGGTTGCAAAAGAAGGTCTATCTCAAGGGTGGTGGTTACGTACGTATTCGAAAGATGGTACACGAAAGAAGCAGCGAGACTCCGGACAAACAACGATCGACACCAGATGATTCATAGGGACAAAAGAGAGATGGGGTTTTCAAATGACAAAACTATCATACTAATTAAACTAGAGTACAGTCTTACGACCTCTTGTATGTTTTGTTAGGCGCGGAGACACCAGATGATTCATAGAGACAAAGAGAGATGGGTTCTTCAAATGACAAAACTATCATACTAATTAAACTAGAGTACAGTCTTACGACCACTTGTATGTTTTGTTAGGCGCGTATCCTGTCAATGATTTCCTCTGCCACATCCTTGCCGCAATAAGCAGCGCCATGGACATATCCCCAGCTAGCACCAGATGTTTTGACCGCTTCACCAGCAAAGTACAGTTTGCTATCAATGGGATCGCGAAGTCTTTCCCGATAGCGACTTGGAGCATACCTTGAGTACGCGGTTCGTATCTGCGGTTCGTTCGCCCAATCTTGAACGACACCCTTGACAAAAGTCTCCGAGGCTTTCCCATCAAAGACGTCATCCAGTAGATTCAAAATGGTCTCTATTACCACAGAGTCTGCTTGGCCGGTGTACAAATCGGCAATGTCGGCATAGGTAAACATTCCCAGAATATTAGTATTTGTCACCCTTCCAACAGTTGGATCGTAAAAGAGTCGAAGCCCATGATTTGATGACCCGCAATCGCTACTGTACTCATCCCAATCGCTGTCCAATGCAAACGCGTCCGGATAGAATTTTTCTGTGAATTCCAGAAACACCTTGACGGTAATGTCCATTTCAATATTATTGATAGCGTCAATGTGACTTGATGGTAGACTTGGGACGAAGTTGATTTCACCCAGTTGCAGTGTTCGCACTGACGCTGTGACAATGACGTAGGACCCTTCGTATCTCCTTCCATTTGTCAGAAATACCACTGGCTTTTGATACTCATAGTCAATTTTCTCGACAAGGCTGTTGAGCACAATCGTGTTAGCCTGAAGATTTGACGCCATCTCTTCATGGAAAAAGTCCCACCATGTTCCGTCCATCCAGCGATAGTCGCCAGACCAACGTCCTGGAGGATTGTGTTCTAGTGTTGTTCCCGTCCATCGATGGGCCACATTCGGGTCACGAATGGTTCTCTTGTTGACTGTGCGTCCAACAATTCTGCTCAGCATATCATTGGGTTCGTCCACGTGCAGCCACTCTGGACCCAGTCCCATGCTCACATCCCATGTATTGTCCTGTTTCATCCGACCGCCATATCTGTTGGCTGCTTCCAGAACCACTACTGAAATTCCTTCTTGTTCCAAATGATATGCGGCTGTTAGACCAGCCGCTCCAGCTCCCACAATGACAACGTCGACGGAGCGTTCCACCGCAACAGGAGTCTTTGTAGTGGCGATCGTAGGTGGAGCTGTCGGACGCGGGGATGGAGATGATGTTGGTTCTCGGGTCGGCCTGGAGGTTGGAGCCAGCGTGGGATTCGAACTTGGTTGCGCCGAAGGATATTTAGACGGCTCTGAGGTCGGGAGCAAAGAAGGTGAAACGGAGGGCATGCCCGTTGGTGCTGCTGACGGGGAAGCACTGGGAAACCCAGTTGGATTCAGACTTTGTACTTTCGTTGGAGACGCCGAAGCTAGTTGAGTCGGGACACCTGTTGGAATTTTGGATGCAGCTACTGTGGGTGACACCGTGGGAAATGCTGTAACATCATCGAACGTTGTCATAGGTTGAACACTCAGAGCCGACCCCGCAATTTGAACCTGACCCGGGAATACCATCCCTCGATCAAGTTTCTCGAAGCTTCCCAGTACTTTCCCAATGATCAGTTCATCTTTGACTTCATCCTGGAGCCAAACATCAATAATCACCAGCAAAAGGTAGCGATTGATCGATTCCTGTTGTCTGGTTCCGGTCGGGTCCATTATTTCGTTTGGGTTCATGATTGCATTCACGACAACTCCATTGGAAATGATGTATTGTGGTAAGTCTTCGTCTAGTTTCAATGAACGCCGAGACTTCTGTGGACAGTCTGCCAGCATGGGCATCAAATGGGTTTGCATGGAATCCTCGACACTTGACAACATTCCAGCATTCGAATCATCATCTATTTCTTGCAGCAGACTCATTTCCACTTGTATGTTGATCTCGAAACGACGATGAACGCTGACTGCATGATTGGCATCATCTTTTGGAGTCACAAAAGTTCCTTTGGAAATGGCAGCACAATCTGCACTTGACGGCGGATCAAATGACTTTGGCAATGTTGCTGGGTTCACGACCCGCTTCTGAAGCAGGAGCACCGTCGCGACAACACCGACAATAATGCAAATAAAAAATAGCCCACAGCAAAAATTTCTGGTACAGAATATTGATTTTCCTTTCCCTTGCTTGCTCTTTTTCTTTTTGGTCTTGGACTGAGGAGTTTCCACATCTGAAAATTGCGACGTTGCTTGGGTTTGCGACGATGCTGCCGGTAGTATTGGTGGTATCGACTGACTGCGTTGTTCGTCGAGTCTACTTTTGGATCGATGGTAATTCCGATGTCCAACTTCACTTCGACGGGAGTCTTCCTTGTGTTCGGATAAAGATCGTCGCCCTCCACTGCTCTGTTGACGAGAACGAGACCGCGAACTTCTTCTGCTTCGCCTTGGCTGGTGTCTATCTTGGCTGTGCACAATCTCCTGTTCGGCGATTTCGCTTCTATACCTTTCCGTATTATGTTGCTTGTCAATTCTATAGTTCCTGTCGTCGTCTTTGTCGTCACTACCACTTTGATAGTCGTCATCAAATCTATAATTGTGGCGCTTGGACACGCGGTGTGACTCCTGTCGTTCGTTTTGCTTGTGGCGCCTCCGAGAGGAGTCACGTGTCAAATGACGCTCGCTATGACCACGACTATCAGACAAGTGTCGACGGGAAGATTTCGATTTGCTCATGTTTTTCCGGCTGGATGACCGTTTCTGTGACTTAAAGTGTTCCCGCCTTCTGCCATGTTGTTCATCCTTTCCATTGTGAACCATTTGCTCAATATCACCATCGTCGGCAAATGGGACAATGATCGCATCAGTTTCATTCATAACTTCACCACGTGCCTGATTTCGTGGAGGATCAGCGACATTGGATGCTTCCATTCTTGATGTAGTATAAATTGGAGTGAAACGCTGTCAGCACCAACCGCAAGCAAGTCACCCTCAGCGAGAGAGTCGGTCAGTCGGTCAAAAGGATCTAAAATCAACCAACCACTTAATGGACTAAGTGTTGTGTGCGTATTTATCGATCAATGGTCTAGCTGTCTTATTGCGAATACGAAGCTTGTGCGTCTCGTTGAAGCAACGGAAGTTCTAGTGATGCTGATCTGCTTGCAGTCTCCTGCCATCAAATAAAAAATAAACCCACAAAATTCGCACGATTGATTTCTAATAGAATCAATCGACCCATCGGATTCGACTTGATGTACTCTCAACTCTCAACTCGATCTTATAATCGGTATACGTGTCAGCATGTCCATATGGTTGCGAGTTGCGAGGCGCAGTACTGTAGACACGCACGAGATAAACAGGGGTCTATCAGGATACACGATCTTGCAATTAGATTACATAATTTTGTGACAACGCTGAACGCTTAAGATCTATATGCTATCAATGCCAGCCACCAGGCAGCTGGAGGGCAATGGTCGAGATTGTGAGAGGAGCCAGTCATCGTATCGCGCTGAGGCTTCTTAATTCCACTGTATTTCGTCGGTTTTGGGGGGGAACACTCCTGCTATTATGCTGTCGATAGCTTCAATTTCAAAGCATTCAATCATTTTCCTTGTTCCTTTTTGTAAAAGGATCGAAATCCCTCCGTCCCAGTCGGTCTTCAAGTATCCTCCGCCTGACCTCGATGATCTTGCCAACGTCTGATTGTCAGGGATTCTCCATTGGACGAGTAATGCTCTGTGGAGAATCGGGAATTTGAGGTCGATTTTGAACTCGGCTTGTCCAGTCCCAGCACCGACATTCCTACCGTTTTGCCAGAAGCAGAACAGAAGATTGCCAAATGGTTCGCCCCTCAACTTGTGGTTTCTCAAGATTTTCAGCGCTGTCTTCTGATAGAAGGTGAGAGACCCGCTTCGAAAGGTATTCGAAGTGATGCAGTGCGCCAGTTGCAAACGACTTCCGAAAATCCTCTCCGATACATGATTGCTGATGTATTGGACATCTGTGCCGTTGCACAAGAGGAACCATGCTCTGCTGCCTCTACAATTCCCAACTGCAGCTTTGTGAAAGTAAAGATGCAGTTGCTTCTCCGTGGAGATGAACTTAACATGTACGTGACGGCTTTGCTCGCTGAGTTCTTCCCAGAAGGCAAAAACCTCAAAGATGAGATTGGGTTGCCCGTGATTTTGACATCTTTGTGTTGGAACGTGTATTAGATACTGAGATTGGAGTAGTCAGCTTAAGGTAGCCTGGTAGGCGCAGCGGTTCGATTCCGTAATACCTTATATTTGACATCGTTGCTGCAAAGTGCATTCGTGCGACTGGTTCTACCGCAAGGCTCCTAGTGCGATGCCGTCTTGGCAGCCAAGTCTTTCTCCTTCAGATTATCCAACTATTCTTGCATCGGCTAATCCAAGTGCTTTGGTTCCTGAACCTACCAAGAAACCCTCAGAGTCGCCCAGCAAGACCCCTTCCGCAACGCCATCGAGTGCCCCGACTCCGACCCCACCGCCAACACTTGCTTCGGTTCCAGGAGAAACACCAAGTCCAACAGAGACATCCTCTGCAACTCCCTCGTCTACGCCATCAGTCGCTCCTGCCGTTGGAAGCACACCGTCTCCATAAAAAACCGTCGACGTTGGAGCCTACGCTTGGAATCAGCGCCTCGCCGTCGGTTGATCCATCTATCAAGCCCTCTGCATCACCAAGCGTCGAACCGTCTCTGTTGCCTTTGGATCAACCTTCCATCCAACATTCAATGGAACCATCATTGTCACCTTCTACACCTCAGCCATCTTTATCACCAACAATACCATGTAATCGATCCAATGCTGAGCTTTTGGAGGCTGTTTTGAACTGGTTTCAAAGCAAGGCAACAGTCGAAACCCAATATGGACCGATGGGAGACTGGTGTTTCGCTATCGGTGTAACAAGCATGCAAAACCTCTTCTTTGGTAAAAGCACATTCAACAAGGATTTATCAAATTGGGATGTTTCTTCCGTTACTGACATGAGTGGAGTGTTTTGGAATGCACGGTCATTTAATCAAGACTTGTCATCCTGGGACGTTTCTTCTGTCACCAATATGAAGAGCATGTTCAGCGGCGCAAGTGCATTCAATCAAGGCGTGTCGTCCTGGGACGTTTCTTCCGTCACGACCATGAAAAGTTTGTTCAATGGAGCAAGATCATTCAATCAAGACTTGTCATCCTGGGACGTTTCTTCTGTCACGGACATGAGCGACCTGGGACGTTTCTTCTGTCACGGACATGAGTGACATGTTCGCAAACCATCCATTTTTCAACCAAGACTTGTCATCATGGGATGTTTCTTCCGTCATTTCAATGCATCGGATGTTCTACCAAGCATCATCTTTCGATCAGAGTCTTTGTACATGGGGCGCGCGGATTCCAAGCAATGCAAATGTCCTCGATGCATTTGCTGACACCAACTGCCCGTCGAAGTCCGATCCAAACTTCTCTGCGACTCCACCTGGCCCTTTTTGCCACACTTGTTAGAATAAAAGGAAAGTTCACGTGTATATGGGGAGTACTGTAACGACCATCCTCGTGTTGGTTTGATGTCGTTCTTTCGTCAGTTTGTTTTGTGTGGTGGTCCATGGAGAAGCGAAATCGATGAGGATAGTACTGGTGTCACTGCTTGCTCATAGCATCTTGAATTTTGCAGGGTTGCCTCATGCTGGTACCAATGTACAATTGCACGATTGAAATTTAAAAATGTCAGTTCGCCCTCATCGACGCCATCACACCGCGCAATGCCACACCCAATCCCTGTTGAATGAATAATACCATATCAATCATCAATACCAACAATTCTTTTTGATCCGAGAGTGTTATATCGACCATATTGATAGCTTTGATATACGTACCTTTCGATCAGGCAGTGTACCGTGGTAGGCCTTCAATACTCAAACATAGTTCGGAGGAAGGTCGATTTTAAAAATTGTGTTGCGATGAATACAAAGAAGCCACGAACTGGATCAATTCGACTGTAACCGATACTAGAGATAAGCGCAATGGGTACAGCCAAGAGTGGAACAGGAGTTCTGTGTACTGTACCATTTCGTCTCCGACCTTGTCACATCTGAGGTCCACATTGCTGCATATATGTATATTCCATGATTTGTAATAGGACTATTAATAGTTACTAGTCTTGGCAATATACATGAGAGAAGATCGGTGCGCCAATGATTTGAAGCAAGAACTGGAATATAATTAGCTTTGTTTCTTGTTTGCAAGGAGTAGTTTTGGCATAGTGGATGACAGACTGCTCGAACAAGAATGCATCCAGAGACTGGTAGCCGCCAACAAGCCACCCACAATTTGTGCCGAGGAAATTCCATGAGATCCAGCTTGTAAAAAGCCAGAAAGAAGAATCCCAAAGATGAGTGCGAATCCCTTTTGGACTGAACCCGCATGTTTGGTGACCAATCCAACCAAGATTCCACCAAACGAGTTGGTCAAAATAGGAA